AGATCAAGTCCTGTTTTGTACGAGTGGTCTCAGCATTTGGCATGCAAGCTGTGGAGCAGTTCTGGTAATTGTAACTTCAAGCTCCTGAATATTGGAGCTATTCCCATCAGCACGACAACCACAGCTGGTTTTCGTGCCAGTAGACCTCGTTCTGAAGTCACCGGAAGAAAACAACGGTAATTAGTTGCTGCCATCATGTTGTGTTAGCTAGTGGTCAAGAACAAGATTTTTTCTCTTGAGCTTGGGCGAAGTGTTCTTCAATTAGTTTTCTCAAAGCCCCTTTGACACACAATGGCACACATAACCTAGCTCAGAGGACACCCTACCTGTTAGTAGTGTTTCCAGTTTGTGCTAAATCACGAAAAGAGCCCTTGAAGAATAAGGTAGTGTGAAAAAGGAAATTTTTTAATTCCTCATGCCGGAGATTCCCATTGCTGGAGTTTGAATAGGAACAAGCTGTGGTCTGCGCTGTTAAAAGCCTTTCTGAAGTCTAACTGGACGATCTTGCACGGAATTCGGTTGTCGAGGCTGGTGCTGAGTGCATGAGTTTCGGAAGCTGCAAGGGCCGATTCGCAGCTCCTGCCGGGCGGAAACCATGTTGGCGGGGGCTCCATTGTTTGGTTTAGCCATCGCAAGCCTTCGGACGGAGAACGTCGTAGCAGTTGTCTGTGTCGCGAACTCAAGCGGAGTTTAGATAAAGTTATATGTGCCAGAACTAGTCCTGGGTACTGTCTCTCCTCAACGTCGGGGCCCGACGTTGAGGAGAGACAGTACCCAGGACTAGTTCTGGCACATATAACTTTATCTAAACTCCGCTTGAGTTCGCGACACAGACAACTGCTACGACGTTCTCCGTCCGAAGGCTTGCGATGGCTAAACCGCCCTTTTTTGCTGTCCCTCTTCTTTGTCCTCTTTTCCTCCCCTGGCCGCGAGGCGAGGATTCTTTGTAATCTGGCCACGGTGGGACACACACCCACACACACGGGTGCCCGCACGCACAGCACCGAATGAGTTGGTAATACACTCCGTCACAGGTGGATGTTAGACTTGAGGGACCGTGTCCCTTTTTGAGAGGCGTTACTGACTCAACTTTCCAGGATTTAGGAACAGAGCTGTGGGAGAGAAAATCGTTGAAGAGGCGAGTGAGGACGGGGGACATACGGCCAGCACAGGATTTATGCAATGCAGGGTGGAAGCTGTGTGGTCCAGGGCGTTGAGAGGAGTTGACACAGGCGAGGGCTTCGTAGGTTTCACTTTGAAGAATGACTATGGAAGAGAGCGTGATTGCTGGTGTGGCCTTGATTGGCTGAGTTGTGGGTTGGGTGGGACAAAGGTTAGGTGCGGTAGGGTCAAGTAATGCTACAGCCTGAGAAAAGTGGTAAGAGAAGAGCTCTGCTATGTTGTCAAGATTACAATAGGGCCTGCCGTGATGTGTGAAGACCGGCGCATGGAACATTTTTTTTTTATAGTGAAAACATGCCCAAGAGTTTGGGCTGGCAGGTTGCTTTTGCTCTTAGTTGGTAGGTAATCGTTATGGGAAATATGGATGAGATGCTTGACTTCGGTACGTGCCTGGTGAGCTTGGTTAAGATTAGTGGGATTTAGAGGCACTTTTTTGAATAGTCGGTGTTTACGTCTGATTAAGACTGCAATCTCCTTTGTCATCCATGGAAGGCTGCCGAGCCTCCTGTTGATCCTTAAGGCCTGTTCACACTCTTGCGACCGAGTACGACTGAGAGAGACAAGATCTCTTAAAACTTCTTAAATGTTTTTAGAATGAGGGAACACACTGGCATTGTGGCGCCATCTATGCGGTGACCCTGGAACTGCATTTCACAAGAGCGAAGGTTTTGCGGGATTTCCGAAGTCAAATGTGCGTAATACCCATAGAAAGGCTCGTTTATAACATTGACAAAAGTTTTCCGAGCCAAAAAAAAAAAGATAATGCGCGAGAAATAAAAAAAAAAATATACCGGACCGCCGAGTTTACATTACTTCCCAATAGATGGCGCCAGTGTGTTTTCTGGTTTAAGAAGTTTTAAGGAACCCAGGTTTAAGAGGTCGCAAGACTGTGAACGGGCCTTTAGGGTGAACACTTTTGTGCTGAATTGCTGATATGTTGAGTGAGAGGTTGTCGGCCTCGTCAGCCGATGGGTGATCAAACACGATGAACCAGGGAGCGAGGTGGATGACCTAATTGAGATGAGGGAAATCGGTGTTTTAGAACTGCTGGAATTTCTTGGCTTGATGACCTCGCTTAGGGCAATGAATATTGGTGAGGAGAGCACTGCGATCACTGCCTGGTAGGCTGGATTTCGCTGTGCAGCGGTAGGATAAGGTGGGATTATTGGTGCGGATGAGGTCGAGGAATGTAGCGTTGCTGTTTTGAGAAATGAAGAATGAGGTGTCATGAAGTTAGGTGACGCCAGCAGTTTCCAATACGTCTTACAGCATGTCATCAAGTGGATCAGATGAACAGTGCAGAGAACTTGCTGGGGTCGACGCGCTGTAGGCTCTTTTCGAGGAGGGCGTACGATTGTTCACGGAGGGAGGGTGGGCGGGCAGTAGGCAGACACCAGAAGCTTTCCATGTTTACAAAATACCTCGACAAAGATGGCTTCTAGACCCGGAGGGGTGAGGTGGTCAAAACGTTGGCAGGGCAGGTGTTATGGCATAGCGAGGACGGACTCCTTCGCCCCAAGGAGGGACAGTCTTGCTGGAATAAAGAGAATTGTGCGAGATTGATTGATTCCCCATTAATTACCCACCGAAGACAGGCGTCCAGCCATGTCTCGCACACAGCGAATATTGTATTCGGGAAAGATTACTTCAGCGCTTTAAAGTCAGGAAGGTTGTTTTTTAGGAAGCAAACGTTGGAAAACCAAACGGGATTGGAGTCTGTAGACTCCGATCGCGCACTTTTCACACGACAACTATGCCAAACGCGGAGTTGTCATGCGAACGGTGAACGCTGCCGATGTCGCGCGCCGGAGGCGGGTCGGAGAACTACTTGGTAGAGTTGGCGATGATGGTGGGGTACACAGGGGCTCCGTGCTGCTTAGGGGATGGAAAGAGGTCATCAGCCAGGGGTGCGAGCTGGCACGCCGCACAGAGCCACGCGGTTGATAATGAGGAGAGGCGTCTAACAAAGCGAGAGATACATCTTCACATTTCTGGTGGAACCACAAATCATAAACGTCGCATTGGAGAGTGGCGGCCTTGTCGACAGACAGGAAACAGCAGGGGCAGGTGGGACGTGAGCCGGAGTTTGAAGGTACACCCGTGAGCGATATGAAGGTGAACAGCCCGCTTCTTGTTCTTGACGCTCCTGCAAGTTTTGGAACAAGCTCTGTTCCAGAAGAGGGCTAGAACGCAAAGTTTAGACCCCAAGCCACATACTATTTGAGACGTTGAGAGTTAATATAGCTTTAGAGAGCCGTGAAATGGGCAAGAATCCAGGTAAGGTGTTCACTTTCATATTGCCGGCGGGTGTGCTTCACCAGTGATCAGCAATAACGAGATTAGGTGAGGTTGTTGGCGAGGGCGATGAGTGAAGAATGCTCAGCCAGGAGGTTGCTTCATGGACGACAATGTTCAATGGTGACGCTGCAGTCAGAAAGTGGCATTCTAGGTGCTTACGGTTTGTCGATGATAGGTGATATTTTTGTTGAAGGGCCAGTAGCCCCGTTAGGCAGATCAGGTGACTGAGAGTTGTAAAGGTGCGCTGTCATTGAACCTAACAGCTAAACATTGTGCTGAAGAAATTGACTGGCTAAATCCAACATATCTCATAGAAAACTGACCAGGGCGGCAATGTTCGACATATGTCTTGTTTCTCCTAAGAAGTAATTAGGGAAGTGATGGAAGTGACGATATCGCGTCTGATTGGTCAGAGGCTCAAATGACGAAAGAGGGAACTTTCATAATTTGAGCCTCTAACCAATCAGACGCAATATCTTCACTTCCATCACTTCTGTTTCTTTTTAGGAGAAATGAAACATTTGTCGTCGAACATATATCCCCCAGGTGTGTTGAACATTCATCTTGGGGGGAAAGGACGGGCAGGTCAAATGCACTTCCAAGCACAGCTTTATTTACCACATTAGCCTGCAGTTACTGTTAAAGCAACTGGTTTGTAATCGCACTCGTTATGTAGAACTGTCGCGTCTGTGCAGTTTTTTCTTTTGCATGGTTTATGAATAGCTGTTTTGAAATACCTTTACCGCGACTTTACCTCTACCTTTTTAGACTATGTTTGTTGGTCCTAGGTTTATCGTTTTTTATGCACATAGCTTGAAGGCTAACATTCAACTTGTTTGTACTACCGTGTATGTTCGATAATACCCGTCAGCAACCGCATCATTGCATGTGCTGTTTGTAACATTTTCTTATAAATTGTACTACGTAGGGCGAAAATAAACATTTGCCTGCTTGAAATAACTCTTGTGTGAATAAATTACCTGTGATTGTCGTCCAGTGGTGCGCACGTCACAATAAAGCGAAAGCGCAACGCAAGCGGACGCGAGAACCGTAAACCGGGTACACAAAATGCCATGGGGGCCGCCATCTTGAAAACCAAAAGAACAAAAACGAAGCATAAAATGTGGTTAGTTACCCCATCCGTGGTGAGAGGGCGCTTTTACGAGTTAAAATAATTGTTTGAGGAACTTTCGCTCTTTTTTAATTATTAGATTATCAATATAATTTATATTGTGTGAGTAATATGTAATGAGTTTACTTCTAAATTGTACTTTTATTCACACAAGGCCCTCGATCACGTGGTTTGCGATTACCACAGGCTTATTCTACAGTGGGCAAACTGTGTATGATAAACTGTGGCCCGAGCGGCATGATCTCTCGGAGGAGTGCGTATAGCCATTTCCGCGCGAAGCGCACTCCGGAGTGCGTATAGCTTTACTCAATACGAAATGTGTTTGTCCTCTATCCCACATGGGGTGCTCGGCGGTGTCGTGTTTTCCCTCGTTGCGTGCCCGACTCACCGTGTACTTGAGGTTGGTGAGTCCCACCCTGCAAAGGGGGCAGGCCGACGTGTTGTGGCGTGGCTTGACGACGAGTCCCTTGCGCGGAGAGTCGACGTTGATGCCCTCGTAGATGGTCACGCCGTCCTCCTGCCGCTCCCGGACTGCAGCGGAGAGGGAGAAAGAACGGTAAGCGACGATCGAAGCCCCATCAAGAAACAAAGAGGAAGAACCTACTTTCTTTGACTCCCACTGCCGCCGTTGTCCGTAGCGATCTGGAAAACACCGTCGATCGCCAGGCGTACAGCAGCGAAACGGCATTGCAGCCTCTGGGTAGCGCCATTTTACAAGCAGTAAGTGCGTTCGATGTGTCAACCGGTGTCGACCCGACACCGCGGTCGTGTTCCAGAGTTCGCGCGAGCTCACTCAGAGTAAGGTTTTGTACCTTGTTGTTCGAAAAAGGCAACAAAGCCACCCACGTCCGGTTTCGCTTTAGCGTTTAGCCACTTTAGCTGTGCTGGCTGTGCTCTCACGTGGTATGACTGGTTTGACTCGGCAGAAAAACGGAGTAACTCTAGTGTACCCAGTGGGTTTACCCGGTTACCAGAAAGATTTGGAACAAATCCAGCTCCTTAATCAGTGAGGCATAACATGTTAACTTATTGCATAGGATATATAATTAAAAATATGAATTGACCTTGTTAGTAACGTTGTAGTCTTTTAGAAAAAGGAACGCTCTTGTTTTATGAGCAGCAGCGGAATCGGCAATGTCAGCAGCTTTTACTTGCTCTTTTTTTACATTATTTTGTATTGTGGTCTAGGAGTTGCAGCGAGTTACGACGTCTTCGCGTTTTGCTCATCTTTTCGCCCAGAAGACCGACAAAACGTTGATACCGCGAAGCAACGCCGGCTGCACTCGGTGCAGCGATCCACGGCACAGCCTCGACGTTTCTGTGTCGTGACAGAGGGCCGGCCGCCTAGCTGAGCGCCGCCGACGACCGCGAACGGCCCAGCCATGGACATGTCAAGCCCCGTCTTCAGCCTGAACTTGGGCACGCCGCTGTCCGCCCAGGCGGACAACGTCGAAGAGCAGCACTTGGAGCAGCTCGCCCGGCAGATCCAACCGTCGCCGCTGCAGCCCCAGCAGCACGACTCGCCGCTGCACCAGTCGCCCCAGACAGCCCTCCGCAATGCGAGCGTCATCCAGCCGTACACCGCCAGCACGGGGCTCACGCCGCAGAGCCTCATGCAGCCGCAGACTCCCGCCGGCCACGTGCACGTGAGAATCACGCGCGCCACATTTGAGTCCGGCCGGAGCTTAAGCTCGCGCGAGATTTGAGACCCATCGGCGTCTCACGCGGTCGTCCGACGCTCGCCCCGTCAGGGTCGGACGCAGTCAACGGGTAACGCTCCAAAAGCGATCTTACGAATAATGAGGATTTCGAATGCCTACTAACATTCGAGTACACGCGCATAACCGCGATAGTTCGTTTCACTCGGTGTGCGAGCGAAGCTACGAACGTCTTGCCCTGAACGGCGTTGGCACCGCACGACCGTGCGTGCCTTGCAGGGACGCTAAAAGCTTCGAGCCCGCTCTCGTGGGTTCTGCTTCGCTATCACAACAGCGAATGTGAGAAGCTACAAAGGCGAGCCCCAGACTTTCTACGTCCCTGTCGAGCACGCGCGCTCGTGGGGTGCTTCGGCCTTCCCTCACTATACAGTGCGTTGGAAAGCTGGGAGCATGAACTTCTCGGTTTCGAACGCGCCAGTGTCGCGCGACAGATCGTGCGCTAGCTTCTTCCGGAGATACAAGTCTGCGCTCGCGCTCGCAGTTTTCTCCGCGTCCTGCAGTTTTGTGGGGAGAAAAGAACGCAGTCCACCCGTTCTCTTTTTGGGGGGTAGTTCATGGAGGGGCCCTACCCTCAGCCAGTTCGCCCATTCGTGGTAAGCGGAGACGTAAACCGTTCTTAGTTGAATCTTGGGAGCGGTTGGTGCTGTAGCCCGCGGCGATGCCTCTTCCTTTGCAGGCGTCCTCGGGTGCCACTCCGACGGGCGGCTCGACCCCGCACTCGAGCGTGTTTCCGTCGACGCCGGGCCCGCCGATGACACCCATCACGCCGGCGTCGGCGGACCCGGGAATCGTGCCACAGCTACAGTGAGTGCTCCAGACTTCCCCCGTTCAGAGTGCTGTAAGATGACACGGTGATTCTCTGTTTCTGTGTGTTCTGCCTCGGAGCCTATACATGACTTGGCTGTTCGCTCTGTACCAATTGTCATTCCTACTTGTTCCCACTAAAAACAACAACAACAAAAACTAATTCGATGCTACGAAATGTGCTTCAAAAAGTAAGCGCGCAGAAGCAGAGTTCTTCACAACGACCGCTGAGGTGATGTCAGTGTAAGCTATCTGTACAGTCAGCACAGAATAAAACCCGAACGCCGGAACGCATGGCCATCGACACAGGCTGCTCCTCCTGGAGGGCCCGTGAGAACTAATGAAAATGCGCCGGGGTTTGAGGGTGCGGGTCCTACTATGATGTGCTCGACACTCGCACAGCGAGTCTGGGACTTCGGCATTTCGCCGGTGGCGTGCTGTAAGTGCCTCACTCGGGGTGCTTTTGTGCCATTGAACTGTCGCCCGGTCGACACCGGGTGGCCGCTTAACCTGGCTGTAGCTCTTTGCAATAGTCACTGCTCAGACAGGGTGATGAGTTTATTCCACTCCGGAATTGATACGCCTGGCATATCGATCTGTGGTTATCAAAGAGAGCGTTAGCGAACAATTGCTCACTTTTTATAAGAATCGACTGATAACCTTCCACAAAAACATGCGCATTACTTATAAAGACCGGGGCATCCGTGTCGGTCTGTTACATCATTTTTTATTTTCTTTCATAAAGAGTATGGTTGTGCAAATGAACAAATTTTATTTCGCGTCTATGACGTTTCACTACTTCTCAGAAACGGCGCGTGGCACATTGTTCACCGGAGCCTCCACGTGGTTCAGGTGACACGTCATCAAGCACTGCGGGTCTTCTGTGCACGTAATGTTTCAACTTTCATTTTGACCTTGCGATACACCAAGCGATAATGACAGCGCTGACGAGATATTGCTGGGCATCCGGTACACAAGGCGATACTTAATGGGTGCGCTGGACAGATCGGACCAGAATCTGCACAGAGTGACGTATTGTTCAAAGCTCAAGTAATGACAATTCAGGAAAATGTTTGCCGAGTGTGCGAGTTAGTAGACCTGCATTATGGCATTCGCAGTGAGGCATACAAGCCTGAAGAACAAGAGAGGTTAATAGACGAGCCCTGGGTGTGGACATATGGATGTGCTCATATATTATATACATATTTGTAGTAGCAACCTTCAGTTGGGTGTCAGCACTCGTCATGTGTCCCAACTTGTTCTTCTGTCTTGCATGTTGTGTTGTGTTGCTATAAGTACTGCTAATTATAAAATTACAATACGTATAACAAACAATAAAAACTGTACATGCCAGGAGGAGAAGACACCATAGGCGGGCTCTGCTGGTGCGCGTGCAAGCAGGTTGCTGCTGCTTCTAGCATTGACCTTCTTGCGTTGTGCGCAAGTCGCAGGTGTCGACCGGGCGACAGTGCTGTGGCACAAAAGCACCCCGAGTGCCGGCGCTTACAGCGCGCCACCGGCAAAACGCAGAAGTCCCAGACGCGCCGCGGGATGGTCGAGTACATCTTAGTAGGACCCCCACTCTCGCACCCCGGTGCATTTTCATTAGTTCTCAGGGGCACTCCAGGTGGAGCAGCCTGTGTCGATGGCCATGCGTTCCGGCGTTCGGGTTTCATTCCATGCTGACTGTACATGAAAGTGCTTGTCCCGTCTTCATGTCCTTGTCTGTCCTCTTACTATGCATGGCTTGCATGTAATGTCTTCACACCGTGCTAGTGCTCAATGTTACTCGTTCTTACTGAGAGGAAGAAATTTTACGGTGTGAAATGCGAGCTGCAGCAGGCACGTACTTGACAGCCCTACAGTGAGACATGCTGATCCAAAAACAACTTCCATGCCTCATCCTGTGCAACGATGGACTGGGAGTGCACATACCCGGACAATTACAGGAACGGAGCACTGGGATCTGGCTCGCCTAGATCATGAGAAATGTTGCGTTTGTAACGCAGAAAGGATAGGCACCTGCGCGACAGCTCTGTGCCCCTGCAAGCTCCCACCGAAGCGATACTCAAGATGCAGAGAGATCACCCCGTGCGATTTTAATTTCAATGTTAGTTTGTGGGAAAATTTGTGAAAGAGGGGCTGGCACCCATGTTATAGCGAGCAGGGAAATGTACATAGTAAAATCGTATACAAGGTTTGTTTTTTTTAGACAAGGACGAGGACAAGGTTTCACGAGAAAAGGAACACATTATGCTCGAGCATCAGGTGTCACCGGTGCGTGGGCCAAGGTCATGCAAGCAATATAGCCCTATGGGGCTACATTGTTTATATGACCTTAGCGTCGTGCACACACCGTGTGCTCAAGTCATTTGCAGCAGATTCCAGGCATCTCAGAGTGTATCGGATATGATTGAGGAATGCTTAATTTTTTTTATTCTTAAGGTTGTATTGGCGCTTTTAGAAAAACGCTTGCGTCCCAGCATGCCAGGAATGAGCTGCAAAGTGAGGCCGTTCTCCCCCTCGGCAGGAACATAGTGTCGACGGTGAACCTGGGCTGCAAGTTGGACCTGAAGAAGATTGCGCTACACGCCCGCAACGCAGAGTACAACCCCAAGCGGTTTGCGGCGGTCATCATGCGCATCCGGGAGCCCCGCACCACAGCCCTCATCTTCAGCTCGGGCAAGATGGTCTGCACGGGGGCCAAGAGGTGCGCCCCGCCTTGTCCGGTCCTCCTTGCTTCTGTCGGTTGGCGATCGGAGCAACGAGGGTTATGTTTTGGTGACAGAAAATTCATTCAGTTGTGCTTGCCGGACGGACGTTGAACCAAGAGGGGCAGTTTTTCAGGAGCAGCGAGGCAGTGACAAAGAAATAAATTTGCAGCCAATAGCCTACTAACTAGCACGGCTAGTGAGACAGGGGGACAGATTCTGTATCCCTCCTGTCTCACTAGTTGTGCTAGTGAGGAGGCTATTGGCAGTAACATAAAAGGGAGCAACATGAAGGGGAACTCCCTTTCATGTTACTCCGCCCAAAGTCGCAAGCCTGTCTTGCAGTGGGTCCGATGTTAGATGAAAAGGCAAGAAATGCATTTTTTTAAAAATAATTTTTAAAGGTTGTTATGGTGATATTCCACACTACCTGGTGATAGTTACGAAAATGCAGAGCGGAAGGAAATTGGCTTAGTAGGCGGAAGGAGGAATTGTTTATTTTGGTTTTCAGCCTAGGTAATACAAGCAACTGCCCATTATAAAGGGCAGGGCCATTAACATCCATCCATTCATCCAGCTGCTTGTCCCATCGGGTACCCAGTGTTTCATGATTGCACACAGGAGGGAAAAGTTTTGAGTTCTCTCCTGCCAGCTTCTACTTCACGGTCTCTTTAGAATGTGGGGTTAAGTGCCTTGTAATTGTAGCGAGCCTGGACCATCCAAAGCCGTCCCGGCTGTGAAACACCAGTTTTCACCCGTTTTTTGTTATATAGGTGATTCTTGAAGCTAGTTAACAACCCTAAAATTTCCAAATGCTGACACTTACGGTGATCTTCATTTTGAAAAGTGAAGCCCAATGCTTATGTCCTGATTCCCGGGTCCCTATCAAAACGCCGAAAAGCATTAGGCCGAATTACGAAAAGGCCGAACATCAGTACACCGAAAAATTGAAATGCCGAAAAGACATAACGCCGAAAACCATGTGAAAAAGATATGACGCGCTTTGTGACTACCACTTGCTCGTTTTCTGCCAGATCACTTTTGCTGACACGAGGCTATTTTACTCGTTCTGCAAATGCAACGCAGCAAAGCCATTAAGGCATGGCGCCGACGATGGGAGATATTGGTTGGCGGACACCAGATAAGCGTCTTCCGGCTCGTCACCACCATAAAAAGGGAGCAAGCTAGAGTCGAAGACGACATAGAGGGAGTGATCAGAGGCCAACCCCGCCGCTGACAAAGCAAAAAGCAAAAGTTGCATGAAAATCGTTTGGCAGCTGCTCTGGACAACCGGGACAATGTCGATGTTCTAAGCTTTTTTCAAGGAATCTTGTCTGAAATGTAATAAACAAGGAATCGCTCTGCTATGCGACGAGGTATGCTGAAATATATTTTTCCTTTTTTAAAGGCTTGAGCCATGCAAAGGGAAGCTATACTTGGGGACAACCTTTCATGGCTATTAAAAAAGAGAATGAAAGCGCGTGCACATCGGCCGGCGGAACGTCTCCCCTAACTTTGATCACAATGCCGATAAAATTTATCTTGCCAAGAAACTTTATCTTTCACTATAACTTGATGATGCCAGCATTTTGATGTTTCGATGTTTTGAATTTTCGGCTTTTTGTACTTTCGGCTTTTAGAATTTTCGGTATTTTAAATTTCGGCATTCTGATAATTCGGTATTTTGATTTTCGGCGTTTTTAATGCCAACCCTAATTCTCAAGTAGAATATCAGTCCTTACAACATATGAAGCGTGCATTACAAAACTGAGCTGAGGCAGAAAGTGAGTCTTATATCATATGTGAGCAGTAATTAAGGTACTTTTTGAGCTGATTTATAATTTAACTTATTAGTTTACGCTGTTATTTGCAGCCCTAAAGTTGACACATTTCATTCTTTTTTTTTCTCTTTGTATACCAGGCATTGCTATCAAAGGCACAGGCAAGAGAGTGTAATTCTGCAGAACGCAGTGTCTGCCTCTGCACTTTCATGGACAGAGCTCCTTTTTCTAAAGCCATACACCCACTCCAATTCTTTCCACAGCGCCCAAACAAAATCTCGTGCTAATTCAGCAGTTTTGGATGTCACCGGTTCAGGGGTGCCGAGACAAAATGCGTGAGCGCATGCTCGACCGAGCACGAGTACTTGCTCGACCGAGCACGAGTACTTGCTCGACCAGGGAAGCTAGCTTCGTCCGGCTCCATCGAGCTGCTGCAGCCTAGTAGATTTAGTTCCCATGGCATCCTTTTTCTGCCCATCGTGTCTTATTGTTTGCCTCCCCCAACTAATCTGCTTTCCGTTTAAGGGGTGGGGGGGGAAGGGAGGGATAAACAGTAACCAATAATAGTCCAAATATCCACGTGCGTGACGTGCCCTTCAGCATCCAAGTGGGAAGACGGTGAAAAACCATGGTGACTTCAAGGTCTTTTTCGTGCCGACTGCTGTTGAGTGTGCCTTGTGTGCTGCGAATACTGGCAACAACATGAAATATTATTGCAGCAATGATTTTTGTTTGTTTATTTCGTTCAGCATCCAAAATCTGTTCTTACTGGATTGCTTTTTGTTTCTCGTACTGCTACTACAGTGTTCCATGCACGAGCCTTCTTGGCTTATGTGAGAATCGAGCCGTAAAACGCCAGAAAAACGTAACAAATTGTGTCGTATTACTCTTCCTGCAGTGAAGAGCAGTCGAGGCTGGCAGCCAGGAAGTATGCTCGTATCATCCAGAAGCTGGGCTTTGACGTGAGTCCGCTCTCCCTCTGCTGGCGCCTTCGGGCATGGCAAAGTCCTCAAACAGGGTTGTGCATCAAGGCAATGCATCCTAGATAATAAGGCGGTAGTGCTGGAGATTTCACCTTATCTATTGGAGGGCAGTGTAGGGCACAAATTGGGCAATGTGCTCCTCTGCTAGGTGAACTAAACTTTTTCTTTTTTTCTCCGGTTACAGCATTTTGTGTATGCAATGAAAGTTGTTGCTGTATCTCAGAGCCATTGCAGGTGCGAGATGCTTTAGCTTTGAGTTGCGGCCACAGTGTAAGATACATATATTGTAAAATCCGGAGCAAGTGCCCACTCAAAATTTTGAGATAATCATGTAAAACTGGGGGTTGTGTGCTTCTTAGGTGAACTTTATGTAAAGATGTGTCCTTTGTGTATTTTACAAATGCTACAAAGTTGAGGGATGGGCGCTTATTGTAGAATGGGCGGATGCTCGGTATTCTACGGTAGGTGTAGACATCGTGCGCGTCGCACCTACCAGATAAAGTCCTCTCCTTACTCAGTTGCAAGCAGTGCCACCAGGTGGCGCTCCGATAAGCTGCTAGTGGCGTAAGCTACCGCCCGATCCAAAGGGCTCAGCCGTATTCATCCATCCATTCATCCATCCATCCAGTGGTGGCCTGTTGAGGGTCTGTTTTTAAACTCGTTTTCTGAATGCACCGCGTCGTGTAGAATTAGGCACTGGCTCTACGCGTGTTGCTTGGACACCACTTCCTCAATGAGCCAAGTTTCGTGCCTCGACGGTAACAATAATAGCTTTTAGAATGCGTCGAAGCAGATGGATATATGGCGCAGTGTTGTAGCCGGCGTTCGTCGAGGTCATGGCAGACATACCGAGCGAAAAGCTCGTGCGCTCAGGTGCCATGGCAATGACACACTTCTTTGGGTGTTTTTTTTTCGCCGCCTGGCTGGCAACAACGCCGTTGGCATGGGCTACTCGAGCGCGGGCCAATAGGCCTTTGTCTAGTCAATCGCATTGCAGCATTTGCTGTGCTCGGTGTCCAGCCGTGGTTGCAGCAGAAACATGTTATTCTAAAACACTCTTGTATGATATGCGTTGGTAAATTTAGCTTTCACACTAAAGTTTGTTGTATCTTTTGGCATGTTTGCAATATCACCAAAATACAGTAACAACAACGTTCATTGCACACACAAAATTCTGAAACTTCACAGAAAAGAAAGAAGTTTTTGTTCCGGAGTGGCATTTTAGATTTGATTAAAGGGCCGCTGAAAAGAAAAAAAAAATGTTTTTTTTTTTTTTTAACAGTCTGATTGGAACACGTGTGTCAAAAAATAAATTTTAAGCAAAAAAAAAATTTTTTTAGAGCACTTTTGACGGTGCGAAACGCAATTTAGTCGGCAGTCGCCTCCTTTCCACTTGTTTTCTCTCTCTGCCTTTCGGGCACATGGAGAAGAGGGGGAACGGCTTCGCCTTCTCGACAGAGATGGTCATTCCGGAATGACCAGTGACGTCATGGACTTCGCGCGCAGAATTTCAAATAAATCTCCCGCCATCAATATTGCCTAACAGTATGCGTGTCCCAACCGTACTGTTAAAAAAAATGTTTTCTTCTTCTCAGGGGTTCTTTAAGGAGGGACGCTACTTCAATATTGCAATGTTTCTTAAAAAGTCACATTTTCAACAAATGGTCTTGCGGAACTCCCGATGGATGCTGTCAGAAAGTTTTGTTCCTGTAACTGAAGTAAATTTTTCCAGCACAAATTATTTTCAACATGTCACCATCTAAAGCGGAACGTTCTAGACTTTCCGTTGCATTCATCTCGGCTTCAATTTCTGGCACCCAATCTCAGCTCAGGAAAAGTATCGTTTGATAACAAAATGATATGCAGAGCCACTTCTTTTAGTTCCATATCGTGGGTGTGAAAAAATGAAAAAACAACTTCACACCCACAAAAATGTGGGTGTGAAGTTGTTTCTTTAATTTTCATGCTATTTTGTCGCGAAGAGTTGCCGTTTTTTTTATATATTTTCGGAAATTGCTAATCGAAGCCGCAAATGCATGGAGACGAAGGGTGTCTGCTATCAAGAGTGGGCCTCTTTCCTAATTGAGAATTTCTAAAAATATGAAAACTAAGCTACCTCGAAGCGAGGCTTGTTCGGAGGCCCTAGTGCGGACTCCCTCCCCCTGGGCGTGCAGGCCAAGTTCTTGGACTTCAAGATCCAGAACATGGTGGGCAGCTGCGACGTCCGCTTCCCCATCCGCCTCGAGGGTCTTGTCCTGACCCACAGTCAGTTCTCCAGGTAGGTGACTGCGTCCGCGGGAAGTCCGCAGCGGTCGCGGCACCTGAAACTCTTCTCCGACCGGTCCGTTCGGCACCTCCTTCTGCCCACATGTCGACAGTCAGTCCGAAGTGGCAACAAACGACGCCGCAAAAAGCCGGAGCGTGGCGCCGTTGGACATCCTGATTTCGGCGATGGGGTGTAGAAGTTCCAGAAAAAATTGAGAGAATGCGAGTAAAATGCACCTCCAACTGGCGTGGAGACCGCATCATCAAAAGTGGTTTATCGATTTAAGCCCAACGACGACACTAGAGGTGGCCGGTGGTGGACATGGCAGAAGTCTGTTCCGCTCTCAGTCGATCTGCAGTCGGATGGTTGACAAACCTTTGGCGGCCGGGAACGGAGATGCCACGACGACTGTGACCCTCGTGTCCGCCAGCATTTCTTACTGGCGTCTTTACGGCCAACCGCCAGGATGACAATGGTTGTCACCTCGGGATGATACGTGTGTGGGATGGCACAGTAAATGCTTTAGCCGGAGACGCGTTCCAGGCATTCGTGCTGGAGGGGGCACTTTGTCGGGCCTGCTCTCCACGGTGCTCGGTGTTTACCCAACACAAAGCCACCGGATTCGCGTCAGAAATGTGAAAAAAGGTTATACTGGCTGGATCTAGCAGACGACAACCAGGGAGCACAGAATATGTTGCGAACGATCTGGGCACACGCCGTGCGTGCACAACGTCACGAGGTCGCACGACGTGGCATCGCACGACAAAATGGAGTAACGTGACGTCGAAGTGTCGCACGGTCATGTGACATCATGATGACGTCCAGATGGCACCATGTTGATGTTACCCATCAAGACGTCACGGTGACGTCTCGACGACAGGTGATAAGATGATGTCGCATGACGGGTCTTCACGACACTCTTTTCATGTAATTTGGCTGATAAAGCACACACATTCTGCGTTAATAGTTAGTGTTGTCACTACGGGCACAGTCCTAACTCTCAACTTGGCCACTAGGGACACAGCTGTCTGATCTCCTTCCTAATGGCCTGTGACAGGCCAAGAATGCGGGAGAAAGTGAGCTCCCCATCTTCGATAGCATTTGAGCGTCTTGTGAGCAGGTGCGGCCAAAGCACGATGGAAGGCAACAAGCTCGTGCTGGAGATGGAGTTTCTGTTGCATTCTTAACCCGTTGCCAGCTATAGCACTCCCGTGCATGACTTCTAATGACATTGGGATCACAGTATGGTCAGATGCCTTTATAACGGTTTTGTAGGGCCATCAGAAAATCTTGTTAGGGCATGTCCTCCGTGCAGTATGGCAGAAAAAGTAACATGCAAAAACGAATGCATAGTGTAGCACCGACGCGACATAGACGCTGGTTTGATAAATGAAGCGGTACAAGAGCTAGTGAAGTAATTTCTTGTTAGCTTGAAGTTGGATTTTCGTTCTCACACATTTTTCTACACTCCAACGTGGATTGTTTGTGTGTAATAATTTTCGACAAGGATGGTGAGAACACTTAGATGTTTTACATGGTACTTATGTTTTGAATGAAAAATATACTGAATCATACTTTACAGGTGCATTCTTACCTGCATCAAAGTGGTTTATACTATTGACAAAATTTACAGATACCAGCAGTAACTTGGCAAAACAGCCGGCTTTGAAATCAGTTCATTGATTTTTTTCAGCATTTGATAAAATCTAACGACGTGGTCCTGTATCCTAAACTGCACTGAACGAGTTATAATATCACTTTTGGTTGTTGCTTGGTACACTGCAATTTGGGTAGGGAACAAACCATCGAACAAACTACCCAAAAAGATGCATCTTCTACGGCCATGTGGTATCGCATAGCTAGTAAAAAAGCACCGTTTTAGCCCTGTGTGAGCCTATGGCATGTACGTGCTTGTGATTCTTGTTCAAATGCTCGAGGCACACGAATCGGTTAGGGTGGCCACAACCTTGTAAATGGATGGTAGCTTGCTCCACCTAGCCACCAGAGAGATACCGTTGGAGAGCATTCACAGAGTGGTCTCATTTTTGTCTCGTGCAGCTACGAGCCCGAGCTCTTCCCCGGACTCATCTACCGGATGGTGAAGCCGCGCATCGTGCTTCTTATCTTTGTCTCGGGGAAGGTAGTACTCACAGGTGAGCTCTGGTCTCGGTGTCGGAATTGGATAGATGGGGCTGAGCATTTCGAATTGGACAGTGGCAGGTGCCAACAGGATTTTATAGTGCCAATGTCATTGTGATCATCAGCATGTCATCGGGACTACACATCAGGAAAGTGCGTGCATGTGTGCTCACTCTCCCCTCCTCAACTCGAGTCCCTTCCTTTTATTTATTTTCACCTGCAAGCGTCATCCCAATCATAGCGTTTATGTGTCTGTCAAAGCCGTGCATCATCACCCTAGTTTGACTGGCACCGCGGGCCTACGTGAAAATGTCATATTTGCTAAGAATCGTGCCACACCTGCGCCGTGATAAGCTTAACGCAAAAAACTTGATGTTTTATTATTGGTCGACCTTAATATTCAGTAAACTAGAAGGAAAGAAGAAGTGTAGAAATATGAATTTCGCAGTGTCTCTACTCACCGTATAGTTAGTTTCGTTTTAGGTCAGGGCACAGTCGAAGGCTCAAACACATACAACCACAAACACACATACTAAACGCGCAAGTGCCGGGACACTCGCTGCACTTTATTGGTTTAGCGGATGAAAGAAAACATGCAAGGAGATAATGAATGCCACAATGTCGCGCTTTGATGCTGCGAATTGACCGGCCAGAGCCGTTGATGGTGGGCATCAACCGCTCTGGCCGGTTGATCTGCTGGCTGGTTGATAACCGAAATCATCTAAATTTCCAGACAAAGTCATGGACTAAGGGTCCCGAGAAAACTTTGCGAAATACCTAGTAGGATTGCCGATTGCGGCTACTGTGATGAAACGGCGCCAGGGTCATTTATTCCTTATAAGATCACTTCATTATGTCTGCCACCTGCCTTTGTTCCGTGGCTGCAGAGTACAGTGGCACTTGCATTGCTGTCGTCAGCCTTCACAGCCTCTCACCAGAGCCGTATATGTAGAGAGTTTGGCCATTCGTTGGGAAGTATAGGAGACAAATGTGGAGGTGCCATTGGCTGAAAGCGGGCTGGGCGTGTTCCAGGACGTCTTCACAAATTCGAACGTGGCCAACCAAGAGCCAGAAATAATACCCTGGAGGTGGTAGTGAGAAACGAAATTAATAAGTGCATCAGAATAACTCTTGGTGATTGAAAATATGGTTTTCAATCACGGTCATCCAAGATCATGGTGGAAAAGCACAACTAGCGGAACGATCGACATAATCCGCATGCCAGGCGCCGAGAATTCGCCGTCCGAACTAGTCTGCTCAGCCCCATCACTAGTGTGCAGGTATTTATAAAGCTCCGGTGTGAGCTCTCCATCTTCGATAGCACTTGGGCGTCTTGTGACTTTTCAGAACGTGATAAGTAGAAGTTCTATCACGTTCTGAAAAGTCAGCCCAGACGTTAAAGAGAAAAATTAAGTAGTTGAATACACAAGAGTTGTAAGTTCAGCGCATGTGCTTGTCTTCCTGAGTGTCTGGTGTGAGATTTATTTTCCTGCGCTGTCACCGTCATTCGTGCTACTACTTCTACTTATCACATTCTGAAAAGTCAGCCCAGACGTTGAAGAGAAAAATTAAGTAGTTGAATACACAAGAGTTGTAAGTTCAGCGCGTGTGCTTGTCTTCCTGAGTGTCTGGTGTGAGATTGATTTTCCTTCGCTGTCACCGTCAAGCAAGAATAACAAAAGCAAACTAGTGAGCACTTTACTATCTAAAATTTCTCGGGCCTTTTTTGAGCTTGTATTTTGTTCTTAAATTTAGAATCTTTGTCCTATTTCAAGAACAGTAGCAGCGAATGTTTTTATTAGCAGACGACATACCATTCCAGTATACTCGCAAAGAATGTTCCCTTACTTTCTCCGAAACTCCGTAACTGATGCACTTTTCTCATAGAGTCGTGATTTTTCACTTTATCTCGTTTGCTTTTGAATGGAAGTAACACACTTGACTGCTTTGGAAGAGCAGCCTTGACCACGTTCAGAGGATTGAACGGTGTTTCCACTTGTTCTCTGCGGTGCAGGTGCCAAAGTGAGGGCGGAAATCTACGAGGCGTTCGACAACATCTACCCCATCCTCAAAGGTTTCCGCAAGCAGTGACACCTTCATCCGTTTCCACCCTCGTGCATTGTAAATAGCCCCCCACTCATTTTCATCTGTTTAGGCACATTGCAGGCAAATAAAAGGTTTGCCAATCACACTTCATCCTGCATTATTGAAGTCTCAATCATCCGAGTTATAAAAGGTCTGCCAATCACACTTTCTTCTGAGCTATAACCAGTCTGCCAATCACACTTCCTTCCGAGTTATTAAACGGTCTGCCAGCCACACTTCATTTTGCATTATTAGTATCCCAATCACCCGAGTTATAAAAGGTCTGCTGGTTACACTTTCTTCCAAGCTATAAAAGGTATGCCAATCACACTTCCTTCCGAGTTGCCTTTGGAAGATTCTCTGGGTAACAAGGATGAAGTGGTGCTTTTGGAGCCATCTGCGCTGTACAGGGTGCGCCATTTTCTTGCGCCGTAGGCTGTAGTTTCTCAGCATGGCCTACTAGAAATGCCCGACCGGTTTGTGGGTACCCGGTAATGCCCATCTGCTACCAGACCACGGGCAATGCAGTTTGTGGTCGCTGAGAAGGTGAGAGGGTAGGAGCTTTGGTTTTTCCGCCCCCAGCGCAAGCTTCTTACTTTTGACAACACTTCAATGTCTTGCACCTCGAGCGTGTGCACAAAGCCAAAGCGCAGCAAAAGGCACCGAGCACATGCTGGAGGTGGGGCGCGCAAAAGACGTGCCCTGCAGTTTTCACTCTGCCGGGGATTATAGTCCCCACTGCAGCGATGCGATGGCTGCGCCATTTGCGCCAAGGTGCTTACCTCACCACATCCTGCTACGTTTTGCCAAAATTTGAGGAATTTGCGCCAAAAGTCAACGTCAACCATAAATGCATGATGAACAGCTCGGGCCTTGCTACGCGACCAGATTGCTGCGGTAGGTCTGTGCAAATTTTCGTAACTTTTTTTAATGGTGTCAAATATTGTACCATTCAATTTCGTTTCTATCAAACACGGAGTAGTACTCTGAAGTTTTGCAATATTTGTCCTATGCGGGGTTTATACTGGTAGTTTAGCTAGCCTCGTTGAATGCGCTGCTCGCCACGTACTGGTGTACCGCAGTGAAGCGAGAACCGCTATGTCGACATCTCGATTTTGTATCTTATTTTGCCACAGCGCACTCGCGTTCTAAAGAGAAGGCACCCTTTTAGGGCAGGATGTACAACGATTTTTGAATAAAGCTGTGGCTATTATACATAGTATAATAGACTCAGAATATTATACATAGTATAATATTCTAATGAATCAAAGTGGCAATGCAGGCGAGTTGGTTCATCGTTTTTTTCAATAAACGTTCAGTTGAAGTCCAGCGCTTGTCCTGTCAATTTCTCTTCCTTGTGTCTTCGTAGTTTGCGCGCTGATTCCATTTTGTATAATATTCTGACGATATCATTTTTAAATTCAGATTTAGTGAGGATAATTGAGCATTGCTAAGATTTTATTGACTGCTTTATAGGTTTATTTTTTATGACAATGCTCGTTTAGTTATTACCTTTATATGGTTTCATATTTTTTCGATAAAACTGTGAAGAAAGTACACTAAAACTGAGTTATTTAGAGCAGTGGATGGAAGCTTGGAAGCAACCTGATTGAATTCGGTGGGATTGTTTTTAAGAAGGCATATATTTATCATTCACATGCCAATTTTTCTTATATAAGTTCTACATAAAAAGTTGTTATTGTTGTCTACAATAAAATATGAAAGCTTTGTCTTTTATCTGATCTAAGAATTGCAGTTTTATTAGAACCTTTACAACTTGAGCAAAACATCAATATGGGTGCCTTAAATTATTCTAGTTTAACACTTTTCGGCATAACATACTATGTGCTTTATTCTTGATTCTGTCCAGAAAATAACTGCACTCCAAGTCATACTGTCATTCATTCATTGGCACCTAGTTGCCGTGTTTTTGCTTCTACGCACTACTGAGCAGCATGTTCTGTGTTCGAGGGAATCAAACCTGCTGTGCAACTGACGTTAACTAAAGGTTTCACAAAAGTGGGAAGGCAAGGTAGACATTGTCTTTCAGTTCGACAGGCCAATGCTTAGACCTTAGCATAATATTTGCGGTGGTATGAAGGAAAATGAAGTGTGTGCTTATGCTCCAAAAGATTTCTTCTGCTCGAAAATGACTCCGACCTATCACATCACTGCAATTTACACCGCTGAGCTGCAGTTAACCTGCATTAACCTCCTCAGATGCCACTTGTGTGCCCATCCTGAAGTTTTTGGGGGGTCACAAATTCATAAAAAGAAGCCTTCTTCACTCTCCCCTCGGTTATTGCAGAGCGGAAGGGATATGGAACCAAGTATACTCTCAAACTTTTGTATAGACGGACGGCAGCAGTTATTTCCGGAATCGTAGCTTGTAGTAAGACTTCTATAATTACCAATATTAAAAACTAATGAATGAATTACAATTTCGAGAAAAAGTAAACAACACACACTAATTCAATTTCCAAATTGTATGACTACTTGGGTCTTGGGCTCTATCACTACCTGATAATCAATTTAATTGTTGAATGCCTGAATAGCAAAATTTCAATAGCAACTTGTACACCAGCTCTAGAGCTATGAAGTATCAGCTTTTATCCGATATATGTGCAACTGTAGCTTGCAAGCAAAAGTTAGAGATCACTCTAATGCCAGTGCAAGCTGCATGATCTCCAGACAAATTCTGCAATTTTTATTTAAAGTTTCATTTTATTGGAAAAAGACCTTTCTTTCTCAAAGAAAAACCTCACCCTCATTAAAAGGAAAAAGGTATTTAGAAATTCGATTAGCTTGTCTAAAAGCTGTGCAATGAGGAAAGTTTAAGGAATAAACAAAGCGACAGACTTAACATGATTGAGTTATCAGTTTGTTTTTTTTCTCTTACTTTCACAACCAATGGGATGTCATCAAAATTACTTGACTCCATTTTCTATATAGCATAACACACTGTCAAAGCCATTGACACAAGTGCGTTATGTCCTCCAGCATCTCGTTTCCATGCGCCGTCATGCAAACAAGACATACACGGCCACATACTTGTACCAGTAGCCTTCACGGCATTGTGTAATGTAATGTAGTGTAGTCGTTCTGGGCACCGCAGTAAATTTAAATCCATCACTAACCTCTTCAAGGAAACTGTGAGAAAGCACCTATGTCATTAGGTGCTGACTCTGTCGTAATATAAGTTTTATTATCTGTCTGTACTTGGCATCATCTTTTTACAGCAGAGCTGTTAAGGGCTAGTTTCCTCAGGATCGTGTCCATCCTCAAATGACCTGATGACACAGAACTCTGGACAGCTACCGCCATCTATGAGCGTCGTCGCTAATAGATGGCGGCAACCTTTCCACTCTGGCTTGCGACTTGCGGCCGGCCATTACTTCATTCCCGCCATAGTACAGCTTCGCTGGTCATCCTTCTTCACTAGAGTGGAAAGGCTAAAAGTTTTGTGCTACCTTTTTAAGGCTAGCATAGTATGCAGCCCCACACTGCTGAGAGAGCATGTGGCTCGTAATGTCTCATTTGTACGCGCTGCTGTGCAAAGATGCCAAACGAAGCCACGAGGCCGTGCAAGCGGCTTTCACGTCGATGGAGCACTGTGGGCGAAGCTATGCTAGGCTTGACAATGTGGCGCAAAAAGTTGATTCCAGGTGCAGACCTCTTCATAGTAATTATAAGATGGCCATCTGTAAAGCGTATTCCACCTGTAGACAATTCTCTCTTTAACCGTGTTGGCGCTGTACAGATATGCTTGCTCGGCGGGTAAGACAATGTGTAAAAGAGAAACGTGCGTCATGCACAAGAGAAATGCAGCGTTGACATGCATTTTGTAGATTATACACAACCCTGATCAATGGGGAAATAAACATACTTGCAGGAATGCATTACGAGTTACCAAAAAGCACCCACCCGACTTACTACGAACTTCCTTTAGCAGTGGGTTATGCTACTACGCAGGAATGGGCAAAATACATGCAAATATGTATCGAAATACAAATACAAAATACTTCGTCAAAATGTATTTAATTACAAATCTAATTACATTTCCAAAAAAGCATTTAAGTACAAGATACAAATACAAGCAAATGTATTTGGTCTCCTCCAAATATTTTTCCAAATACATTCCTCAAAATTTGCGTCAGCGACTTCAGGGCACCTGCAACGGGTTTCTGGGTATTTCATTTTAATTGCGCATCGCACACTCGGAAGTTAGTGTGCGAGGCTCTAGTAACGTAATAGAAATATAATCACAAAAAAAATTTAATCAGCTTGGACGTAATAGGTGAAAAAAGTACAGAGCTTCAAGCAGATTTTTTAGTCGATTACATTTTGGTATAGACCAACAAAGAACCGAGACGACCAAGACGCGCAGCACTAGCTAGAAAGTTTTATATTGTTGCAACTCGCACCAGTTACGAAAATCTGGACGACCCGCACATTTAGAATGTTCCAGGCAAAAATATGGATAGAAATCAGGCTGGAAAGCATCGCAAGTTGTCGCAGGCTCTTATTTAGCCTGTCTGCCTATGAACGTCGATTTCGTCCCTATTCTTGCCCTGGGCTAGCACCGTAATCACAAAGTCACTAAACGCTTGTGCTTGACTGAGAGACACTGCGTTCGGTGCAGAACATAGTTTTCTTCCTGCTCTGGATAGTGCCTTTAAAATAAAGCCGGAGGAGGATAAGAAAAAAATCCCCATGGCCGAATAAAGGATGGAGTCTATATCTTACAACCACATGCATAAAAACAAGAATTGTCGTGACAATAAATTTGAGGGATGTATTTTCGCCCACAAAATCATATTTAACTACAATTGTATTTGAAATACCCACGTTTTAGTATTTAAACACACGTCAAATACATTACCCAATTCGTAATTAAATACAAATGCAAAATACACAAAGTATTTGAAATACGTATTTCAAATACTTCTATTTGAAATACTGCCCATCCCTGCTACTACACAACCAGAAAACATAAGACGGTGCTTCCGAAATGGCAAGCAGGGGTTCTTGAACATGGCAAACTTCAAGAGATACCTTGGCTGCTCAAACCTCATGAGCAATATCCATCTCGAGTATCGACCCTCGAGGCACAAAAAAGTCTTTAAAAAACCAGACGTTCCCACACTGTGACAGATACACATCTTTGTTAAAAGCATATAGTAAATGGCTTGCAAGAAACCCCCTCAGAGCACCATGGTCCTCATTATAATCTGTGTTAGGGTTTGCTTACCAGTTATGTCGCATTGACTACAGGGTCGTCAAGATAAATCCAGACTTTTTCCGCATTCCATCTCTCCAAAATACAGTGGAGCTAATTGGCCGTATTACACTTCGCTGATTCAACAGCAAACCATCGCATAATAAATAATACGTGACTTGCTCAGAAAATGAGCGGGGAATGCGACCGGAGGGCAGCAATGCTTAAGGGCAGTAAGGGTATATTTCCATCTGTGTGGAAAGAGTCTATTGTTGTTCCTATTCATAAGACGGGGGATACTATGCAAGTTGGGAACTATCGCCCTGTATCATTGCTACTTTCTTTTTCAAAGGTATTTGAGATAGTGATGCACACCCGTCTATCTTTTTATTTCAAGCGACGTATCAGTTCTTTTCAGCACGGTTTTATCAAGGGGCGCTCAGTCGAGACAAACCTCTGTACCTTCCATGATTATTCAGTACCTTTTGTTTGTAATCGCGGTCAAGTCAACATTGTTTATTTTGACCTTTCGAAAGCCTTTGATAAGGTGAACCACGCTTTGCTGCTGCACAATTTGTCGCGTACGGGCGTTTCTCCTGTGCTTTTATTATGGCTTGAAAGCTACCTGACTGACCGTCATTGTGTCGTACGCATTTTAAATAACTTCTCTGACCCTTTTTATTCGTCATTGGGAGTTCCACAGGGCTCCAATTTGGGTCCACTTTTGTTTTTCATCTTTATCAATGAGATATCTACTTGCGTAGTATACTCAAACGTGCTGTTATTCGCAGACGATATTAAGCCCTTTTTGAGTATTAGTTTGATCGACGACTGTGACCTTCTTCAGAGTGATGCATCACATATTTTAAACTGGTGTCGGGAAAATTGCTTAATCATAAATCCAGAAAAAACTAAGGTCATGTCTCAGTAAAAAACGTGAAATTATACAGTATTCATACTCAACTGATGATAAGTGCATTTTGAGAGTATCATCGCTTCGTGATCTCGGAGTGTACTTTGACACTACTCTATCGTTTGGCTGCCATGTCGCCCATACTGCCTGTTCTGCATTTAGACTACTAGGAATGATTACTCGATTAATTAAAAAGTTTGCGAACTATGCTTGTTTCCTTTATTTATTTTATTCTATTATTAGATCGAGACTAGACTTTGGCTCTGTGGTGTGGAATTCACTGACACTATGTGATGCAGCTAAAATAGAGTCAGTTCAGAGACGCCTTGTGCGCAAATTTTATGACAAATACCTTGGCCGAAGGCATTTTTACAACCTTGAACTCCTGCTCGACAAATCTGGCCTACAGTGTCTATCCCTCAGAAGATTATCGCGCGATATAGCTTTCTTGTATAAAATATAATTCACGGGGACATTGACTCAACACTTTTGTTCACAGTAAATTTGAACGTATTGACTCGCTCAAATAGGAGAGCTCTCACTTTTTAACCCCACTATCAACACATGATATCACCAACAACAAGAATGCAGACAAGCGTAAACAATCTTGGGCATGAAAATTTTGATATTTTTGATAGTTGCGTAAATCTCAGTAGACAATTGGATGAGATTATTTTTCGTCGATAAAAATGTACTGTCGTGTTTTGTTGCATGCTAGCTTTATCAGTTGAGCATGTGTTACAGCTGTGCAATTTTTTCACTGTGCCACATTGTAGACCTTTGTTGGTTGTTGATTGGCACAAATAGAGGCATTATGATGATGATGATGCTTCAATTGCTTCGTGCCAGAAAGTTGCCTATGCAAATCATTGCATGGTATGGCTACAAGAAGACGCAAGTTTACAGCATTGCTAAGACATTCAGATAATCTGTCAGCCAGGAAGACATTACGGCAGACCTAGCAAAGCACAGAAAACTGTCTATGTTTATTATATCTTTGCCTCTGCGCGTTTTCCTGAATTTAGTGAATTTTCCAGATTTATCTCGACGACTCTGTACACAGAAAGCAGAGGACTACCAACTAACATATCAATCTACCGTAGAATACCATACATCTGCCCATTCCACACTAAGAGCCAACCCCCAAAATTTGAAACATCTAAAAAAAAATATGCACAGTACATATATATGTAAAATTGATGGCCTCACATGTGCCAATCTCCCATTTTTTCGCGATTATCTTCAAATTCTGAGTGGGTGCTTGCCCAATATTTTACGGTACACTTATTGCCCGCTGAAGACAATGCTGACATTGTATTGTGACAGATCACGGTCAATGCAAGGTCACACTATGCGGAGAGCAAGCTGCCTGCTTTTTGCGCAGGAGTTGAGATGACGTCGGAAAGATGCCAAGCTCGATTAGCTCTGATTGAAGGATAGTGGGTAGACCTCAAAGCAAGCTGCCTTGAAGTCTACCCACTATCCTTCATTCAGAACCAATCAGAGCTCGGCATCCTGACGTCCCCAAAACCCCTGGAAAAAAAGCAGACAAACTTGCGCTCCGCTTAATGTGACCTTTCACCGACTGTACGATACTTGGTGCGTCAGAGTGCCGTCATTCTGAACAAGCTTTTGGTACGCCGGTATTTGTATAGGATGCATGCACGGCTTGCAGGTGATCTGCGCTGCTGTTACGCGTTGCCCTCACGGAGGCTATGGTTCCAAGTAACTGAGACAGCACTATCAAAGCTAAATGCTCAATCCCGAGTAATGTTGCAAACCCTTTACAGATCTACAAGTGGTTCCTAGTTTATGTTAAGCCATATCAAATGGTCGATGAAATTTCATCCACAAATACACACTATATAATCACCCTGCCCGAGCACCGGCGATCAGGATTCTGACTTCAGCAATGCTTCTAGATCATCTCGCACGAGGCGATGAATCTCGGCCATGTCCGCAGCCCCGTCCAGATAGCGGACATCGGCGACCGTCGCCTCGACGTCTCGCTTGTTGCTCAGGTACATGGGCCACACGACGAGGTCGAAGTAGCCCGGCGGGTCAGGGGGCACGTAGTGTCGCTGCTGCCGCCTCCGGAAGCACTCTTCCTTGGTGAGCGTGAAGAAGTACTTGCGCTCGAAGAGACCCGCCAGCCGCGGCACGTTCAGCACGATGTGGCCGTCCACGATGAAAAGACGACTCTTCTCGGGCGGTGGCAGCGCGGTTCGCTGCTTCAGGTCATCGAGGAGCCTGTCCCAGTCGACGCTGGCAAGGGTCTCCCAGTTGGCATGGTTCAGCTGAGGCACCATCTCGTGATTTGGGTCTTCCTCTAGCCTGAAGAAGAGGTCCTGGTGGATGGCCTCGCTGCCCGGAAATTGCTCGACGAGGTGCTTGATGAGACTGGTCTTGCCGCCGTTCGTGACGCCGGTAACCGCGACAAAGATCCAGCGTGGCTTATGTGTCGTCGCCACGCGCTGGTCGCCGTCGTGCTCGGACCGCATGCCGAAATAGCGGTGCCCTTCAAGTGAGGGGTGAGACTGAACGTGACTGGCACAGACAGGTGATAGCAAGCGGAAGGTTTAAAGGTCGCTCGCTAGCACGCCAGCAGTTGCCTGCAGCGGTCTTGTTTTGGTTTCGCTGGAGTATCAGGAGTACTTCGGCTTCGACTTGGATTCGATACTTTTTAAACAAAGCATGGATGGATGAATAGATGAATACGGCTGAGCCCTTTGGATCGGGCGGTAGCTTACGCCACCTAGCCATTTTGTTTTACCATTTAAGTTTAGAATATTTAAATGTGAAAGTGAAAATGCAAAGAAGGTGAGGCTATGAAACCCCCTTGCCATCAGTGAATAAGAAAATACCTAGTTTTTTCTCGATTTCTGTCACCATTCACTTAATCTTTGCTTGGTAATCTCTACAGTCTTGAAATCCACTCTCCCTTCGCTGTCTCTAAAACCCAATGATTTTATTAAATATATGTTGTCTTCGGTAGGCATAGGGTGAAGCCCTTTACAGTAGAGTATCAAGTGCTCAGCCGTCTCGTCCTCCTTTCCACAAGCAGTGCACACTGTATCCATTTCCTGGTACTTCACTCTGTATGTTCTGGTTCGCAGAACACCCGTCCTCGCCTCAAACAACAATGAGCTTCCCCTAGAATTGTCATAAACGCCTTCTTTGGCAATAATTGCTTTGTTTAATCTATAGCTTTCCAGAGCCGTCTTTGTCTGCATTCCCTCTAGCCACCGATCTCTTCTTAACCACACAACGGACACAACGGTGAGGTTAATGCTTCAATCCCACTAAATTCACATGACAACATGAACGGGACATTTGTACATGGCTTGCATGAGACGTCGTATATTGCACCACGCCAATGGTCCTTTCTACGTGTTCTTGCCGAGAAAAGCAAAATCAGTGGTGCAAAACATGCTGCACAAGGCACACGCGCAGCAGCGTTTTTCACATTGGCCATCGATGTGACGTCATTGATCAAGCTGTCGTTCAAGAGGCTCCATTTAAGAAAGGTTAACAAGTCTGAATCTCCAAACGCTTCCAGGAAGTCATCCAGCACAACCTTTCTTTCGTGAATGGTGCGCCGTTCGATTTGTCCCGAGTCCCACAACAAGCAGGTCATCTGCCACTGCCTTCAAAAACTTTCAGCAAAGTGTGGAGATGTTCAGAAGGCTCAAAAAAAAGATGCGCCTATCCGACGTCGAAACAACACAACGCATGAAGCTGAGGTGCAACGGTCTGCAAGAGTGCAGCGGGGCTGGATGACTTAAACAGCAATTGTCTTTGGAAAATACCGAGCACCTTAGACTAACATTATACCGATGAGTCATGCATTCTCGGAGAGATGAGGCTCGCAAGTCCAAGAGTAACTGGACAAGGCCTCTAAAAGTTCAGAAGCTCTCATATCTAACATGGGAGCTCCCGTTCTCCCCTTTCGTAGTTATATGCAGTGGTCCGACTGCCTTTGTCATGTTTCAGACTTTCATTTATTGTTGTCTAGCATTAGCATTGTTTGTATATAATTCTACGCGAGATTTGTCAAGCTTTTTTTTGTTTTGTCGGACGGTATCACTCTAGTCGCCGTCATGCAGCCAACGCCAGGGTGTGTGCCTGGTGTGTGCAACTCCCGAACGCGAAAGGACACTGCCACAAGCGGCCGAGGCCACCCATGAACACATACCAAGCAGCAACTTTCCCAGTTTTTACTAGGCTCGTTCGATTTACCTGCCTCCTCTGCACCAGTGCAGAAAAGTGTAGGGCGGCATACTTCTGGTCGTATCTCAATGTCCACTGAAGTACACTGCCCTACTCTTTTCTGCATCGGGCAGGAGGTACAGGTAAATCGAACGAGCTTAGGTTGAATGTTTTCCATCCTCTGTGGTCTCCTACAACACAAAATCTGTAAAACAAAAAACTCACTGCAGCAACCTTTTTTTTTGTTAGAAGAATAAAATTTAGTAGCGTGAGCTACACTGGCCGAGGTTAAGCAGTTTCGCGTGGCTCACATAATGAGCCGTGCTCTGTGCTGCGCATGCGCGAGGAGCAGTGACGTCACACGGCGCACAGCTGGCGTGCCAGAGCCGCCGCCGCCGCGCGATTCGCCGCTGCGCGATTTGCCACTGCCGCGCCCGCCTCACCAGTCTGCGCATTTCAGAGGAGCGACCTCATAGCCGAGGCAGACGCACTGGCACCGCCGCGTGCCCAGTTGTGCGCCTCCGTTGCGCAGTAGACAAGTCTGATGCTGCACCAGAGTCACCTGATAGCGCCTCTCATTTTGTGCGCATAAGCTCAAGCTACGTATATCCTGGCATAGCGAGCTAAGCCACCGCAATTTTTTTTATTCTAATTTCCAAGTTGAGCGAAATGTTTCCCATTCGTGCAACGTTCACCGTTTGCTTACTGTGAAGCTGGATGGCGCGTGGCCACCTCTCCGAGCTCAAGAGCCTAGGTACACGAGGGAGCAGCTCAAAATAGAAATAATTTTAGGTGTTCATAATTGCAACAGGCTCACTTTGAGCAGCAACTCAAACCATGGAGAGCATCGGAAATTGAATGGCGTCCGCCTCCCGCTCAGATTGCTCTCAGATGCGCGTGCATTGCATTGTCACAAGGTGAGGAGAACAGCGGGCGGAGTGGTGAAGATGCTTGCAGACGACGGAGGTTTTCATCTCCTCCTCGCAGCTTGTATTGCAAATGCGGCCTGTAAACCACGTGACCGCGATCCAGGATTTGGAAACACTCCGAAGTCTAGGCGCACCAATCCAAGCCGAGTGCAGGTGACACCACCGGCAGTTCGTCGCAGCATCCTTAGACCTATCGATCAACAAGCTCCACAGAAGAGCGGCGTTCAAAAATGGTTCGTCTCTGTTGCCTAAATGTAAACATTTTCGACGGACATCCGTCTGGTTAGGAATGATTAATAAATCTTCAACTTTGAAACTCTAACCAAGCTTTATTAAAAAGCAAAAAATCCCGACGTTTCGGAACCAACTCGGTCCCTTGATCACGGGTGACTGTTTTTGTGCCGCGGAACGGCCTGCCCACGAACCCGAACACCCCCGAGTGTTTTCCGGATTATCCCTCTTAACCCCGAAACGTAGCTGCTGGGAAGGGTCCCCGTCGACCGGTTTATGTTGCCACGTGTGCATTGAATCTTGCAAGTCTTGTTGAACGTGAGGTGGGTTTTGACGGTAGAGATGGAGTTGTAGAGGTGAACATATCGCTTGGCAAGCCGCACCACCACAGGACCGTAGTCATTGCAAAGCGACTTAAATGTAAACATTTTCGACGGACATCCGTCTGGTTAGGAATGATTAATAAATCTTCAACTTTGAAACTCTAACCAAGCTTTATTAAAAAGCAAAAATCCCGACGTTTCGGAACCAACTCGGTCCCTTGATCACGGGTGACTGTTTTTGTCCTGCGGAACGGTACACGAGCAGGTACGGGTGGATAGCATTGCTAGCGCCGCTAGCAGGAACGCCTCCACGTGCGACGGAGAAAGACCGTTTTCGAACGAACACTCTTTTTGCGCTAACTTTGTTCACCGTAAAAGCACGATAGAATAACTTTACACTGCGGGCGGTATGCTTCCACCGGTTCCGCCCCTCATGTCCGTAGGACGGGCCGATAGCGTAGCATGCGCCACCAAGTGGGTGCACCTCGAAAAAGGTGCAAAGCGTTGAAGGAAGCATGTCGACCAGGCTTTGATCTGGTAACGTCGGTTCGATGCATGTCCCGGAAGTCGGGCGTCCGCTGCGCTTGCTGCATTCAGCAGACGTTTGGATTTGCGCTATCTTGCACTCTTAAGTGGTTTTTAACGATGGCCTTTAGCATTTGGTCACGAGAATACGGCAGTTGAATGCGGGATGTGTAAACTTAATTAACTAGGATTTCGAAACACTAGCACGCAAAACGACTTCTCGAAATACTTCTGCGGTTTGCTTGTGGCGTTCACTGCGCAACGAGCAGGCTTTCTCAGGATAGAATTTTAAAAAAGGCGGCATTTTGGGCACCGTTCGGACCCAAGCTCGGTACGTTCGGAGAAGCCTGCTAGGTGCTGTATTCCGATGGGTGGCTTCGTGCCCGTGTGCTTGATTTGTGCCACTTTTGCCATTCGTCCATAGTACAGATCAGTGGGCGGAACTGCTTCCTCGCACCGTCTGGTTTTAGTATTTACAGTTCAAATTGGCTATAACAGACCTTGATAGTGACTACGATTTGTATGTTCTAGAAAGAGTATGCTGTATGCAGGTACGAAGTTGAACCAATGGTGCAGATGGGAAAACTAACGGAACTTCAGAAAGCGGTATGTTATATCCAAATGTCTGTTGTAACCGGGTCTCTTACAACGAGTTCGTGCTGTACTTCAGGAAACGAGACATAAAAATATCGAGCGGGTTAAGACTGTCGACCAGTCATCCTTGGTTCAATTGTATTTCAAATTGGCTTACATCAATGATGGGTGAGAGAGTTGTGGTCCAGTTAACTTTAATGCCACATGGTCATTACATAATAACAAGAGGAACATAGACAATAGGACAGCATTTGGACCCTTTCTCAACTGCTCGAGTACATTTTGGACCAACGTGCGAACTATTATGGACACTTCCTCAAGCTATACTATAGTCTGGTATATACTTACCAGACTATAGTATACTGGCATGTCTCCAAAATACTTTAAGCAAAAAACAAATAGTATCTTTATTTGGAAGGTAAGTAAGTAATGCCGGAATCAGTTTCAATGCAACACCGGTTCGAGGTACTGCTGATGTGATCGGCAGTGTTTATTGATGAAAGTGCAGCTGTAACGTACAAGGCGGTTCTGGAAGAGGTGTGGTCGATCACTTTGGCTTCATCAGGGAGCTCCTGCACAAACGACAAAAGCATATCAGAAGGGAGGTTCGTGACAATGGGAGGTTCGCGACAAACTCAACTGGTTGAGGGCTTTGGATCCCCCGCTGAGGAGGATGTAGGGACTCTGCAGCTCCTTCTGTTTCTCCTGGAGTAACCGTAACGTGCTGAGGGGCGTGTCCGTCGAGCTCATCTGCTTCAGCTTCTGCTCGGCGAATTGGGGACAAAAACGTGTTAGTGATCGGGCAGACGGTTGAGCAGCATTTATATACGCACCGCCATGCAGAACTATGGAGTGTTTTTGGCTGCTGTTCGGGCATAATAGAATTTGTATAAATGAACCAGTGAACGGAGTACACCAAAACATTTCACGAGGCTGTCTTTAAGTGGCGCATTTATCGTAATCAAAGTTCACGAAGGCAAGTTTTAGGAAGAAAGTGTAAGCCTAAAGGTTTTGTTTTTTTCCTATGCACAAGGAGAAAAACAGTAAAAACCGTCTGGTCGGCGCCGCCACTCGCACACTGCGCAACATAAAAACAAGAACATGAAAGCTTTTTTTAAGATGAACACCCGAACATCAAACCAGACGGTTTTTACTGTTTTCCTCCCTGTAAATAAATAATAATAAAAAAAACTTAAGCTCACTTTTTTTTTTTTTTTTTAGAATCCTGCAGTTATTAAGTTTGAGTATAAGTGCACCACCTTAAGACACCTTTGTGAAAAGTTTCAATGCACCCTGTTCATTGGTTTATTTATATGAGATTTTTACGCCTGAATAGCAGTAAAAAAACACCCTGTAGAGTACTCGGAGCTTTTACGCTGGCTCAAAATAATGATCCCTAATGCTATGACAACAGCCAAGTTGGTTAAACATTTCCCTTTGTCGGGAGAATCTGATTTTGATTCCTGATGGCAGAAGTGTTTTTTTTATACATATAACCGGATGTATTCTGGAAAGTTGCAGCCTAATCGAGCGTGAAAAGGTATGGACAGTTATTGCTGCCGATCAAAGTAGTACTCTCCAGCAGTCATTACGGCCTGTCGAGGTAGTACCATACTTTCGGGACTATAAACTGTGGAGCAAAGTTCGACAAAAAGACGAAAGTTTTTCTTTAGTGTGCACCCAATGCATAGTTCATACCTAGACCATATTCGGCGCAAAGAATTATTGTACGCAGCACACCTCGAAAAATGCCTGCTTTGTTAGTGCGCAAAGAAGTTTGTATGATACATAAATAATTAGTAACACATCCTTATTCAAAATTGCACGATCTTGAAAAAACAAATCCTTATTAGTTCACACCAGTAGATACCAAAAGATCAAACTGAAATTTCTAAACATGTACAGTCTAGAAACAGTGGTTCTCAAATGGGGGTCTGTGAAGCCCTGCCTCGTCAGTTAAGCCAGGCAATAAAAGTTTTCTTCTTTCACCATTAAGAAGAAACATTCCTATTTTCGGGTGAGTTTTCTCGTGTGTACGTCAATGAGAGAGGTCTCCTTTACACCAGCTCTTAGTTACATCATTGTTTTAAATCATTATCATAATTAACCTATACATTTCCCTTCCCTTTACCACAAACAAGGTCCTCCATCATCTCCACCAATCGACAAGGGGTCTGCGACACATCGAGGGTCGAGAACCACTGGTCTAGCTAATATAGTGCTCTCCAGGGGCTCCGAATTGGGCACTTGGTGAGAAAGTCGGGAAAAATCTGATTAATGAGCGCCAAAGTCGAGCGCGGCACCGGCCAAGCATGGTGGCGGTGGCGACATCGCTGACTTTTTTGCCAGCCGTCCAGCTCGGAGCCCCGATGGTCGCCGTGGATGACCGGAGCGGTCTGTCAAGAGGAGGGGTCGGACGCAAGGGCCCACTCACGGCATGCTGGTCGAGCTTCTTGTGTCGCTTGTCCACCTTGTTCTTGCCGGAGCCCTTGCCGTGGAACTTGTGCGAGAGGTAGCGGAAGGCCTCCTTGGCGTTGAGCAGGCGGCCCCCGTCGTCAATGTACTCCAGCTTCACATCCGGCTTGTACGCCTCTTTCTCGCGGAACTCTGACAGCGGGCCGGAGTAGCGCTCCCGGCGACTCGCCTTGTCGTCGTCGCTGCAACCGTGCGAGAAACAGTTTTGACGCGCTGCCACGACAAAGAAGTTCACAGACGAACGATGTCGCCGTATACTCCATCCGCGGTGCAGACGAAGGAACGAGCACGGGGTTAGCAAATCGTAACAGCATATTTTAGGGGATTTTTGGGGGCTTTCACAGACACATCCTGTATATATATATATGTATATTTCAGGAGGGGCATGCGGCCAAAAAAGGAGTGAATATTCTTGTCCCTAACACTCGTTCATTCAAAATACTCAAACTTTTGTGTAAACAGTGTATATTTTGCTTTTGTATTGTTTCATAATATCTCGTTTCATTTATCTCCCTCCTGCTCTATCTAGACCCAACCCTACTCCTCTCCTCCTTCTCTTTGTGAAGTAGGAAACCAGCTATAAATGCAGGTTGACCTCTTTGTGTATGTAAGAACTGATTTTCTGAACATTTCGATGAAAAAATGAGGCCTGTTCTTGGTAGCCGACACCATTCAGCTCCGTGTATTTGTGGGTTCTGTCGGCTGCCACTTTCCCACTAGTTTTCAAAAATCACTTATAACTTTTGAACCGAATAACAGCAAGCTCTGAAACATTGGTATCCGGTTCGAACCGTTAGTGCTAAATTGGATGGGGACTGAGTGTTTGGCAATGCATATTTTATTACTGCAGAAAAAAAAAAGTTATTAGGGGGAAGGGTACAACCAGTACTAGCAGACAACTAAGACAATCTAAGAGGCAACGTCGAGCGGGTGAGGGCAAGAAGGATTCGCGCGCAACCTTTAGGGATTTTTGCAAAACGTCTATTATTGGAGATCAATCCAAAATGCTTGTAAATTATTTAGAGTCATTCCTCTAACTGTCCTTGAAAAAGGGACACACTCCTAAGAATCTCTTCAATAATTGTGGCATGCAGAGATGACACTAATGATATCACTGTACAAATAATTCTTATTTGTTCTCTTAGAGTCGTGGGCAGAATTTGCAAGTTTTGATCGTAGGCTAGTAGTTGGACGTATCTTGGATTTATTATTGACAAGTAATTGAATTTTGTTGCGTATTTAAAATTTTTGCACAAATGTAAAAAAAAAAAAAGCAAAAACATGCAAATGGTTAAGTTAACATGTTAGGTTAAGCTTTTGCAACTTTACACCAGAGGACCGGAAGAAAAAATGAGTAAAAAGACACTCACATCACGATAAAATACTTAAACTAAACGTCCAATAATAATAAATAAAAAAAATCTTTGAAGTGGATGGTCACTCGCGCCACCTAGTAGGCGTGGTATGCATTGAACCCGGAACGGTTTTAATACTTCATGTTAAATTTAAAAACTAAACATATACTATCAAATTCATCCCTTTATACCGCAACCGTTACGACCTTAAATAGTACATAAAAATTTTTAAAAAAAATCGCCAAACAGCTTTCTAAAAATTGCAAGATCAAAGTGTCTACCTCACGCGGACGGGCCTCCCAGAGCCCCAAAACTAGAGTTTAGGGTGGTCTAACTGCGTAGATATTTTATTATTAACGTAAGAGATCCTTCCGCGATGGATAAATAAACGTAACAAGACCCTTGCCAGGTAGATATGCAGTTCAGAAGGCAACGAGTTTGGGTGCGTTCGTCGGCCATCCCGCACCTTGAGCACCCCGTTTCAATGGCTATAAAAGGGTTCCGAGCAGCCAATGTTTATGTGTTGTATAGAAGGAGAGACGGTTAGCACTCCCCTTGATAAGGACGGAATGGCCTCTGGGCCTCAACACACATATGGTTAAGGCACAGCCGCCTACTTCGCGGCACTTAACCACATTTTTTTTAATACATAATTGTATTCCCTTTACGGAAAAATCTTAATTTTAATGCCACAATAACAAAAAAAAAAAACAAAAAAAAAAAAAACAGTATTTTACGAATAAGCTTGGTCTGAATCATAAAAAGAAAGTTTTTAATTTCCCAGGGGGAAAAGGGGGCGACAATTTCCTCCTCCTCCTCCTCCCAAAATAAATAAATCAAGTTGCAAAAAAAAAAAAAAAAGTTTTTTTTTTTTAATTGTTTTATTTTTTTATGGGTTGAGTTAATAGATCTGGAAATTGTGAAATTGCAGACCTCGTGAACAAGCCAACGGACCTTCTCAGATTTTATTTTGCTCGGGTGAGAGCGTGAAAAATTGGTGCCGGATCAGGAAATGGCTCTGGACAATTTAATTAAAATGTTTATGCAATTAAATCCCCGCACTAGTTCAATAATCTGGACTTAGGAAACTGACAAAACATTTTTTGCCCCTACAAGAACCAAACAGACTTCTTTGAACTATAAATTAAAAATTCAGAAAAGCCGTCGCGTTCACGCACTGTAAACGTTAGAGGTACATAGCTCAAACGTTTGTTACATACACTGCATTCAGCTCGGTGGGAAATAAATGCCCATTTTTGCTTCGTAGAGCGGACCGCTCTACAAAGCAAAACGAGACGACAAACCTTTATCCAGTTAAAAAATTTGCCCATTCGCACACCCTCTCCCCAGGCCCCGCTTCCCGCCGTTGCCATTTTCAAAAGGCACCGTCCCGCAAGGCCAACATTGTCAGCATCTATCTTTGTGCATATTTTATCTTTTTTGACGATGCTTTTTCTGATCCTCAGTAGCAGAAGAACTGTATTTCCTCTTTGGCACACGAACAGCGGAAGCGAGGGGCAAAAATGCCGTATAACAGCTTGACGGAGCTGCTTGCTCCCTCGTAGTTTCACATCACTTATCACACGTGAAAACTGATGCAACAGCACGATGCTAATGCGTCCTGATGGGCGGAGGCATGTATGGCTGCCCTTGATTTGTAGTTCACAGACAACTCCCCAGACAGCGCTTGTTACTCGAGAAGGGTAAAGCCCCTCGATAAAATTCATGTTTTGCGTCTCTTACAAGCACCGAGAACCATTGTTATGCGAACGTGCTAAAAAAACGTTCCACCCAGCGAGTGCTGCCATTTGCTTACAAGCACAACACGGGTTACAAGCCTTGTGCATCGGCACATCTGATGCCACTTGTCAAGCAAGCACATCAGAGGGCAGGTCCATTCTAAAATTCACCACAAAGACTGCATTCGGCTCGTCGAGACATGAATCCCCGTTGTTGCCCCGTAGAGCGATTCTGAGACAATAATGCCAATGTTCCCTCGTAAGCCGTATGTACCCCACCCCGAGGCCCGAAATGGTTACTCACTAGAACTTCTCCTCGATGGTGTAGGACTGTGCGTGGAGCTCACTGTTCTTGGTCGGTGGGGCACTGTTCTTCTCTTCGGTCTCGATGTAGCCTGGAAGACGCCGCCGCTCTCAAAAGGGGCCCTCCTCCTATGCTAAGGGCTTTGCCTCGGCGCAAACGGTCTAACTCTGGGCTCCTTGAAACTTTTCATCAAGAGAAACTGGCTCGGAAGGCCTAGCAGTGCGGAGCGCAAGTATGTCCACTTCTTGCGCGGTGGTTGCGGCGATGACAGAACACAGAGTTCCGATGGGCTCCGACTGGGAGGATGGTGGGTAGACCTCGAGGCAGCTAGCATCGTAGTCTACCCACTATCCTTCCAATTGGAGCCAGTCGTAGCTCGGCATTCTGACGTCGCCGCAAGCCCCGAGCAAGAGGCGGACGAACTTGCGCCTCGCATAGGTAGTCACTGACGTGGTGAGATGCGTCACTTTCAAATGCCCGGCCTTCGGCGCGAGTTGGTTGCTTTCCGCCATGCTTTGGCTGCGCGTGCGAGCTCGGGGCGCACAAGACGGGACAACCGAGACCCCTCTCTGCCCGTCTCGTCCCGCCGATGAACGTAGCTCACAGCTCACGATCTGCAAATGCAAGTTCAGCCGGAGACGTTCTACACCGCCCCAGTTTGAATCCCACCGGGTGGGGGAGGGGCGTTCTCGTGATGCTAAACGACTCTCCCGTGCCGCAGAAGCAAAAACTGTCCCCGAACCGATCGACTCAAGCTCTTGCCTTCAATAGTCAGAGACAGTTCAGGGGAAGCTCCTCGCATTCCTTTCCACCTTAGCAGAGAAAATGTGGGAGAGGAGGTGGCCTCCTCTCCAGCATTCGCTCTGTTAAAGTGGAAAGGGGTGGTCCTCTAAATTCTTAGCCTCTCACCGATTATAGTTTTAGTTATGGATTAGCGCCAGAAAGGTCAAAAATGCACCTCGAACTAGCCGTCTATCCTAACTGTCCAGTAGAGCTTGCTGCGTCAGGTCCCCAATGCCCAGAATGCCCACTACACTATGTTTATCTACCGAGATATACAGTAAACCTCATAAAAACTAGAAAATAATTTAAGATGGGCGGAGTTTCAAGATAAGCGAGATACCAAACTTTCCTCACACTAATCGTGCATTGTGCCATTGGAACCTTCACAACAACCGCGTCAAAATGATAAACAAGCAACCCTCAGAAGATGAGACAGCAAAACTAGAAAGAAAGAACACATAAAAAAGAAGGAAACAAAAAGACAAAGAGCAGTAGATGTTCAGCACGTGGGCCACCATTTCATAGCTTGTTGTGGCCTCCCTGATTTTCATTTCTTTCTTTTTCTTAATTTTTGTTGACAAGATTTTGAGATATCCGAGGTCCGTCCTGAAAACCTTTTGAGACGAGTGACGGGTAATTGCATCGTGCCTATGGAAGTATGTACCGCAACGAAGAAATCTTTCTACCTGACCGATATTTTGAGATAGCCGAGCTTGAGTTAAAGAGGGATTACCGTAGCTACATGGCAACGTGTGCATTCAAGTGGTACAAAGAGGTGCCTGGAGCGCGCATCCGACCGGCGCATTTAACGTCTTTGCTACCCACGTGCCGAAAACGGTCCCCAAGTGGCAACAAATTACGTCGCACGAGCCCGCACGTTTCACCATCGGATGGCGCAAACCCGGCGGTCGGTCGTGGAAGTCCCGGCATAAAAGACGGGACAATGCAAGTGTCGCCGTGGTCGCGCCGTCCCAACTCCCGGCTAGCGAAGCTTTCAAGGACCGTCAAGCCAGAGAGCAACCTACGGTAAAACGGGTGTCTTCCGCATCTATCTCCACCGCCGTGCCACTGCCGGGACCGCGGCACACGACAACACGACACGACTGCAATGTCGTCGGGCAGAAATCTAAGGACCACAAAGGGGGACACGGTAAACACACCAATCGAAGACGCGTTCCAGGACGCCGCGCTCCTCGAAAACCACCGCTTACGCAATCGATAAAACGGAGATCGATTTGCGCCGAAATCGACACAGACAGCGGGTGCATCGCGCCGACGCTCTCTCGCGAGAAACTGTGCAAAATCCTCGCCCGAGCGCGAGCTCACCTTTCTTGACGGCGAGACGTAGCGCCCCCGAAACGCCCACCGAGAGGTCGGGTTCCTCTTCGAGGATGGGCTCTTTCTCCCGATCCTGCGAGAATGCGGTCCTCTGAGCACGGATCGTTCGATGGGTGGCCCCCCCGTTGTACGACCGGGCTCTTGGCCGTTCCCACTCGTTTACCCCCAATGCGAGCTTCAGGGTGTCTAGCAAATTATTATTTTCATATTCTCTGACTTTTCCAGGTTTTCCCTGACAATTTCAGGTGAAATTCCCTGACCACTCTAGAGCCAGTGAAATATATAAGACCATTACGACAGAAGGCATTGAGCATTGAACACTGTGAGGATAATATTGCACGGGCTTAATCCACCTTTGATATTCCGAAGTATTTGGGTTCGTCCAGTCTGGATTAAATTAGCACTTTCTTGCCGCCGACATCGTCAGTGAAGAGGCCGCTCCCAGAAACATGATGAAAACATGACGCTCAACAACACACGTCAATAACCAAATGGTAGCATGGCAGCCAGATGCATACTTTCGAATACTTTCTGCTTAAAACTTCGATTGGCTCGCGGTCTGCGGCCTTTCCCATTTGTTACTAAACCTAGTACAGTAAAACCTCGTTATAACAAAGTTGAAGGAGCGGTTGTAATTATTTCGTTATAACCATTAGTTTGTTATAGCCAATGTCCATTTCTTCCCACTATTAGCAAGCAAGGGGAATTATAATTGCTTTGTTATATCCATTAGTTTGTTATATCCCATTTTGTTATAACGAGGTTTTACTGTAGCTCTAACTGGATCTAGCCTAGTGTCGCGCGGTCAATCCAATCCAAGTCTTGGACTGGATTTGTCGGCTGTTCCCTTTGCATCGAGTAGCATACTCTGCCTCGAATGAGCAGAGCCCGCGCTCCACTCTAAGCAGGATTGATTGCCTATTTTTCAGTTCCCAAGTCCTCAAGTCTTTGCTAAGGGCACTCGATGGCATTTTTGGCTCATTTCCCCTGACTGGGCTCGTTTTTTGACAACATCCCTGACAATTCCCCGATTTTTCCCGGTAATTAAAATTTCCCCGATAATTCCCGGTTTTCTCGGTTTTCCTGGCCACTAGACACCCCTGGAGTTTCCTTCTAAAACGCCGCGTCAGGGGTTTTTGACGCAATTTCGACTGCCACGAAACAATGGGTGCCTCTCGATCGAATCCAACAAACTCGAAGATGCATGAGATGTGGTGCGAATGAGCGGGCACGACCCTTGTGTGTGTGATGTTGCGCAATGTCACAAAGTCATGTGACATTGTGCGACATTACGATCGTCACATTACGCTCGAGCAATAGATTCCGCACTCAAATTGCTCGTGGGTTCCGCGAGCACTCAAATTGCAGTGCGGGCGCACTGCAATTTGGGTGCTTGCGGAACCCATGAGGCCAGCTTGCGGAACTCCTGTGTTCCTGGGAACCCAGTTTGAGAACCCCTGATTTAGACGAAGCAATGCTTCGTCCAAAAGATAAGCAGAATAGTACAAAATGCGTGAACACATTATGTGAGCAGAGTTCCTTTTTGAACGGAAATAAATTGACGACATAGAACTAGTACTGTTCATGGCGCACGTAATGCTCGGGGAATGGGAACGGGGGCTCGCAGCCGCGGGATGCTTGCGGGCCCGCTTCCCAGTGTGTCGCTTATGGGCCGCGTGTTTCAGACACCTGGTTTACAGTGAGGTGACCTAGCCGCTTTAAAGGGACACTGACACCCCCCAAAATTTTTTTTTAATTTTTTGCCAGGCGCTTCATTATGGTGTCGGAGGACTACCCAATTAATATTTTGCAACAGAGTAGTGTATTTTTTTATTAAAGCCAAAAGACGCAACTGCTCGAAACCGAAACCCGACGGAGGTCGGAGAAGTGGAGAGAAGAGAGCGAGTGGCGGAAGTCACGTAACTACACCCGACGTGTGTTTTTTTTTTTTTTCTCCTTCCCGGTAGCAGACGACATGCGGCGTAGGATTCTTTTGCAGTTATGTATGTTCCGCTCGTTGTTCTGTACTCCAAGATGAGTTGTTTTGTATATTGTGGAGTTGGAGATGAGTAGTGAGTGCCCGTGGTGAATTTTGATCGGCTCCGAAAAGGATACACCCAAGATGTTGCGTGAAGAGCTGGCTCACATGTCCTGCGTCCGAAACAGAAGTGGCATTGTGCGATAGAGTTTCCGAAAGATCAACGGGATCGGGACCAATGGCTGGCTGCAATTCCTGTAGACCATTTACGGGCACCTCGGAAAGCGGACGCTATCTGATTTATATGCTCCTTGCATCTTGTGGAAAGTGATTACATTGAGTTCGCAGGTGTCAAAAAGGAAATCCCATACCATTTAATTCAGCGAAGTGTCGTCCACAACATTTGTTTCTTTTTCTTTTTTTTTTTTCTTCAGTGATAATTTTAACAAAAGAAAAGAAATGCAGACATCAAAATACATATGGAAAAAAAAAATAAAAAAAGCTCCACGGGGGATCGAACCCGATCCTACGCGTGTTAAGCGGACGTCTTTCCCACTAAGCTACTGGGGCATATCGAAAGTAGGGGATCTCTTTCCTTAGTAATAATTCAGCCGATAAGCTGTAAGTTGGAAAGTTTGCTACCGATTCTCCTTTAGCAAAAGCACTCCCGGGTCGAAGTCGGGATTCACCCCGCATTGGCGACATTCTCACCTTGTAAAGAAATCGTACGCGTGCATATTCAACTCGAAGTAGACACGTCGTGCTTGACGTTTGCGCGAGCGATGTCTTCAGCCACGAGAAGGGAGCGACGGCTCGGCGACGTCTTCGTGCAAATCGGCTTGGTGGTCGGGCGTGTCGTACGGGATGAAGACCAATTCTTTTGATCAGTCTCAAATTTCTCTTTTAAAGGCAGACAAAATTCTCCGGTACCGCGAACGACAGTTCTGAAATAGAGGTCTCACGCCCGTCGTCCGCTGCCATCGCGTCCCTGCGAGTCCCACGATACGCGAAACGACGCACGCACAGAATGCTTCCGGTTGTCTGTGAAACTTTTTTTTCAATCAACGTATTTGCAGCTTTTTAGAAGCCACAAAAAATGGGTTTCATATTTTTTTCTATTTTTAATATTGAGTGTGTGCCTTCAGTGACCCACGACTTTGATTAAATTTGGTGGTCGCATCGATACCTTAGAAAACGGCCCGTGACCGCGGAAAAGAGAGTGAGCGAGACTCGAACCGGCCAGTTCTTGATCGGCGGTTTTCGGGCGGAAAGAAACCGAATTTCGAGCCGCAAATTCTGTTCTGGGTAGTTGAGCTCTCAAATGTCACGTACAACTAAAAACCTCGGCGAGCATAAATACCCTGTCAGTGTCCCTTTAAGGTTCATTCTTCTTAGCTTCCGGTTGTAGGTCACACACACTCTCAAGCAACAATAGACTGCTAGCAGTAATTATCTATTCTACGTAAAAGACGAAACCAAAACATCTCTGGCACGAAACTCTTATCACAAGACCCACAACGAACGTCCGGGTGCATGCACCATGTGACTGATATCTTGAAAGAGTTTTTGGACCTTTTATTTTTAAACTGGTGGACTGGCATCCATAAAAGTAAGACAAAAAATGCCCGTGTTTACCCGCTTCGTCCCCAAAATAGCTGTCCATAGTCTGGACTGATGGTTTCCCTATTAAATGGGGAAAAATTGCACAGCGAAAAATCTGCCGCCAAACATTTTGTCCACAACGCGGGGTGTCTATATTAACGAGGTCCATGTTGACGAGATGCGACTGTAGCTTTATATGAGAACCACACACGAACCTCAACTGCTTGTGTTGATCGCACCGTAGCAAGGCCAAGGGAGAGAGTGTCAGCAATGGGGCACAGGTGTTAGTGTGATGTCATAACGCGTGCAGTCAATGGCGTTGCAGTGCGTGGAGTGTGTAAGTGGGGGAGGGGTGTTAGTGGTGCGCGATGCTCGGGGACATCTTCTGGCATCTCAGAAGAAGTAAAGATCGTGCATGCACAGCCTTGATCGGCACTCAAGGCACGCGAGAGCATGAGAACCCACAGCCTTGGCTTTGCCGCCAGAAAGAAGTTGTCCCCAAGTACAATACTCCCCTCCCGAAGCAGCGTGATATTGCTACTTTTATACACTCGTTACGTCCAGAATGGGCCAGAACTTTCCAGAAGAGTACAGAACTATTAAGTGAAAGACCCAGACCGGGCTGTATTCGAACCCCATTCCCCTGTGTGGCAGCCACGTGTGTTACCAACTCCACCACACACGCAGCAGTATCAAAGCAAGTTCTACTTTTTTTACGACCGAATAGCGCCCGCGAACACCTGGTAGAAGGTGCAACGAAGGTAGGCAAAGGAATGGTGTCTTAGCGTGGGCAAGGGGTGCCGAGCAGCAAATGCCCCACCTTGATCTCGACGGGCTTCTCCTCAAGGTCCACCTCGTTCCAGGTACCCCGGTTGGTCGGGTCGTTGGCCTCGGCGTCTTCCTCGGGCTCCAGGTCCTGGTGAGAGGAGACAGCGTTGCATCAGCAAGTTTCGCATGCCCCAAACTCGCGTGTACACTAGAGACAGGTCGAACCAGCCTACAGCCTAAGTTCGGGTTCGGCAAAATTCGGCACCTGCCGAACCTTTGGAGGAAAATCCGACGAAGGTTCGGCAAAGATTCGGCAGACGTCTCTGCGTGCGCACCAACCGCAAGGCCGGCTACCTTGGCTGGCGGCGGTTATTGCGCAAAAGTGATGAAAGGCAACCAGAGATGACTGCAGGGACGATGGACAACTATTTTTCAGCACGGTTATTATGCACCCCAAAGCGACGGTAGGCCAAGCACAATTTTACTGCTACTTTATGCTGGTGGGGTCGCCATCTGTTTTTTGGTCAAGAGCTGAAGATCAAGCAGGCTGTGCACAGTGCAAGGGACGAAGGGCAGGGACGTTAACTGAAAACAACACGGTTGAAAACATGATTGCCACATGTAGAACTGGATATGCAGTTTGACACAAGGAGAGGTTAACGCAAAACAAAAGTACTCGTTGTTTCTTTTGCTTAGCGTGCATTCTGCATTTCTGGTTTTGATCTCAGTCTAAGCGCTTTCGTACAAAACTGAACGCAAACAAAGACACTCATTCCTTCACATCTGAAACTTCTAAGTGCCACGTTCCACAACAGCTTACAAGCTATCAACGCATGGAAAAGCTGGCGCAATATTTAAGAGCTTGCATACTTCCGGTGGTGGCTCAGCCAGGGAATTTATTGCAACACGCAGAAAATGAAGGTATCCACAGTGCCCACCAGGACCACCACCCAAATGCTCACATTTACAGACTTGCATCGATGAAGTTCCGAAACATAAACTAAACCAGCTATACGTCGTACTAGAGATCATTGCGCACCAGCGCGTACCATGACGAAAATTACTCATTTTGCAAATAAATGCTAAACAATGACACTAATAAACTTTTACATTAAAATATTGCCTTATTTAGCAATCGATATGTCAAGGTTTATTTATTTTGTTCTACTAGGCACCGAAAAATGTTTTTTGCAAAATTAAAAAAAAAAAATCAGTTAGTCAGTTTGACAACCTTGAGTTTTTGCTGAATTTTCCGAACAGGCTTGGTGGTGCAAGCTACTGCCCGTTACAAAGGGTATAGCCATTAACATACATACATCCAACATCCACTGCCGAATTTTGAATTCAACAAAAGTTCGGCCCATCACTGGTGTACACGGCACCTCAGTCGAAAGATGTAATGAAAAAGCAGCACACAGGGACGAAAACACAGGAAAGGCTGGTTCGCACGCTTCCCTTTGACCGAGTGCGTTGCTTTCTCTTGCAACCACTTAAGACTGGCGCCATCTATAGGCTAGCCCTGGAACATACTGCAAAAGCTACGCTCGATAATGTAGCACAAAATAGTTGATGCCAGGCGTAGGTGAGGCACAGGCGCAATAGGCTAGCACATAAAACAATAAAACAAGGAATTTCGGAAGCTCCACCATAGCAGTTTCCGTCTGGCGCATGCATCTATTCCTCTGTGGAAGACGCTCATACTGGTACCTGTCTACTGTAAAGGCGTGGCTAGACTGAAGAAAACTTTAAGTGTGTCTCAATCGTATCAAACTCCAAGACACACCGAATGTGCCGCAAATAAGCTGGCCACACGCTGTGTGTGTGTGCGTGCGTGACACCACATGACACAGTGATATACTACTGTGAATGTTTTCTACCTTCACAATGGCACATTGGAGTCCGTCGTGCTTTACAAACAAAAAGAAGAGCCTTCCCAGAGGAAGCGGCCTGCCTCTCCTAGACACTGTGATCCTTCCACCCAAAGCTGATGGTTTCACTACGGGTGCGCTGCGTGGCGCTGTTGGAGCAAACAAGCAATTTCCGTTTTCTTTCACCTTTTTTAGAATTCAAAGGCTGTCATTGAAACTATTGGTGGTGTTCAAAAGTGCTTGTTTCAAGTACTCACCCAAGAGGTAAACTTTGGTGCCTTCCTACGTCCCCTCCAAGCAGAACGGCAAAATGTGCCGACGTCGTGTTTGCACCAACAGTGTTGCGCAGTGCTAGGACCTTAGTTCATTACAAGCAAGGTTTCATAACTGGGTTGCCCTACAGTGTTTGCCTCCCTACTCTTTACCCCTGTATGCACTAATGTGCAAACTACTGTTGCTTTGGGACACCCAAAAACAATGCGCGCAACAGTTCAACGGTCGCGGCACTTGCCATGAGCTCCTCGGCCTCCTCGTCCCGGTTGCCCGACATGCCGTAGGTGGGGATGTCTCCCAGGGTGCGGCAGAACTCGGCTGTCGAATTGAGCACGATCGACTTCTGGGAGGGGTCGTCACTCTCTGCCAGCCCCATCTTGAGCACCGACTCGGCCACCTGGGAAGACAAGGGTGCCATGGTGTACTAGTGTTGGCAACGGCTCTGCTAACAAGAAGCACATATCGTAAAATCTAGCGGGTGTTGCACCGTCGCTTTACCGGTCAAGCGTGGGCGTGCACATTTCAAAGAGTGGGAAAATTCTTTTCTCCCGCGTCTCTGGCAGAGGTATCTTTTGGAACGAGGAAAAGAGAGCACCTTTTCATACATTTGTTCGTTCCACTTCATTTCCTGGTTTGTCACAATGTAATACGATCGGTGCTTGGACCCCTAGGCGGTCCATTAACAAAATAGAATTTCGAATGCGACGGGCAACGTGCGCAGCATAAAATTAAAATAACATCAGAAAATACTAACGTAACAGATAATTCTACATTTTACTAATCTGAAGCATAGTATGACAATACTGTGATCCTAACTTTGATCTTGCAATGCGAGAAAAAACATTTTTAACCATACCAAAAAGTTACCTATCGCTTTTACATTGCTAAGCACATTATTCCAAATTAAGGCACCGTTAAACTCGATTAATCTTTGTCCATAGGTATTGCGATATGACAGTAAATTAAAAAAAAAATTACTCGTTGCAGCCCTAGTATGTCGTGTCGGAGACTTAAACAAACTTAAGGGAAGTGGGTCATTAGATTTTATTATTGTACCAACTGCTTAGGCAATTTCTTTTTTTTCGAATAGAAAGGCAAGGGTCAACACACAAACTAAATAAAAAAAAAGGTCCGCTTGGATCTGTAGCTCTTGAGTATGTAATAATTTATAGGGCTCGTTTCTGTACTTCACGTGTCTATAGCTCATTCGGCAGCAAAGCACGCAATGCCGAAACACACTCCGAGGGAATGCAGAGCACCATGACATTGCGGCCAGCTCATGACGAGCAGCGGTCTGGCAACATTCTAACTGTATACCGCCTGTCAGCTAGAACACAAGAATTTGGAACAGCAGCGATAGCATCGCGAATGCTTGGCACACTCAAACTTGGTGGGCTGCTGCAAACTTGTGTTCTCGACATGCATGGCCTCACAAGCTCTCGTTGCCGAGCTGTGGCAGTCCCAACACCACCCCGTATCCGAGTACCTTGACTGTGGCAAGAGCGTCGCACTACGAAATGAAACTTGTTCGGGGGTGTACTTACAACTCCTTGTAAACAGGCACTAAGACTAAACTTTCGTAATCTTCGTTTACCTCAATCCAATGGATAAGGTCGGTGGAGCGGAACAAGTCAGTTTTGCACGGTCCGCTTAGAACCCGTGGCTCTCACACTGGCGACATTCGTGCATATGTTTGGCACCGTTCTTTCTCGTAGATGCTAGGACGTCGTGCCGAGTTTTGAATCCTTCCGTTACCCGACAGGAAGGATTCCTGATGTGGTCGTACAATATAACTAGGGTTCTGCGTTTTCGGATAAATCCAATAAAATCCAAAAAACACTCGCCGATAAAAATATTTCGAATTCAGATTTTTCCGAAAAACTCAGAATACAGAAACTCAGTTGCAAAAAATAAGGAAACTTTTTCCGGGACCCAAAGACACCTTCTTGGTCCACTTTTTATCGTTTCCAAGTTCACTCGTTCCACTTTGCCTTTTCCAAAGTCTTAAAAAAGTATGTCCTCTGAACCCTTATGAGAAAAAGCAGGCGTCCTCCTCACGGCAAAGGCCAAAGTAAGGTTGAATACGTAGCCAGTTCAAGAGGGAACCTTCTTCCCGGATACCCTTTTTTCTAAGACCTTCACTCACCCTTCTGTGACTTCCTTTTGTAGCAGACCGAACCTTCGCACACATTCCCCCGTCATCCTCGTTGACGACAGAAATTCGAGATTAAATCAGTTGCATTAATGTGGCAATTTCGGCCAGTTGGTTCATGACCCTAGACAAGCACCGAAAGAATAGACAGGGACAAGAAGTTGATGTAAACACTGGCACACTTGATACTAACAAGCATTCATTTTTGCCACAAATGTTCTAAATAATGACTGAATAACATTGTATCTGCAGTTTGCTTCTCTCAAACGTAACCCTATTTGAAGCTGAACACCCCTAAAAACTTTGTATTTCAAGAATCATAAACGAATGCTTTGAGAAACTCATAATTTTGGGAAAAAAAAATAAACTCCAAAAACGCAGAATAGTAAATACTGTTGAGACCGGTTATAACGAAGTCAGTTATAACTAGGGTTCGGAGTTTTCGGTTTAAACCGATAAAAACCGATAAAAGTACGCCGAATCTATTTTCAGAAATTCGGTTTTAACCGAAAAAGGTCAGTTTGTAGGTTCGCCATTTTCGACTTAAACCAATAAAAACCGATAAAAGTACGTCGAATTCATTTTCTAAAATTCAGTTTTAACCGGAAAAGGTGCCGTGGCGAAAAAGTGGAACGACAGTGCCGACCGAAACGTGTCCGAACGTATGGAATACACGAATGCCATCATGACGTTATGGTTTAATGTGCACATCATCGATCGGAACTTGAAGTTCGAAATGCCCCATGACTTTCCCATGTACGGGCCTGTTTTCAAACTTGTTGTAAGGAAGACTGGATGCAAGCTCTGCATGTTGTGTTGTGCTTCAAAACGTCGCACCGTGTCTCTTTTGGCGGTCACAACTGGTTGATTGGCCGATTTTTGCTCAGGCAGCGCTTCATCCCCTCAGCCCGCCAGTGCCCAGTGTTAGCGTTGAGAGGGAATTCTCGAAGCTCAGGGTCATATTAACAAAAAAAAAAAAAAGTGCGGATCAACGAAGCAAACTTGGGAAAGTACATGTGTGTGTACTATAATAAGAGCACGTAATCCCGATGTACAGAAGGTAAAGTTCCATGTGTATTGAGCATAGGGTTCATATCTGGCTTGTTTGTACGTCCGTCTTTTTTTTGTTGTTTCTTTTACAGTTGCACACATTTGCCAAATAAAGTGTGGATATCTTTTTCAATATATCTGTGCAGTTATTCTTTGAGTGATCACAAATATCAAAGCTACAAGGATCGTCTGATCCGGTGTCCGTTAGTGTTTGTTTTAATTCACCGAAAGAAGCCGATAAACTTTTTTGGGCATAAATATACACCGAAAAAAACCGAAAATTGAATTTTAAAATAAACACCGAAAAAAGTACGCCGAATTTTGAAATAATAAAAACCGAAAACGCGGAACCCTAGTTATAACGAAATAGGGGCTATAGCAAAGTGATCACAATTTGTCATTCCAGTTTGCACTTTTTCAATATGTTTGTGTCTGTCTTTAGCAAAGGAAATTCAGCAGCTTCCATAAACAAACCGAAAAAAAATTTCCGATAATTTATGAAAAATAATTAAATTCCGAAAGTTTCTCGGGTCGCAGACTGCCGCATTTCGCTGCTGCGGTCGAGCAGCCACCCAGAGCGAGCCGCAGACGTGCTGCAAAGGCCGACGGTGGCAGCCTCCGCATCATCGTCTGCTCCCTGCTCCTTATTTAGGAAGCGGCTTTTCCGCATCGCATGTCGAGAAGCCGCCGCAGCATGCCAACGAGGCGTTCGGAGCGTCGGCGACAACATACTTACGACATACTGACGGAGACAACGGAAAGAACCTAGATTTGAGAAAGGAGCAACTCCATTTTCATGGCGGACGCCTCTCGGGCAGACGAGCTCAAGTGCACCTGCATTTAGTCGTCTCGTGGCCAGCATGGCAAGAAAACCAGGCGAAGATGCAGACACGTTGGCAGACGGTGAACGCTTTTGACTCCTTGCAGGCTGCAGCTCATTTTGCAAACGCGGCCCACAAACCAAGTGACCCCGACTAAGCAGTTGCTCCCTTTCTTAAATCTAGGCTCTCTATAGCAACGAAACACGAACTTGAGTGCGAACTCGGTACCGTGCGCGCTTTGTTTGCTTCATCTTCCGTGTCCCAGTCGTGGATGTCGTGGGGGATCTGGACGCGGTCCGTACGTAGCTCGCGAGGTTTTCTTTTGATCGGAGCTTCTCGGCAGTTAGAGAGAAGCGACTTCGACCTAGCAGAGGAAGCATGCAGTGAAGCCTTGATCACTTTCTGCAGGCACAATAAGCATGCGCCCGTAATGGCCCAGTTTTTTCTTCTTTTTTTTCTTCTGCGCATTATTTTTATGGAGTTTAGATATAACAAAGAAGCGAATTAGTGAAGTGATTTCAGATTCCCGTCGACTTCGTTATAACTGGTCTCGACGGTATAACCGCGCGATTGTCTACACGCTTCTCCATTCTTTTACGGCTCTTTCGAATCGTTTCCGTGACATCAGGTAATGTGATATGGTCGCCAGAAAATCATGCCAACGTGAGCGACTTAGGAGTAGAAAAGCCTCGATGCAAGGCGGCATCGACGTGACAATCGCACGACGTGATGCTTTTAGAATGCGACAGCTGCGCTGCTTATTCGACGATATGACGATGACGATCGATTGACATTGCACCGATTGTGCGTCATATGGTAATCTGATATTGAAATGGCGCGTTGATTTAGCGTCAATACATTGTTGATGAATAAATTCTTTTCGCGTCATGATGTGTTTTCCCGCCAAATTCAGCATGGCAAACTGAATTGGCGCATAGGTCACGTGACGCCAATTTTTCCACTAAATTTAGCGGGGAACCTGAATTTGTCTGTAAGTCCTGTGACGTCAGGTCATGTAACATCAATTTTCCCACCAAACCTAGAGGGGAAACTGAATTGGTCCACAGGTCACGGGACATCTATTTTTCCACTAAATTTAGCGGGGAAACTGACAGCGTTTACGCTCACGCCGTCAAAAAACCAGGGAGCGGGCCACTAACAGCTGTTACTGTAATAATACTCTGCCATGCAGGTTTGTCTCGCATGTGGTCCGTGCAAAGAATTGAGGGACCACCTCCCAAGACGCGGTAAACGCACCAGTTGAAGATGCCGCGTTCTAAGCGCCGTAGCGTAGCGGGTCCCTTTCCGCCCGAACAGCGAAGGCCACCGTCGAGACGCACGTCGAGCTCTCACCTTCTCGAAAGGGCGGTTCTGGTTGAGCCTCAGCCGGCGTGCCTTGCTCAGGGCAGCTTCCAAGGTCTGCTCCAGCTCGTCTTCTTCCACCGCCACGCCGGCCAGGTCTTCGTCCGGACCCACCACCTCTGACAACAGACAAACCCCGAGACGTCAAGTTCCTCGCGGGACTGTCTTTGAAATATGAAAGCTTAGCGAGATATCTTTTTTTGTAACCACGAACACCTCTTGTTAGTTTTGGTGCCGAAATATATACGATGCAAGGGGTTTCGGGTGGCCAATCCATGTCTCCTGAGCAGACGAGCCTCGAATTACCGCCAAAGTTAGGACGCGCCCAGGTCGGGGCCCGCTAGCTGAAATCGCCGGTGAGACATGGTTGTATAAAAACAACATTAATTGTGCCGCAAAAGATTGTAAACTAAATTTTTATGAAAACATCACGCTCCTGTCATTTTGTACTAATCTCCAATAAACGTTGTGGTGGTCAGTTCGAAAGAAGGACTCGGGAGTTTGGAACGGCGGTTATGAGTGAAACAAAAATCATATTTATAGAACTGGGTAATTAATTTGTGTTAAAAAGATTGCACATTGTATACATTCAGTAGTCAAGTTCGGTCGTAAAGATCCCGCTCACGAGTTCTCGCACTACCGGCGACCACAGTGAAGAAAAATAATTGAGCTGCCGTCTTGGCACCTCGAGACTGGGAGTACTGGGCACTCTGGGAACATGCAGTGACTCTAAGTAACACCATTTCTGCCAAGGCCCTGCAATTACTAGAAATAAAACATCTTTTAATGTTAAAAAAAAAAAAAAAAAAAAAAAAAAAAAAAAAAAAAAAAAGCAAATTGTACCAGAAATAGGGAGCGGGTTATCTTTAGGGGGTTGGGCACCTCTCAGGATATCATCGTATGAACAAATTGAACATAAATAAAGTTTTTTTTTTTTTTTTTTAACATCAGGAGGCACTATCTACAGATTATCACAATCAAAAACCTTTTCTTAAATCAGTTGTCATTTCCTTTTCAGCCGAATTTCGGGCGCTGTCACTCTTAATAGTCTGTTTCTGTCTCCCACCTTTTCGAGGCCTGAGTGCCTTTTACCCTGCTCACAAACGAGATATTTTTTTGCCGATTTTCAGCAAAGAGCTTCCGAAGGTCCGACTTACCGTCGTCATCGGCGTTGCCGGAAGCCTTGTTGGCATCCACAAAGAACTGCTGGCTCTGCGGGTTGACGTAGACAGGCTCTGCAAACTTCTCCGCTCGACGCCTGCGCGAGACACGTTCGCAACCCTATAGGCTCCGCGCCATCGCCGCACGCCCGCCGAGAAAGCGGTTTCGGTCTCGTTCTGCTCGCAACAGCAAAAGAAACACTTGCCGAAATCTCTGCCAAGAAACTCTGCCGAAATCTTGGAAGTCCTTGATTTACCTCAGAATGGATTAAATGCCTTAACAGGCACATCTAGTAACCCAAATTGTGAGTCGCATTGATTTCTTTTCGCAAAGTTATTGAAGTTTCGAGTTTGGTCCGAAAGGCTCCAGTGGCAAAACTGAAGACGTGACGTCAGATGCGTAATACAGGGCGATATTGGGGCGGTACAGCTTGTTCCCGACAAGTCATGAGAAGTTTGATGGTGTGAAATGAATGCCGGTTAAAGCTCACACTAGCAAAATGAGAAAGAAGCGCGTGAAATGTCACATTTTTTAGACTGCCTGCTCGACTCGCAAGCCATACAACGCACCGGAGAGTGATTGAGAATTAGAACATTGGTATCGGCGTCGCCCTCATTCGCTGTTTTCTCAACGGCTACTATTATGAATTTAGAGATGATGAACACCGTGCCGGGAAGAGAAAGGTCTAGGTATTCCGAAAATGTGTTTCATCCGGGTGCCTCGTAAAACCGCCGGAACTCACTTTTAAAATCATTGTTGCCAGTTATCTGGAAGTGCAGGAAATGCTTTTCCACCCACCAGAAATGTCAAAAGAGTGTGACGAAGAAAAGACCACGTCGTCCATGCTTCATGACACCGTGTCTAAAGCTCGAGAAGTTGCACTTTCAAATCGTAACCGTCGCCAACTGCATCCGCTCGGCATCGAGAACTAAGATGACAGCACTCGCAAGACGATCGGGGGATGGAGTGTCGAGAGTGCCACTCATTTTGTGGACCTAATGTAATAATCTAGAGAGAAAGGTTCCCTGCATTAGCGTGCATTTTGGCCGTTTCGGAACGGCACAGCTTAGACGTGGACACGAGAGCTCCTGGCAAAGAGTCCCGACAAACCCGTATCGCTGGCAATGCCTTCCTGTGCGCAAAAAGGCAGCGAAACATCCGATTGTAAGCTATGTACCTGGCCCTTTTCGAGCTTTCTTCGCGAGGAAACGCTGCCGTAACACACTCTACAAAAATAAATAAGGTTGACTGGCACTCCGAACGACTTCAACTCTTCAAGGCGAAACGAGCACGCCTAACCTTTCGTCCACTTTCGTCTTCCGCTCTTCCGTCGCCAAGAGAAAGAACGAGAAAGAGTGAAACATTCCCAAAAGCCATACATTGCCGCATTCTACTACCATTTTTAACCCCCCCCCCCCCCCCTCCTCTTCATTCGGTCGCTTTAGTCCCACCTGGAGCCGTGGTCCTTGGCCGAGGAGGCGTCGTCCTTCCCAGGAAGCGGCTCGAGGTCGTCTGGCTTTAGGTGCTCCCGCTTACGTGTCTTGCGCACCTTCTTCTTTGTCTTGCGGAACGTCGACTGGGGCACGAGAAGAACACGAGTTAACGTACCGCGCAAAGGAAGCTCTCGGGGGGGCTCGCGGAGGAGGGCTCACCATTTCGTCGGGAGTGTAGTACTCGGTGGCAATCTGGGGCGCTGGCATCACCAGGGAATCCTGCAACGAGACGCACCAAGCTTCGTAGGAAAAACCTTTCCTTAAATACGGGGCTCGGAGTGAGGCCTCGGCAAGGAACTTCACCGCTCGCCCGAAGGGTTGCCGGACACACCTGCTGTTTTTGCCGGAGCTTCATGCGGACAATCTCCAGCTCGCGCTCCCTGTCTGCCTCGGTGTTTCCGGTACCTGCGACGGTGAGTGCGCCCGCATCCAATTGTGAAGAGAAAATGGCGTCCTCGGCAGAGCACGTTCGCAACGTGCATTAGGCCGCCGCGTGCCTTTGCCGACTGAACGCAGGTCGACTCGACTTGGGTACTCACCGATCTTGAACTTGTCCTGCTTGATGCCTTCGATCTCCTCATCGTATTTGTACAGTAGGCTCCTCTTTTTCACCTGTGCAGAAAAGAGATGTATCTTAATCCTAATCCAGGTACGGAATATGTGCTTGGAGCTCTTCGGAGCTTTTCTGAGCTTGGGAGCAGAAGTCGACGTGTCAAGTTTCCCGTCAAGCAGGGCATAGGTCAGATAAATACTAAACACTGTAACCGACTTTATTGTTGCGGGATCAATATTTCCCAAATTTGGCAAAGTGGAGCCTTTGGGAATGTTTCACAAACATGAAATTTGACAAATTAGGGTGATATGCCATGTATTTGCAAACCGTAGGAAAACATATTCGCGAGAAGTATTTTCTGCAACGTCATTTGAATCGCAAAAATCGCGAGCGTTGGATCTTTGTGAAAATTAAGTCATTTACACTATAGTGTGTTGCACTTCTGCACACAAAATTGTTGCATTGCACCTCCTCTGACATTTTCTTATGAAACCCCGGCCCTATAAACCTTTGGTGCAAAAACACTACTGATGAGATTAGAGATGAAGACGGCCTCTTCCGTAGCAAGCGCACTGCACTCTTCTGTCCCAGACAAACCGGAACAGACTATATAGCTTGTACCTGCCAAAAACAAGCCACACATGCACAGTTCTGCGTCAAGCCCATATTTACAGTTTTTCGCACAAAAAACTTTAACGAACATGGGTGAGCCAGTATTGCTTGAGCGTGATGATGTAGATTATCTGTGAAAGAGGAGAAGCTCGGCGAAAGGAACATCTCAACACTTGTGGTACCGGCAGCCGAGTAGTAGTGCCCTGAACAGATGTCTGAAAGAATGTGGCAGCTTCGACCAAGCTTGCCACGGACACTCCACCTACACTATGCCCTTTCTTCAAGGACCACGTGCCCGTCATACAGAAGATTTCGGATACATCACTGGTAGTGCGAGAACTCGTGAGCAAGATCTTTACGACCGAACTTGACTACTGAATGTATATAATGTGCGATCTTTTTCTATAAAGTTCTATAAATATGATTTTTGTTTCATTCATAACCACCGTTCCAAACTCCCGAGTCCTTCTTTCGAACTGACCACCACACTGAGTCGAGACTTTGAATTGAAAGCTAGTATTTGCTCAGAAAACAGTGAGGACACTGCTGGCATCTGCACAAAATTTTCACCTTTCCCGCACTGTCATGGCAAAGGCAGTGGCGACGCAGAATGTGTTTAAAGGGGAACTAGACCAGTTTCTGCGATAGTCTATTTATGGTCATAACTCAATGTATGGGCTCTAAGCATCATAAAAAAAAACTTTCAGCCTTTCCACTCTGGTGAAGAAGGAAGACCAGTGAAGCTGTACTATCGTCGACGACCTCAAGACTGACTTCTTGGACTACCTCAAGGACGACGTCTTTTATGACCTCAGGGATGACGCTTAGAGGACGACGTCTAGGATGACTTCAAGGACGACTTTTAGGTCGACCTCAGGGAGGACGTTTAAGACGACCTCAAGGACAATGTCTAGAACGACCTCAGGGACGACGTCTAGAACAACCTCAAGGACGACTTCTAGGATGACCTCGAGTACAACGTCAAGGACGACCTCAAGGACGACTTCTAGGACGACTTCTCAGACAACATCAAGGACGGCCTCAAGGACGACTTCTAGGATGACATCTAGGACGACGCCTAGAGAAATTTAGCCTTTCCACTCTGGTGAAAACCAGAGTGGAAAGGCTGGAAAGATTGCCGCCATATATGTGCGAGGCCAGTAAACCGGTTGTCTGGTTGCCACCGTCGCTCATAGATGGCGGTAGCTGTCCAGAGTTTTGTGTCGACAGTACTTTGCGGGGCACACAATCCTGGGGAAACTAGCCCTTAACAGCTCCGCTGTAAAAAAACAATCAGTACATTCACGCCCCGCCAATTTCTCGACTGAAGTCGGTGTCAAAGATTGATTACCTCGGAACTGTCGCAGACGCTGGAGAACGTTGTTGGACGAGGAGAAGAGCTTCTCCTCATCCAACGACGCCCTCCAGCGTCTGCCTCCTCTTTCACAGATAATCCACGCCTCATCCAATGCATTTCCTTATACTGGCCAGTTTTCGTGCGACACCTCCGCATTATGAACATGTACACCGCAGGAATCTGCACAACATAAATGCTCCTTAAAGAAAATCAGTGTTACAGAAACATGTGCTACAGAAATGTGTGTTGCTTGAATATGTCGCAACAATGTACCCACAGGAACACGCATTACAGGAATGTGCACTGCAGAAATCTGCACAAAAGTAATGTGCACTGCTGAAATCTCCACAACACGAAAGTGCTTAACAGAAATGTTTGTTATAGAAATCTGCGCTCCTGTGTTACCTGAGTATGTGTTACAGGAACGTGCATATGGGAATTTGCAGTGTTGGGTAAAGTATGCATAAAAAGTACTTAAGTAAAGTACAAAGTAAATGAGAGGTTATGTACTTCAAGTAAAGTAGTGAGTACACCAAGCACCACATACCTGAAGTAAAGTACTATAAATACAATGTACTTTCAAAGTAAAGCACAAGTACAAGTACTTTTTAACACAATCTTTTATGATGCCATTTCATTCCCTTATACAGCGTTTCTGTTTTTTTTTTTTTGTTGTTTTTTTTTCAAACTGATGCACTCTTAGGGGTGTTGGGGGTGTATCAGTTATTTTCGGTAATCATGGCAAATGCTGGATAAAGTCAAGTTGTGTGGTTGTTTTACTCCTGCTGTCAAACTATTTAACACAATCAACTCATAAGGCACTTACTTGTAGCAGTCTTTACTTCATTCAGAGAAATGATGAGATGACGTCTCGAAAGACGACAGCGCATTTTCGCATAAACATTTGCCATCTTTATGTTTTTATATTTCGGTAATGCACTTTAAAGTCAGGAATTGTAGTTTCTTCGGAACGTACCAGAAAATATACTTTAAGTGAAGTACAAGTACATACTCAGAAAATCTACTTCAAGTACAGCAGAAGTTTTCTATACCCACTTGAAGTAGATAGTACTTCCCAAGACTGGTTGCATTGCAGAAATCTGCACAACAGAAATACGCATGAGAGGGAATGTGTGCTACAGCAATGTGCACTGCAGGAAGGCAGATTAGAGGAAGTTGCATTACAGGTTGCGATACCTTAGGAATCTGCACTACAGCACACTGTCAAAATCTAGACCTATACCACCATACGTGCCAAAAAGGAGGCAAAGAACCCCCGTTCCCCATCCACAGTCACGGAGTACAAATGGCTTGGAGAAACCGGCTTTCTACGAAGACGCACGACGGCCGAACACGACGCGGGCACGAGCGGGAACCGGCCCGACGGTACTCACGATGCCGAACTCGTCCACCTCGGTGTCGTCATAGGGCTGGTACCCCGGCTTGCCCTTCTTGTTCTCCCGGTTGCGCTCCGCTCGCTCCTCGTCCACCAGGTTCACGTTCTCCAACACGTCGTCGCCCTCGTCCAGCACCCCTGGGCACGCAGAGGTGGCCACAACGTCACTACCCTAAAATCCCGTAAGGGCGCCGTCTCCCGGGAGATCTCCCAGCCCGTTGGCTAAATATATATAAGATAAAAAATTTCAAAACACTGCGCAAGCGGTGTTGGATGCCGCTTTGCGCAACATCTGTAAGAAATTGCATTGACCGAACAGTCTGCGGTACTGGTGCCTGCGACAGGGAAGTTTGTGGCGGGTTCACATGTTTTTGTCCGCCATCTGGGCACGCAACATCGGTTCCCGTGATACGAGTTGTCCCTGCATGTTTATTGCGCCGTAAAACGCAAATTTGCTGTGTCCACGATTTCCGGTGTCGGTCCCCTTGACATGCGAGTTCGTGGCAGGTTCCCGCATGTTCTTCCCACCGTGTAAAGCGAATCTGCTGCGTCCGCAATATCTTTTACCGAGACACGAAAGTTAGTAGCGAATTCCTGCGCATTTATTGCATCGTCAAACACAACTTTGCCATGTCCGAGATCGGTGGTGTCACTTCCCGTTTCACCAAAGTTTGTATTGGATGGCAGGCACGTAGCCAGGATTTTTTTTCGGGGGGGAGGGGGGTCCGCCCATGACAAAATGCTGTATGAGGGTGAGGGGGGAGAGGAGGTCCCAGCAAAATGAAAGATTTCGGGGAGGCCCGCGCCCCATGGGCCCCCCCCCCTGGCTATGTGCCTAGCGGACGGCCAGGTGTTTTATCGCTTTTCTTTTGTGAATTTTTGATGTTGCAAGCTCAAGGATAGCCCACACCATGTTTTTCATCATTTATCTCTTCATTTTGGGTGGGCGTCTTTATGCGACTTTACGGCAGATTGATCAATCAATCGATCGACCCATTCTATTTCGCTACGAGGGGGCTGCAAAATATTGCCTGGCTTAGACATTCCATCCAATAGAATGGAGCTGCGACGAAAGCAGTTGATGGGATTTTTAAATCACACAACCTTCCATCAGAATTGAGCAGATGTGCTTTCCCACTAAATTTAGCGGGGAAACTGATGTAATGCGTCGTCGCACGACACAACGATGTCACGTGACACTTCCCTTCTCGTGGCTACGACATCAAACCAACAACTTCGCTCTGTTCCTGGCTTCTTTCCCATGGCCTTGTATACGGCGCTACCAACATGAGCAAGCAAGGTCCGTGCGGGGCTCCCGCATAAAGCTTTGGCTTTAAAAAAGCTGCATGTTGCAGCTCGACACATTTCAAAGCCCCTTCGACACGGTCACGGTTGCACATCAACAACAAAAGTATTACGGGTCATTTTCATTGATATTCCGTGCTCTCTAAAATAAAGTGGTTGAAATATGCAGATAAATGAAAATAAAGATTAGGAAGAAAAAAAAAAGAATTGGTGAAGCTGGGAATTCCAACTCTAGGCCTCCTCATTACTGGCAAGCTGTGCTGACCATCGCACCGCCTTGCTTCGTCCGTCGGCGTTTTCTATTCATTTTACGAATGCACCAAAATGGCGGTGTATCCGACCGGAAATACAGAACCCGACCAACGGTCCCTCCGTTTCTGTCCGACAACGCGATAAAAGTGTCGCGTCGTTGTCTGCGGCGATCCCAGCAATGGCGTGGCGGCAAACACAACAAATGCCCGTCCTGCCGTAGGTCCCTCTCCACCTCGACGGTTCGAGGAGCCACGGGCAGCTGGAAGCCGGGACGCTGTGACAACGACGACGCTCCCGGTCGCTTACGCTTTTTGCCAGAGCCCCTACAACCGACCGCAGAAATTTTGACGTCTGACGACCCAATTTGTTGCCATTCGAGACCGCTTTCGACGCACAGGAGGTGCGGGGCACCGGGCGGTGCAGGGCACCAGATGCGCCGGTCGAAGACGCCTTCCGGGCACCATACCATACTTGTTTTTGAACACTCACCCTGATCCTTGAGGGTGAGGACGACCGTCTGTCCTTCCTTGATTCTGTCCGTGCTGTGCAACACCTCCAGCCCCTTGAGGTGCTTGGCGCTGTAGTGCTGCAAGCGGGACGCACTCAGAACACAGCCTCCCGTCTTGGCAGCGCAAAAGCCACGCTTTTGCCGCTTGGGGTAGCGACCCAGAGGGTCGTTCAGAGTGCTATTCAACACCCACAGCGGGGTTGTACGGTCAACAACATTCGGAATATTATTCAGGATGCACATAGGAACTCTTTATTCTATATTTCTACCTTCTATCCATAGTTCTATATTTCCGCCTTCCATAACACATTGGTGCCTCGTGAGCTTCGAGCACCGACCACAGGGTCTCTTATGATCCGTATCTCCTGGGCTATAATCCGACCTGCTGCATAGCCTCTGGAGCAAATTTTGACTCAAAAGGGGACGCTGTTCCCGAAAGACCCTGCACATTGACACCTTTGAACAAGATGGCCGAAGGTTCCTCACTCTAAAGTATAGCTTGTTTAGCGACCCCAGCTGCACCCAGACGAAATGCATTGCCACAGGGTAAGCCAGAGTGAAAGATGATCACTCCCTTCTCTGAGCTGCCTCACTAACCTACTGCTGCATTCCATCTCCCATCCTCAATTTTTTTGCCGCACGAGACAACCCTCGGAGAGAGCCTCTTTAGGGAACCGTCTGCCATTTCGAGCCACCTAGTGGAGAGTCACTCGATAGCACGAGAGGCACGATGATGGCATGACGGACTCGTCGCGCCATCTACCAAGCACGAAAATTCTCAAGGCTTTTATGGGTCCGCAAAAGCTTTCCTCAATTCCCGGATGTTCCCAAATTTGAAACTGCGAAAATTACCCAACTCATAAAGGGCTCCCGAGACTCGCCAATATTTTGCCGACTTACTGCACGTCTCCAAAACTCGTCGCCGACTTTAGTCTTTCGAGGCTCTGCAAATAGCCCCGCAAAATTCCCGACGTTTTGGGGCAAATTGGAAATGCGTCGAAATCCTCCTGACCCTTCGTGGGTTGCTCGAGCTTCCCGGAGGTCCCTCCTCCTTCTGTGGATCCCCAAAACTCCGCGCCATTCGAGAACCCCACAACGTCCCCACAGGGTCTTCCCCGTAAGTAGATGCCCACAGGGCCAGGCTGGCCCTTCTCACCTTTGTAGTCCTGAGCTCTTCTTCCACCAACTTGCCCACTCCAAATGCCTCGTCCATTTCTTCTAGTAGCTTGGCCTGCAGACAAACAATGAGAGACTGAGGTGCAAGCGGAAGCAATTGAGAACGACAAGTGACATCGTGGCGACTAAGGCCATCTGGCAAACGCCGCAGATTCTCAAAGCTGTGGCGTAGCTCTGACGTGACACGCCCACTTCGTACGCGGCGGACCCGGGATCGAATCCCAACGACACTGTGACAGTAGGCGGTAATTTTCGAGCACCCAGCAACGTCGACAACGGACGTCCCGCTACGACGACGGACGTCATTTCTGGCGACGGGAAGAGCCCACAACACCTATCGCCGTAAAAAAAGGTTGGAATGGACCGCCGCAATTTCTACCGTCGCACTGCGGCAGTCGGTTTCATAGCTAAGCATGCCAGAGTCACCCCATGTGGCATTTTATCCCTTACAGTTGGCACTAAACTGGTTCAGCTCGTATTGCCGCTGACCGTACGTTGCGATACTAATTAGCGTGAACGAGCGATTAACTTTTTTTCATGTTTTCTCACGGAGTATGTCTGGCAATATTCTTTCGAAGTAAAATGCAAAAAAGGGGCAATGTTGCATTCACGTTAACAGTGGCATACAGTGCACGCGCTGTGTCACAGTTGGCCCAAATGAGGGGTTGAAGCCCATTCAGTACTGCATTATCCGCTTCATATGAATCTGAAGATAAAAATTACAAGCAATACCAACGTTGGGTTATGCACGCCGCATTTTTTTACTTATGAGCTTGGAAAAAACAAAATATCATGTGACTAATTAATTACAAAAGGTCCGCAAAATCCAAGAATGGCAATTTCACATTCTCGAAAAAGGGGAAAAAAAAAAAGCTGATTCTTGTATAGTTGAATCTTAGCCACCAAAACCGACTTCCAAGCCTCTTTCTTTAGAAATAATCCACAGCATGGCTGCTTCTTCCCTTCAACAATCAAACAGTTTACCTAGACACAGTGTTTTTGTTGATACTTCTCTTTATGCCCCTGTACCTGTTTCGATTTTACTACTACTTCTACTACTATACTACTACTAATAATAAAAAGCTTTATTTTTGGATACCCAAAACCAACCATTTTTTTGTTTGGCGCATTAATATAAGAAAACAATAAGAAACACAAAACACACACATACTGTAAACAACTTAATATTACCAAAAACCCCATAATTCTAAGTTACACATCAAAATATTTTTTTAAAGAATTAATCACGCAATTCTATAACCTTCTAGCGCCAATTACTATAAGTGACTTAATTTTCACGAAGACACAATTTTCGAGAGTTTTGCGACTCGAGAACATACTGCCAAAAATTGCCCACATTAATATATCACACCAGAGTTACGAATACATAACGTACTGCTTCTAATTGCGAAATTTCGTGTGCGCGAAATATTCCCAAAACCCCCACTTTGCAAAAGTTACAAAATATTGAGCAAGCGAAAATAAAGTTGTTTACAGGAAGCACCATATCCCTCCAAATAGCGAAATTTTGTGTCCGCAAAATAATCTCGAAACCTGAACTTCACAAGATACTATTGAGCAGACAAAAATAAAGTTAGTTACAGTATTGGTTTGTTTCTGAATTTTGTTTGTCACCTGATGTTTCCTTATATTTGTGCACGGAACAGAAGACTCTTGTGGCAGTTAAGGGGCACCCACAAAAAAAGATTATTTTTACTATCATTATAACATTAAAAATACTTCTTCGCATCTACTTTACGTCAAACTGCACAGATGGCACCACCACCTACACATGTGGCTGCGGCGCTAAGACCTGGCTGCAAAATCGGAAATAAACGCCGTTTCTAATTCGGGCATGGTGGCGCCACCTACTATGCCACGTGACATAAAGCGGACGCGTTCCATCTGATTCTTTCATTTCATTTATTTCACCTCAATGCATCCCATGAGATCTTTGAGGATCTCGTGCAATGCGTCTACAAGGAGGCACCGCTCTCAAAGAGATTGGCGCCTTCTCGCAGAGAAATTTCATTTTTTTCTTTTGAGCTTCCCTCTTAGCTTCAAGTAGTGTCTTGTCCTCAACTTTTGCATCCTAACGCCACCACCAGCCTCATGGTCGGGCAGACCCTCAGCTCTCTGTGATGCACAGTCTATCCACATGGGTTGGAAATAACTGGGCTTTGTTTTGTCTGCCGCACCCCGCGCGTCCGGGCGAGAGTGCTGCCAACGACGTCCTCACCCTCTTCTCGGCCTTCTGCCTCTCCTCCTGCAGCTTGCGGCTCTTGCGGACCCAAAGCAGGGCGTCGTCGTCGTCCCCATCCCCCAGGCTCTTGACGTCCCTGCATTCAAACGTGGCATTAATTTGTAGTTAATTCATTAAGATAATTATATCCCTGCATGAAACAGGACCACAAAGATTACAGTATTTTCCAATCTATAAGTTGCATTTTTTTTCTAAACTTTTTGTTGGTTTATTATTCAAGTGCAACTCATATGCATTTCTTTTTCAGTAAGTATGGATGTTAACTGTGGAAATTTTTCACGGGGGTTATATTCTGCCATTGCCAACCGTCAGGGTCACGGCTAACAACAGCGTGAAACTTCTACAACCTCACCGGGTGGAAACCGAGGGGTTAGTTTTGGGGATGTGGTCAGCACAATGGACGGAGGCTGGTTCCAGGCACCGTGCCTCCGTGAGCATGTCCTCACCTGTATTTGTCCTGGACCCTCCGCTTGTCACGGTTGGCGGCGATTTTCTCCCGGAGCTTCTGCACCTCCAGCTTGTCGTGGATGTTCTCCGTCTTGACAAAGACCTCCTGACGCTTTTCCGTCTGGTCCTCGTCCACGTCTCCGGGTGGCGCATCCCCGAGACCTGGCAATGAGAAGTCAAACAGTTTACCCGCGACTCTTCTTCGGCGAAACCTGGTGCTTGCGACTTGCCGTGAAGTTCCAAAAGAATGCCCCCCCCCCCCCCCCCCCCCTCCCCCCCCGAGAGATCGCCCACCCCATTTTTCTGGCTAAATATCCGTAACATAACATTTATGAAACATTGCCAACCCCCCGACTCCCGTCGAACGTCTGGCGATGTCCGACAGCTATTGCATCAACTGCGCAATTTGCTGCACCGGCATGTCCGACAAGCGAGATCATAGCAGGTTCCTATGTTTTTGTCCGCGATCTGCGTGTGCGATGTCGGCTCCCTTAACACGGGAGTTGTTCCCGTGTGTATGTTGCACTGTGAAATGCAAATCTGTTGCATCCGCAATCTGCGGTATCCGCTCCTGTGACATTAAGGTTTGTAGCGGGTTCGAGCATTTTTGTATGCGATCTGCGCGCGTTGTCTCTATTTCACGCGAGCTGGTCCCGAGTATGTATTGCATCATGAAATACGATTCTGCTGTGTTCGCGATCTGCGGCACTTGTTCCCATAACACACAAGTTTGTAGCAGATTCCCGCGTTTTTGTGTGCGATCTGCATGCGTGATATCGGTTCCTGTGACAGGCAAGTTTGTAGCGGGTTACCGCGTGTTTATTGCACCATGAAACTTGAATCTGCTGCGTATGCGATTTGCAGCACTCATTCACGTGAGATGGATGTTCTCGGCGGGTTTCCGCAGGTCCTTAGCACCGTGAAAGAAGAATCTGCTGCGTCCGCAACCTGCAGTATCCTTTCCCTTGACACGAGTTTGTAGCAATTTCCTGCTATTTATCGCATCATGAAACGCGAATCTGCAGTGTCCACGGTCTGCAGTACCAGTTTCCACATCACGTGGTTTGTAGCCGGTGCCAGGGAGTTCATCATTAATTCTTGATAAAGTTTTGCTGTGGCAACCCCAAAGAGAGCCCACCCTACGTTTTTCACCATTTATCTCTTCATTTTGAGTGGGCATCCTTTCGGAACTTTACAATATTCGACAGATGTTTAGAAACGAGGGGCTTTCGCTTGCACTCCCACTGTCCCAGAAACCTTACTAATATCTTTCGTGATGACAAATAATGGGAGATGGTCATATGATTGAGTCGTGCGGTTACCCACGTGCCCCCACACCTTGCTGTATAACTAGAAATCAAGATTTTTTTTTTTTTTTTTGTCCTTATATGTTTTTGGAGCATGAGTAGATTATAATTTTTTTTATTGTAAGTGCAAGCAAAGCAGAGGTTACATAAACTATAAGAGCGCTACACATCGATTGCGCACACTGCGTCGCAGATGCACTCGTGCAGTGAAGGCGTCATTCGTACAAACATGCTTATGCATAGAGTTTCAACTCTGCTTGCTCTTACAATTAAATGCAGCATAGACTTCACATTTTTACTCTTGACGGCAGCCATTTTTTTTGTGCCTGCCATATAAAATTTTGCTCGTGGTCCCCCAAAGAACCCCCTCTTTAGTTTGAGTGAATTACCTAAAAAAAATTTGAGGGCACATGCTCGCTATTTTACGGCACTGGATGTCTCCAAGCGCAGTCAAGGTTACTGTCCGTCTTGAATGCTGTCCACACAGGACAAGATTTGTGCCGTGCACATAAAAAATTGTGCACGATTTTCAAAGATTGTATTTCGTTCGTATATGTGTACGATTTCAGCGAGGACATGAACCACGCTGGCGGGCCCGATTCAGCGTTTTCCTCCTCGCTTTTCCCACTGTCTCCTCCCTTTTCTTGTTTTTAGGAGTTTCAGGACTGACAACAGCAGGAGAGGCCTTGACTGACAGAGGCTGCATCCTAGGACCTACGTCATGAGCTCCTTCCAATCCGGAAATCAGTTCAAAGCAGACCATAGGCAAAGGAGAGCCCACCCATACAGCAAAGGCTGTGCACGACACAATCATATCTTCTGTGGTCAGCCCTTGACAGACACTGCCCTCCCATAACCATCTCCCCGCAAAACACACTTTACCTGGGATACCACCGCCATCGACGTTCAGTGGTTTGAGCCCAAGCTTGGCCCGGAGCTTGCTGAAAAAAAGCAGGTGAAGAAATATCAGTTTCTCCTAAGCAATGACTAAAACTCAACAAAGGTCTGTGAAAGCAGGTGATACTTACTTGGTTTCCTCGATGCTCAGGGAAGACTTGTCCCGAAAGCTCGACGACTCGCCTGCAAAAAATGACATATGTTGATTACATCCGCAGTGTCCCAAATGTTGAACTCTATAGAGATGACCTTGGCCTAGTTCACTGTTGCTTGTGCCATTGCTCATGCTATTGCTTCAGACTATTTGATGTTGCTCATGTTATTGCTTCCGTCTTGTCTTGGCCTAGTTTGTCATTGCCATTTATACTACTTCTGTCTAGTTCTTAGTCTAGTTCGATGTAGCTTATATGGTTGCTTACGTCACTGTTCATGTTACTGCTTTGGTCTAGTTCTTGGTCTAGTTTGTCGTTGCTCATGCTAGTGCTTCAGTCTAGTTCTTGCTTGTTTGAGGGTATCAAACTCATTCGAGTGTTGGGGTCAGATAGCCCACCGCCGAAAGGTAGAGGGCCAACATGGGGGGGAGGGGAGAGAGGAGCTATGTTTTGGAATATTTTAGGAAAAAAGTACAAGAATGGTGTTTCACACTGAAACAGCTGACTCTCCCAGTGGCACCTCGGAGGATTTCTAGACATGGGACCTCCTGCTCTCTGCTTTCTGTAAACTCGCTGTCTTGCCAGCGACATCTTTAGCTTTGATTTTCTTATACGATTACTTTGGGCCCATACCTGATGTGATGACAAGACTTAAAATGCCAATGTGCTGGCATTTTTCCATAGAACGAGAGCAAGCACACCGTTGTTGCCCTGCCGTACAATTCACAAGGTTCAACAGGAACGGGGAAAAAAAAAATCTCTTTATACAACAGTTTTTGCATCCCTGCCAATTTTTATAGGAGCATTATAAGAAAATACTTCAATATTAATGGTGTTTTTTGATGGCTAGGGTTTATAGAATCAAGCTGCGTCCCAGAGTAAAGACCTCCCGCTTGTAGCCTTGTTCCCGTTCTTGCCGTTCTGGCTGATTTGTGTTAAAGGGCTGATTGAGAAGCAAATATTTACGGAAAGCAATACTCAGTCCAGAAATAACAAAAAAAGTGTGAAATATGTGAACACACTGTATGAGCAGAGCGTCTTTCCGAGCGGAAAGAAATCAACGATATGAAACTATTATCTACGGCAAATGCAGCACGTGAGGCATGGGAACGGGGCTCGCAGCCGCGGGGTGCTTGCGTTCTCGCGTCCCAAAGAGTTGCGGGTTGCGAGTTTAGTAAAGACATAGGCATCCAGCTTTACGTATACCCACCAATCATTCCAATCAGAGTTTGGCATTCTGGTGTCCTTGCGCACTCTCGTCTCCTCCTCTCCCTCAGCTTCTCGGCGCATTGCTTCACTCTAGCTCTTGGTCTAGTTTGTCACTGTGCATGCGAATGCTTCAGTTTAGTTCTCAATCTAGCTTTAGAGTGCTCACATGCCAGTGTTCATGCAACTGCTTCACTCTAGTTCTTGGTCTAGTTTGCACTGCTCATGTTAATACTTCAGTTTAATTCTTGGTCTGGTTTGTCATTGCTATGGCTTCTGTCTAGTTTAACAGTGCTCATGTTATTACTCATGATATTGCTTCAGTCTAGTTTGTCACATTGATCATACTAGTGCTCCAGACTAGTTCTTGGCCTGGTTTGTCATTGCTACTGCTTCAGTATAATATGACATTGCTTATTACTTTATTGCTTTTGTTCATGTTATTGCTGTTCTTAATCTAGTTTGTCATTGCTTATACTAATGCTTCAGTGTAGTTCTTCATCTAGTTTGTCGCTGCTCATGCTAGTGCTGCAATCGAAATCTTGAGCTAGTTTGCCATCGCTATTGCCTCAGTTTAGTTCTTAGTCCAGTTTGCTATTGCTATGCTTCTGTCTAGTTACCAGTCTAGTTTGATGCTGCTCATCTGATAGCTTTAGACTAGTTCTTGGTCTTGCTTGTTATTGCTCACCCTAATGCTTGAGTCTAGTTCTTGGTTTAGTTTGTTATTGTTTATGCTATTGCCACCTGAACAAAAAGTAATGTGAGGTAAGGGCCAGAAAATGCATTTACAGATATAAATAGAACAGCCTCATACTACTGGTAAAGTTATATTTAATATTTGAATGGCATGAAGCAAGTGTTGAATACCTCCCTGAAGTGCTGCCACTTTCCACCAGAGCAGTGGAAAAAGACTGGTATCGCATCCATGGTCTTTGTGAATCGTCCACGACACAAGCTAGTGCCGGGAAGCATATGGTTGAGCTGTCAGCTTACAAGCAATGCGGTGAAGTCTGCAGCCACAATTTGTAAAAGAGATGTCATCAGTGTCGCGATTGTCTTAGTTGCAATGGGAAGATGAGTTTCTAAGACATTCTATGCGTTCTATGCAAGAACTCATTCTCATCACAATCCTTTCAGAGACCAATAAACTGAGCAAAAGACACGGCAGAGAAGAGCAGATGTGTCGTCGTCTGCTCTTTTCACAGATACATTTTCTGGTATTTGATGGATGACATTTGGAGTTTGGCATGCCACATATAACTGCAGTTTTCAACCCTAGTGGCCTCAGGGGCCGATTTAGAGGGGGGGTCTGGATGTTCTGACCCCCCTCTTGATTTTTGCTTGTGTAAATTTTAGGGGGTAAAACGAAGGAGAGGGGGAGGGGGTTCCTAAACATATGGCACACTGACCAACACCTGACCCCCCCCCCCCCCCCCCCCTCAGGAAATTCCTGCATCCGCTCCGAATGGCTTACATAGTGTTCGCATATACCTCGGTGTGAAAAAAATCCTGCAGATATACGAGAGTGGCAACATGAAGTCGTGGGTGTTGGCGTGAAACATGCCAGAACAACACTCTCTTTACAAACAACTCTGTTTGGCCACAGCAGGTGTAGGCACTCTGCATGCATAAAAACGAGATTGGCGTGAACTGAAGCGCCTGCTCACGCGCCATGCTGAATAAGGATGTCAGAGCCACCCTTATTTCATAAAGGGACGCTGAACCAAAATTTGGAGTTCACAAAACAAGGCTGGAGCGATAAGCAGGAAGGTGCAAAACACTAAAACATAACTCATACAGCAATATCTCTAACGGACGGCCATATTTTTTAAAGTGAAGTGCGCGATTGAACACGGCCAACAAGGCCAATGAGACATACAATGTCACGATTCTCATTCCCTCTCCTCTTCACTTCGTCCCCTCGAGCAGGTGAACCAAAGCGAGGAGGAGAGAAGCGAGGCCGCTTCCCTTCATTCTCAACTGTTAAAGAGAATTGTGACATGACATTCCTCGCTTGATCGCGCCCTTTTTTTCCAGAAATACGGCCATCCGCTTGAGATATCGATGTATGAGTGATGTTTCGGAGTTCGTAGCATCCCCTTCAACGCTTCTGGGCCTTATTTTGTGAAATCCAAATTTCGGTTCAGCACCCTTTAAATGTTGTACTATCGTGCCTGGAACGCGTGCCCGGCTGGTGCCTTTCACATATTCTTAAAAGTGGTGCCTTGCCACGCGGCAACGCAGCACACGTACACTTTCGACCAATCTGCACGAAAGGCGTCCGTCATTTCACTGAAAACGCCCCCCATGGTTCGAGATGTACCCTCTCTTCAATCTAGGCTTTCTATACATGACCTGCATTGATGTCGCCATTGCTCCGTATCATGCTCCTGTGCCCATACCTTCTGCAGCTTACATTCCGCACCATTGAATTTGTCCTTCTCAACAAGGCTTGTCGAGCATAACAAACTCGATCGTGCGAAATGTATGCTGCAGAAGGTACAGGCACAAGTGCATGATACGAAGCAATGGGGGCTGGTACGATGCCATATGACGTCACGTGCAAGGCATATACTGGAACGCTGCGACGACAGCGACACTCCCGTTCGATCACACTTTTTGCAAGGACTTCTGACACCAACCGCCAGGATCGCGCCATCCGACATGACAGGCCGGCTTCTGTAAAGTCATTTGTTGCCACTTTGTTACCATTTTCGATGCATGGGTGGGATAGGACGCCAAACAGATCAGTCGAAAACTTGTTCCAGCCACCATAGTTGTACTGCCTGCGACGGCGTGCACTGCTTCTGAAGGCACATGCTCAGGTTGCGCATCCTGTTTTAAGACGTTCAAGAGCTTAATGATCAAGTCTGGCACTGAACAGCACACAGCCGTCGAGCAAGAGTGAAATCACACGATTTCATCGAACCGCATGTGCTGTCACGCAGCCGGCTTAACGCAACGCAGACGCATCGGAGAAAAGCGAAGCTCGGCTCGGCTCACCTTCCGACTCCGCGTGTTCCTGCTTGACCCTCGAGGGCGAGACGTGGTCCTCTTTGAGTCGGACTTTTTCCGCAGGCTGAGTTTCTTCGTCGGCAGTGCGAGTCCGCTTACGATGTCGGTGCTTGTCCTTGTCTTTGCCGTCCCGGTCCCGGGACCTCGAACGAGAGGACCGCCTAGACTTTTTCTTCTCCTTGCTTTTGTCCTTATCACGGTCTCGCTCCTTGTGCTTCTTTGACGAGCCCATTGTGAAGTTCGAGAATGAACAACGTCCACACAACGATCGGCGCAAGAACTGCTTCAAAACAAGGCGGCCATGTTGTTTCTGCTAGAGCGGCGCTTGTGACGCCACTAGTGTCACAGATTGTTACCCGTGGTTACAAATTACGTTGGTTATAACTTATAAACAATTTTAAAACATTTAAAATATATTGCGCGACAAAAAATATGCACAAAAATATATTTATGTTATCGAATGTCTCATTTTACTTTTTGATGCAAAAAAAAGGAAACCGAAACCGAAAGTGAACCACCGCTGCCGCATCGTCTGCTTGAGACTGGGCTATCGAATTCGTGCATTTCACACGAAACCCAAATAGTAACACATGTATGTACGTACACTCTTTATCAGCACCAGGCACTTCGTTCTTTTTTTATTCAAATAAAGCCGTGAGAGATATTTTTATGCGCTTTTTTGATTAGGTATGCTGAATGGTGCTCCCATTACTTACTTCTCCTGTTTAACAAATCTTTTTTTTTTTTTTTTTCTAATTTTAGCTCAATTTTGACACGTGCTGTACCGGCAACCTACGTGGTACAAATATTAAAAAAACCTGTAAGTACAGCATTTTAAACTTCCTCCGGCAGGAGGTAATTCCAGTGGAGACCACGGAAGTAACTCACAATCGGCGCGTTCTATGAATTTGAACATGTTCAAGAAGCGCTACTTCCACACAAGCAACAGATCGAATAATAATTATCATGATTATGATCACTGGACCTAGACGTACCGTGCCAGATGTTGCTTTTGTCCGGGGTCGCAAAAAAAGAAGAAAAAAAAAAAAAAGAAAAAGAAAAGTGGGGCTTCGTTTTGTTAGCCCGTTCCACCGCTTGAGAGAAATTTAAATAAATCGCAAAATCAGTTTCGCAAACTGGAGCACTGTAACCGGTGAGAGCGCTTGATTTGTGGAAATATCGAGATGAAAAAAAAAATGAACTGGCCTTCATAATTCATAAATTACAAATAAAAATAATGTCTCTTCTATGAACCAACATAAATTGTCAGGCATTTTTCGTGTCGGAGATGGAAACTGAAAAAAAAAATAAAAAAAAAAATAAACACGCTATTTAGGTTATTGGTACATTTAATAACAAAAATAGGAAAGGGAAGGAAATCCTCACATTTCTCTCGTTCTCTGCGTTATCTAAAACTTTTTGTTTTCACTTTGTAGTCGGTCAGCCATTCGTATAAAAATATTTTTATTCTTATCTTAAACAACCTAGCTGAGACTAGGTGGAGAATACGAATTCTATCTACACCAGCACACCTGCGCCATCCCTGTTTCATCGAGAAATATTTGTTCTTATTTTGAACTTTCTTACTGAAGTAAGCTTTTTTTTTTCTTCCGTTGGCTTGTTCCCAAATGAAAGGTTGCAGATTAGTGTCATAGCACGTGAAGCCACATTTCTCGACTTATTTAGGTGTGTTCGATCCATTTGACTCGGCCGGTAGCTTTGATGGGGCGAACGCTATCGACTGCCCTAGCCCGCTCGTTGCCACTAAAAGTCGCCTTCGTCGTCTGCTACAGCCGGTTCTATACAGTCAGTTCGCAGCATTACTTTCGGTATCGCAGAGGGCGCTACATGCTTTACAAAAATTAAGCTATCGCTACTGCAAAAAAAAAAAAAAAAAAAAAAAACACGTAAAATTATTACGATTTCATTTTCGGGGACTGTGCTCTGCGCTAGCGGTCCTTGTACAGAGCGCAAGCCGTCCAAACAAAGCCCGAATGTGGCCAGAAAGGGCCCTGCATGAAGCAGCCTCGTCGGTTACCTCTCAGATACGGCAGCTATACGGCTCTGGTAACCTAATTCTTCAGTGAAGTTTGCAGCAGGCTTCCACAGATGCCCTCGGAGTTTTGCAATATTGAACTTGGACGCCATATTTGAGTGAGCTGCTCACTGTGCAAGCTCAAAAACGAGCTCAAATCTCAGTAGTTCGAGCTCAGAACAGGCTCACTGCTAAAACCGGCAACCTAGATGGTACAATGCACATTTCAAAATAATTGTAGAAGCTTGCCGTCAGCACAGGTCATCTCCTATGCCGACAGTGCAGTGGCAGCTACGCAGTCGCCGGACCAATCACCTGCTTCCTTTCACTACCTGACCACGCTCTCTGCGCGTGAGTACGGGCGGGAGCGTGTATTTACTGCAAGAACCGCGCAGGCGAGCAGGTGAAAAGTGCCATAGCTTTTGTGGTGATCCCTTCCTTTTCAATTCCTTGTACCTGTCGAACGAGCACCAGCAGTGATGTCCCTACCAACCCCCTAAGGGGGGGGTGTCAACCTTACCTAGTTTGTCTGAAAGCATCCCCCCCCCCCCCCCCCCCAAAAAAAAAAAAAGTCTTCCGTTAAAAAAGAAACAAGAAATAATGAAACAAAAAAAAATGACAGATGTCCTGTTCCCGTCCTCTCTGTTTTATACTTTCAAGTTTTGTAAAAAAATAATGAAAGACGTTTACAACACCCTGTAACGCCGAATAAGAGCGCAGCTCTTGAAGAGGAGGAGGGAAGGGTACTCAGTGGAGGGAGTATACCTTTCCTCCCTTCTCCTCAGCTCCTCATTCTCCCTGCTACTCGTCCTCCCCTTCTCTCTCCTCCTCGTCCCCTCATTCTAGGAGGTGTTGCCTCATCCTTCAAGCACCTCCCCTCCTCCCCGCGCGGTGCATTATGGGACATTTCCCATGCACCGCGCAATTACGCCGACGGAGACGGCGACGCCGCTCAAGCCGGAAACGGCGCCTAAGAGCTGCGCTCTAAAAACCGTTATGTTTATTTTGTGCGAAACCTTTGTTTTCTTGAACGCACTGGCTGATCGCGCGGAAACTTCAAATTAAGTTTTATATATATATATATATATATATATATATATATATATATATATGTATAAACTCAATAGTTTTCAACCAATTGAGTTTTTAAGTTCCAAATTTTGAGGGTAATGTCCAGGCATTGTTTTCAATCGTCTCGAATAAAAAACAACAACAACAAAAAAAGTGACTTGTCTGCGTTTCAGAACGTCTGTCGGGCACCACGCTTGCATTTCTGTCCACTCGCACAAAAAAAGAGAGAGAAAAAGAAAACAGGAAAAAAAATCCCCCCTCCCCTTCTCTCATTTTTGTTCCTGGGGAAACCCCTGACTGCCACCTTAGAGGCCCGAACAGAAATGTCCGGCTAAATGATAATAATAACATATTCATGCGCACGCGAGAGAATAATAGAAATCTTGATTTCATTTTATAATTCATTCGACTTTTTTGTTCTGTCCACTTTTTAAGCACCAGTTCGCCAGCACTTATTTCATTATATTTTCTAGCGTGGTTACAGTGTTCTCGCCAGTATACTGTACTGTAACCGGACGATCCAGACGAGACCCCTAGGTGAAGGTTACACGCTAGCCGGACCAACCAAGCGTCTATCTCTCATCACCTGACCGCGCTCTCTGCGCTTGACTGCGGGTGACAGTGGGGAGACTTATGAAGTTTCAGTCTCCCCCCCCCCCTCAAAAAAAAAAAAAAAAATCATTGCTGTGTTACTGATGGGCGGGAATGGGCTCACATAAGAGTGCCTACATATGTTTCCGCGGCGGAAACATGTAGGCACGCTAGGCTCACATAACGAAAGATAGAGGTATGACTGGTCCAAAGAGCACATAGCTTCTACTGCACTGTCAGTCTGCAGAACGAAATGTAACGACAACGTAAAATCCCCCCCCCCCCCCCCCCAAAAAAAAAAAAGGTAAAAATAAACCGGGGTTCCCAGAGACACATTGCACTTGTGTGCAGAAATACGTTATCTGCACACACACAAAGGGGAAAAAGAAAACGCATAAAAGTAAAGAAACAAAATCAGGGATGTGTCTGGGGTTTTTCCCGCTCTCACTCCTCCACCCTTTGTCCCGTCTCCCCTGGGCGCATGAGCTGTCCTGCATCCGGCATGTGGAAGCTGAAGGCCGCCGTCGTGACCTACTTTGGTCCATGACTCCCAAATCCCCGTCCACAGTCTCAAAATAACGGCGCAACTCGCCCCAGCCGCCGTTTTGTCCCGTTCACCACCTGCGTGTACCGATACTACCGAACAGTCTTGGAACAGCCATCGATCCGCAACCATCCGAACCACGACGACCTTCTTGACTCGGTGTAACGTAAGTTTACCCTTCCGTTATCGAGAGCCACTTCCTAAATTACAAAATCAAAGAATTAAAAAAAAAAAAAAAAAAAAAAAGGTTTAGCAAGTTGTAAACGGTTCATGTCGAGATCAAACACTTACTCAAATTTCGATATTTTCTTTATCTTTGTCCTCGTTATCTGATTGTTTTCAAAACTTTCATAGAAGCGTCCTGTAAAAGCGCGAAAGCACGAAAAGGGTAGAAGCCAAAGAACCACGTGCCATCTAATGCCCAGTGAGAGTCCACGAGGCCTGAGCACGGTTCGGACATTTCAGCAATGCCATTTCATAGAAGAGAGGTTACCTCCAAAAATATACTTATTTATTTATTATTTCTTTTTTTTTTTTTAATGTGGAAATACGTTTGAATCAGCGCGGTCTCGATGTATCGAAGTTTTGTCTTCATCTCTTTGTACATGTTTCTAAGTAATTTAGCATATCACCAATAATTTTTCACCGTCTGAAGCCTATGAAGTTTTCGAAGGGGTTTCGGTTTCGTAGCGGGCGATTCGGTGGACATGCTGTTATCATCCTGCAACAGTTTCTTTTTCCCTCTGCTCCGAAGAGAGTGCTTTAGCAAGTTTTAGCGAGAGAAAGGTGCCGCGAACACGTATGGATGAAAGTTCGAAAACTATTTGGGGGCGTGTGTATCTAAACAGGAAATGAACCGTGGAGCGAAAACACACAGCATTGGCATATGTATCTTGAGAAACGTCACACAAATTGACCATCAGAAAATAATCCTTACAAGAGACTTGAAGATCTTGACGGGTTCACGGATGCAACAGGAAAGGTGCTAGAAGAGTTCTGCGATGCCTTGGATCTAGTCTAGTGTTGGTTAAAGCGATACTAACAGGGTATTTATGCTCGCAAAGGTTTTTATTTTACCATGACATATATGAGAGCCCAACCGCCCAGAACACAATTCGCGGCTCGAAATTCGTTTTCTTTCCGCCCGAAACATGATCGAGAACTGGCCGGTTTGAGTCGAGCTCACTCTCTTTCCCGTGATCACGGGCCGTTCTCTAGTTTAGGCTAAATCAGGTCAACAACAGCTCAATATTAAAAAAAAAAAAAAAAAGGGATGCCTCTTTTTGTGGTTTTTAAACATCTGCATTGAAGAAAAAAAAAAAAGTTGCACAAAGAACCGGCAGCGTTCGGCGCTTGCGAGCCATAACTTTAGTTCACAGGAGGCAGACGGCCGTGCACGAGAGGGCTCGTGCTTTACACGCGCAGAGCTCTACCGAAATTGTCTAGCTTCGAAAAACAATCATTTTTTACGGTTCACAATTTATTCCGGATGGCGCGCCCGACCACTAAGCTGATTCGCGCGAAGACGTCGCCCCTCTCGTGGCTGAAGACCACGGTGTAGGAATGCTGAAGACATCGCGACCGCCGCTCTCGTGGCAGCAGTTGCCAGAGAGAGAGAGAGAGAGGGGGGGACGAGGGCGCGCGCTCTGCCGCCGCTTTCAATTAAAAAGGTAATGAACTAAATTTAGTTAATTAGCCTGATAATAGTGGTGGTTATATTCCCGTCTAATGTCCGCCGAGCCATAGAAACACGCAGTGAAAAACATGTTCATGCAACTTTATCCCCCTTTAAAGAAAAAAAAAAACATTGCTGCAGCTAAAAGCATTCGGTGTATTTGGCGTGCTTAGGTTTTGCAGGATGGTTTGGAAAGGTGCATGTGCACTTAGCTACTCAGCAAAAAGCCCCAGAAAAGTGTGCGTTTCCACAATGAACTAAATAGTAGCAGTACTTTTTTTTTTGTCTTGCTTGGCCGTTTCCTTCCTTCCCCCCCCCCCCCCCCCCCCCCCCCCCCCCCCCTTTTCCCCTTTTGATGTCCAGTTATGAATTCTGAGGCGTTTGGTCACCCTATATTCTGGGTGAGCTTCAAAATTGATTTCGAAGAGACAGAAGGCTAGAAGATAACCTCTTTGTCACCACTCAATGTAAATAGATAGCATTGGCTTAATTTGGACATCAAGGGAGCATACAATAGCGTGAACCAGGAAAAACACTGAGCCCAGCTGAAGGTGTATAACGCAGATGAAAATTTGATCAGGTTTCTTCAGCAGGCGAATACAGGCAATAAGTAGTTATAACTATAACATAGGAAGCAGAAACTACACAACTAGCAGCAAAAAAAAGAAAAAAAGCTTAGAGTGGGCTGTCCACAGTCGCCCCTGCTCTTCATGATATACCCAAGTGATATGAAAAAGAAATTAGTTATATGAAATGAGGACGAAATTTAATACAAGTGATCCAGGACTAATGTATGCAGACGACACACTACTCGTGGCAGATTACAACGATAACGACATACTACTCATGGCAGATAACAAAACATTAGGGGAACTAACTGGAATATGTGGAGAGGAAGGGGACAGCTTGGGCCTGAGTTTTAGTAAGGACAAGTCTGGAGTAGTGGTTTCCAACAACAAAGGGGGAATTCCTGACAGTACAAGACAGTGAATTAGACCATGTAGAAAAATACAAATGTCCGGGAGTCTGACTCAATGGGGGAACAAAATGTCTAGAGGAACACGAGGAGAATGTAACTAGAAAAGGGAAAAGAAATTCAGCTACTATGAAACTCTAGGCACTATGGAATTATACTAGATATGAAGTGGACAGGGGTATATTGAAAAGAGTAATAATGCCAGGACTGGTCTTTTGGCAATGGGGTACTCTGCATGAGATACCAGAGGTTCCTTGTCAAAATTTCCAATTAGGATTCAAAATTCAACAAAGGAGTGTGGGCAGGCTAGTACTGGGAATGCATGGGAGCACAGCAAATAAGGGAGTGCAGGGGAACATGGGCTGGTAAATTAAAAAAAAAGGCAATTAGTAAATTGAAATTTGGAGTAAGGTTAATTGAAATGGACAATCCCCAGTGGGCACAGAAAGTGTTCAAGTATTTATACACAAGAAACTGAAACAGAAAACGAACAAATCAGGCCCAAAAGCTGACATTTAAATGCCTGCACACCAGTAATGGAGCTGAGCAGACCAGTTTAGTACAAAAGGAAGTGAAAAGAGGCAGACTAAAAAGAATGCAAGAAGGGTCAGCTTACAATGTACACGTTACAAAAACAACATAAGGTAAAATTTGTTTGAAAATGCACGATCAAGTTCTTTGCTGTTTGGGCAAAAACGGGAGTGCTAAGGACAAAGACGTATAGGGCTAAATTCCAAAAGGCAGACACATTACGTGCCGTACGCCATGCAAGATTGAGACATTGGAACATTCGGTCTTGAAGTGCATGGGGCTTCGCACTGTCCTCCCTGAAGGGGTAACGAATTTGGGGTGGCACTGGGTTTTGCTGGCAAGAATGAAGGAATAAAGAGGGAAAGAATCCCAGTCACAAAGGTTAGAAAATCGGTGGAAATTATCTAGGGAAATTTGTATTTTTGAAAACTGAACCTGCTGGGGACAGGCAGGACAAAGGAAAATTGGGACTCCCACATGCATGGCTTCGGCCCAAAGTCTCAACATTGTCTCCCAGTGGATTCGGGGTTGGGGCAACCACGACAAGGTTTGACCGGAGGAAAATTGGCGACTCCCTTGCCGGGTAGTGAAAAGAAGAGGGAAGGGGATGTTTATAGTTATTTTGCCCCATCCCCCCAGGGTCACCCTGGTGATATCTCACACTGCCTGGTGATAGTCACAAAAAGGTTGAGGGAAGAAAAATAGCTTAAAAGGGCGACGGGAGGAATCGCATTTGTGGTTTCTAGGCTAAACGGCACAAGCTACCACCTGTTATAGAGGGTACAGGTATTAGTGTCCATCAATTCATCCGGCTTTAGCACTTGTCCGCCACTTGCTCACATGACGTGAACAAGCGGTTGGACACAATACAGGGAGGTCAGCTTGAACACTGGACAAACACAGAGGGAACAAACATACACACTGCAGTATGTTCATTCCGTCTATGTTTGTCCAATGTTTAAGCTGACTTCCTTGTGTTATGTACCAACTAGCTCAACTTAAACCTGTTACTAAGCGGTTGGACGTCAGGTTCCTGTGACAGCATGATGTCACGCTGTCGTATATTGCGTCAGTGTCATATGTGCATGGCATCACGAGACGTCGCAGGCCTATAAATACCATGCGCTTAGAGTACCTTTGGAGCAATGTCACAGTGTCACGCAACGTCGACGCTGCATGCCACAGACTAATCTATAAATGCTAGGCATTTAAAAAAAAAAGGTTACAATCTGGAGCAGGGACACAGGCTTGCTGTCTGCATGCCTAGCCTTACCTATGTCCTCACTCCAGTCATCTATTTTCCAGCATTCAGCACGGAAGGAACCCCAATCTCAACCATGAGGGCCACTACGTTGCTGCTCTGCATGGCTGGTGCGCTTCTGGCATCCAGCCAATCCGGCGACGCAACCTCGTCCAAGATGTTTCCTGCCATGCGAATTGGGCTGGACCTGGGCTCCAGTTTTCTGCGTCGCCTGGCCGAGATGAAGGAAAAGATTCGCGAAGACATTGACCGCCAAGCGCCGACGTGGACCCGCCTGATGAACCAGCAGCAGCCATTCGGACACATGCCTTGGCCCGTGCTCGGACTGCAAGGCTCTCTCTCTCACGGGTTCCAAGACTTTGCCGTGCCGGAACAACAGGCCCCACCCGCTCCGTCATTTGCGGTCATCCGGCCCTGCGGACCGAATGTCTTAATGCCTTGCCTTTCGGTGCAGCCGTACGGCGGCGTCTTCCCACAAGGTGTTGGGCTCCAGGCGGGGAATCCTTCCGATCTGCCAGCTGCAGGCCCGAGCCTGCCAGGCTTCGCATTTCACCAAGTTACGGCACTCCCCGCGGTGACCCTCCTTGCAGATCTAGACGACAAACCTGAGTCCACAGCAATGGCTACGGATGAAGGCACGGTTGAAACCACACTGAAGACTGCCAGCACGACTGTAACGGTTGCAAACGTTGCAAGTACAGCCACGGCTTCTGTGTCTGGTGTCGACCTCGGCGAAGTTACCGACATCGTAACACGCGCAGTGGTTACGGATGAAGCAACAGTTGGAACTACAACGAAGACTGTTGGCACGACCGTAACTGCAGAAAACACTGCAAGTACAGCCACAACTACCTTGTCCAGTACTGACCTCGGGGAAGTTACTGACGTAGTAACACGGGCGATGGTTACAGACAAAGGAACAACAGTGAAGACTGCTGGCGCAACCGCAGCTGCGGAAAACAGTGCAAGTACAGCCACAACTACATTGTCCAGCGCTGACCTTGGCGAAGTTACTGACGTCGTAACACGGGCGATGGTTACAGACAAAGCAACGATTAGAACCACAGTGAAGACAGCTGGCAACCCCATAACTGCAGAAAACAGTGCAAGCACAGCCACAACTACCGAGTCCAGTATCGACTTCGGCGAAGTTACCGACGTTGTAACACGTGTCATGGTTACGGACGAAGGCACAGTCGGAACAACAGCGGAGATGGACCCTATCGTAACTATGGCAAGCACTGCAAGTATGGCTATCGCATCCAATACTGACCTCGCCAACATTACGGACGCCGAAGCACACGTGGCTTTCGCCACAAAATCACCAAGCATAACGGAAGACGACACCAGCAAACACGACTCTCAAGCAATGTTGGCTACTGTGGAACTGACCAATTCCCTCCCAATTGTGGTTGCCACTGAAGTGTCGCAGCCCTTAACCTTGCCGGCAGAGACCACCAGTCCCATTTATTTTATTAACAAGAACTACCTTTCAGACGAGAGGTACCCACCAAAATTTGCCAAAATGTGGGAGAACGACCTGGGTCACTAATTTATTCCACGCCGTCGATATAGAGTTGCCCGGTCCATAGTATGTAGTAGTTCCATTAAAACAAATTAAGTGCTCAATGTATGTCGATGTCACATGGTTTATTATTCGCACATCACAGCATAGTTTTGCCACTGACATTTACCTTGGCAGTCTGGCTACTGAGTGTTGGGCAACTGTTCGTCAGTCCGGTATTCAACTTTGCAGGCTGGAAGAAACTGGCGGAGGTGCTGAACACATCCGTCCTTGTCCTTTACCTCTGGCAGGTCGAAAAGTTCCAGGGTTTTGAGCTTCCTGCAAGAATGTCAATTGCTCGGTACATGAGATAATTAGCAATTGAAGTGCTTTCTGTTGGATTTATGAGCTACGAGGTGTTACCGAACTGGCACATGAGCTTATACACAACTCCTAGACAGCAAGGCTGTAATGCCGCTACCAGAGGTTAGCACGCATATTTTATTTATTTATTTGTTTATTCTAATACCTACATTGCCCTTACTAGGACATTATTGTAGGTGGGTAGATATTTCAAAATTTTTAAACTAAGTACAATTGAGCACAAATAAGTTAAAAAAAAAAAAATTGACAATGCGAAAGGATTTGATTTTAAGATGGCATCACGGCAACTTGGCAATATAAGAAAAGAAAGACAGATATGAGCACAAAAATATTAACAGAAGTCAATGTAGCAATGCAATAGGAGCAGATACAATTTCAGCAGGAGGGTTAATCCACTCGTGGATCGTTTGACGGAAGAATGCATACTTCAATGTTCATTCTGGATATGGATTCACGACTCACGACTGGTCTGTACTGGGGTCTGGTCACATAGGTTGTTTCTTTCAGTCAAGTATTGTGTTTTTTTGATACCATTTCTGTCAATACATATGTTATAAAACAAGGACAATCTAACATATCCCTGCCGGTTTGCAAGCAAGGGCCACCCTAACTTAACACATATAGCGGAAGACCTTTTAGAGAAATCATAGGAACCGCACTGCTCGTTTCTGTATGCATTCAAGCTCATCTAGACTTTATTTTGTATGAAGGTCCCAATGACCAGAGAGGCAATGCAGACCCTTCGGAAGATAGTTTGCACATTGTGGTTCGGGTGAGCTGGAAAGACCTCGTTGATCGCATCAACAGATGCAATCTTTGCCATAAGTAACACTGGTCAAGGCTGATGATTAGGGTTCCGTGTTTTTGGATAAATCGAGAAAAATCCGAAAAACACTCGCCAGTAAATTTTCCGTCAATTCGGATATATCCGAAAAACTGAATTTCGAGGTCACAGTAACAAAATAAACAGCAATATAGACGGAGATTCCACTTCAGTTTCCTTTGAAATCTAGTACTACTGACAAAAGGGGTTTGCCTTTTAGCACGCCAAGGTTCTTTCGGGACAACAGTGATGGTACCCAAACCCTATTTGTTTTGTTTTTGAATTTTTTTTTTTTAGATTTTCTTACACAGTAACATACACTTTGAATTTCAAAGAATTGGGAATCTAACCAAAAGGAACTCTGATAAACCCCGAATCCCAAGTGAAAAACAGACTCCGAAAAACACCCTCCAAATTTCACTAGAAATAAACTCCGAAAACACGGAATCTTACAGATGATGCATGACCAAATGTACTTGATGGCGAAAAAAAAGTATGCACCCTGTCAGAGGGGGTCAAATTGCACCGTAATGCAGTAAGAAAAGTGTACATGATTTGCCCTAATAATCAATCAATAGGTATTGCATCATCGATAATCAATCAATCACTGAAGTCATTCGTCGGTTGACCCTCGCGACGTCACGGCAGTCACAAGATGCCCGTGTAGGCGTGCTACCGCCAGTTGGCACATCTGATGCCAGATGGCGCACCCAGGTTGCCACCGATAGAGTTCCTGTATAGCTATCTACGGTAGCAGAGTTGCGCATTCAGCCTCGGCGCGTGGCTGTAGCACCGGCTTTCCCGCACGAGCTGGATGCTTTGCTCCTCACGTGACTAAATTTGGCGAATAGCGGCGCCGCGCGCGCCGCCGCGCATGCAAAACAGGAGAGGAGGAAAAAGAGGCGGAAAGCAGGGAAACATACGCCGGGGCAAGAGAAACGTCAGCGGAGCGACCGTAAAGGTGGCTTTCTTGCACGCCAACGGATGCTTTGCTCCTCACGTGATGGATCTCGGCGAGTAGCGGCTTGGCGGCGCGGGGAAAACAAATGCGCAACTCTGGCTCCCGTAGGGAGCCTATACAGGAACTCTAGTCACCGAGGAGTGAGTGGGCTTACCGGTGGTGCCACGTGCCTGCTGCCTAGAGGAAAGAGTTCACTTCCTCACCCAGAATCGAACTGACGACCGCTCTCCCTTTAATACAATGTTCTAACCACTGAGCTAACGAGGCGGCTCGATGTACTCGTCGTTGCGGGCACTAGGAATTTGCGTTGGCGCTGTTGTTGCGCTTCATCCAGTCGGGGTCAAGTCGCACCTATGTAGTTCACGGATGGCAGCCCCACTTGATCATTATGGATGGTACCTGAAACTCTGATCCCCGATAATTCCCACCATAATCTTTCTTCTCATTGTTTGCCTGACCGTCGTCAATCTCGGCGAGGCTCAATCAAAACCGTACAAAAACTGAACGGTAGAACTGAGCCTGAACAAGGATGCCGAAATTCATCAATGCCTAGAGTCCGTGTTTTTGATACGCGCCCCAATGAAGTTCAATTACCCCCCAAAAAAGTTGTGTAAACTTAAACAGAAATCAGCCATTGAAACTAAACCCCGCTTCAATGTGGCAGATAACCATGCATTTGGGGAATTCAACCTCGAATGTGAAGACACTCACCTCACAAGTGAGTCGATCTGTCTTTGACAATGTCTTTTCAATGTTTGTCAAATTAGGCAAACCATGGACCTCCCTTTACGGAATAAATTTGGATCACGGCACTACGTTGCAACTTGCCGATTTTTCGAACAAAGTGCGATAACAAAGGTTATGTGTCGCGTCTTGCGGAAAAATCTGCATCGTGAAGGCCCCTCTGCAGATGAAAAAGAAGAAATGAAGCCTTCAAGCTTCTACTCCATTTTTATTTTTCAAAATCGCTCGCTTTTACTTAACAATTTGGGAATCGTAACCTCTCTGTTTAACAAAGTATTGCAAATCAGGAACACGCCTCATAATCCTCTCAACAATCCAGGTCTTGTTTTCAGGTAGCGAAATGCGTTGTAGCTCGGCTTCGTAATTGAACCCGAGTACAGGTTCGTTCCCCACCGTGCCAATGAGGTGGTAGGTAGTGGGAATGCCTATTCGAATTCTGTCGACAATGATTATCTCGTCTGTCAATGACTGTTTGTACTTTTTCGAGAGAATGTAGCATGCATCTGAGATCCACACAAGAACGGCAACCTAAAATTAAATTTTTTTTACATGTCCGGGAGGACAGAACATGTTAAGGAAATTCCCAGATGTTAATGGGTGATGTTCTGTGATGGCTGGAATTGTAGGACTTTAAAAAGAATCTCAATTAACTGCCTCATTCTTGCACACTCAAAGTATTTATAAACCCGATCCTCATAATGGTTTGTTGTACGTGTTCCACTTCCGAGGCCCTTTGCTTCGAATAGACAGAATATAGTTTGAAAGGGACACTAACACACTCCAAGAAAATATTTTTAAATTTTTTTCCAGGCGATCCATGATGGTGTTGGAAGACACCATCATGGTGTCTTCCAAGCATTTTTTTGCTACAGTGTCACATATTTTAAATCAAGTAAAAAAAAATGCAATTGCTCCAAACCGAAACTGGACTGGGGAGGAAGAAGAAATATAGAAGAGAAAGTTACCGGAAGTCACGTGGCTGTGCAACTTTGTTTTTCAAGGAACATATCTGCAACTTTTTAGAAGCCACAAAAAAATGGGCATCATATTTCTTTTTTTATTTTTAATATTGTGTGTGTGCCTTTGATGACCCACAACTTTGATTACCTTTGGTGGTAGTGTCTAAGCCATAGAAAACGGCATGTGACCACAAAGAAGAGAGCGAGCGCGACTCAAACTGGCCAGTTCTCAATCGGCAGTTTTCGGGAGGAAAGAAAACGAATTTTGAGCCGCAAATTGTGTTCTGGGTAGTTGGATTCTCATGTCACGTACAAATAAAAACTTTGGCAAGCATAAATACCCTGTCAGTGTCCCTTTAACATGAGTGTTATCAAGAAACCTCAATAATTTTCAGTAACATTCACAATCACGGTCCGTACCCAAAAACTTCCGCTTCTTTGTTTTACGAAAGGTAATTTTAAGTGCTCTCCAAACCTCCTTACCCACATTTCGAGATATTGGACAGAAGCGAGAAATTGCAAAAACGTGTCGATCACAAACGAAATGCTCCTTTTTCTGTCGTTATACTTGGCAATTTTCTAAATTTCCAAAAGTTTTGCTCGATACACATCTCCGAGGCCCGTGGACAATTTTTTGCAGTATAATCGAGGATGCTTGGTTTCCCTAAATCGGGTGTTTGTGTCGGAGCCTTATAAAAACTTTTCCACCTTTCTCTGTCCTGCGCGCTGTACAAGTCTGTTGATTCCACCGAAGGATGCAGGATGACTTTCTCTGTAGGAGACGGCATTGGTCCTCATCTTTGACGACGGTGACGCATGTTCTTTGCCCTTGGGCGGTAGGAGCGAGCTCGAAACGATGTCAGATCCCGGTGGCACTTGATTACGGCGAAAATTACACGTCCCATCCAGGGACATCCGTTGTAGAGCTCGTAACATAGTAGGTCGACGATGTTGGATTCCTTGACTGATTTTTGCGCAAGACAGGACACGGTGTCTTTGTCATCACGCCAACCAATATTTTGCTACAGTGTTACGTATAGTTTTAATAAAGTAAAAAAAAACGCTACTGTTCGAAAACTGGACTGGGGAGGAAGAAGAAATATAAAGGAGGAGAAAGATACCAAAAGTGACGTGGTTGTGCAGCTTTATTTTTTATTTTTTTTTATTTCAATCAACGTATTTGCAGTTTTTTAGAAGTCACAGAAAATGGGTATCATGCTTTTTGTCCATTTCTAGTATTAAGTGTGCCTTCGACGAACCATGACTTTCATTATCTTAGATGGTTGTGTCTAAACCATAGAAAACGGCACATGACCACGGAGAAGAGAGTGAGCGCGACTGAAACCTGCCAGTTCTCAATCAGCGGTTTTCGGGCCGAAAGAAAATGAATTTAGAGCCACAAATTGTGTTCTGGGTAGTTGGGCTCTCATATGTCATGTACAAATAAAAACTGTGGCAAGCATAAATACCCTACCAGTGTCCCTTTAAAGAGGGAGCGGTCGTTGGTTTCAATTCTTGGCGAGGACGGGAAGTCTTTTCTAGGCAGCAGGCATGTGATGTCACTGTCTCTGACGCCAGAGGCAAACCCACTCACTCCCCGCCGGCTACCCACAGCAGCAACTCGGATTCACTATACTGCGTCGGATGCGCCACCTCGTGGCAGTGCGCACATGCCGGCAACCTGGATGCGCCACGTGGGAGCAGTGCCTTGTCACGAGACCGCCATAACGTCGCTAGGGTCGGCCAATGACCTTGGTCGATTGGTGACGACGTCACGAGGGTCAATTGAGAGATGACATTGATGATCGATCGATTATCGATGATGCAATACCTGTCAATCAATTATAGGGGTGAACACTTTTCCTACAAATCATTACTAAAAATTATGCAACATTTGAGTACCTGGGAGAGGACCCGAGCCTATATTTTCCTCTGTCATGTATGTACGTTCAGGCACCACTAACAATGGCTGGTGCCACCTCCCTCGAAGATGTAGCATTTGTACGAGCAATCAAGGGGGCTATAATCCCAAGGGCGAATATATATCAGCTAGACATATCAACCAACGTCACAACACAAACACGTCTTCAAAATTTCAAATTAAAAAAAAAGAAATTGCTTTTAGTGTTTTTTTTAAAAAAACAATGAAGAGAATTTTTTTTTTTTTTTTTAAATAGTGTTTTTATGCTTCTTGGGAACATAACATGCTGCCCAATTTTTTGTAGACATTTGCGACGCGTATTTCTGTGCCTACGAAAAAAGTAAAGAAACCGAAACTGAACAATTTCCATGCTCGTTTCTGGGCTTCCGAAAACGGAGGTGACGTCAAGTGTGAATACGTCGGTATCGGTAGTATTTAGAAGATTGAGACTCAGGTTACTGCGGTGGGTTATAGCAGCACGGTGGCGCGGTTGTTTCGTCGAATCCGTCAACATGGACGGCAATGCCGCTCTTGCGAGCGAGTTCGAGCTTCCGTTCAGTGGCCCAACACAAACGGAACGGGAGTAGTGTGTGGCGGCCTCCGCATCACCCGACGGAGACCGCCCAGCCGGTAACGAGCGTCCCTTGCGAGCGGCCCGCATGCCAAAGTGCCCATAGTTGCTTGTTGGCCGTTTCGCGTCCAGCATAGCAAAGAAAAAAACAATTATGCTGCTTTATTTATGGTTTAGTAACCATTTCCGGTCCGATTTATACGTTTCATGGTTATTCAAAAGGAAATTGGAACAGTATTCCTAAAAACTGCGAACCAAAACGTGACCGAGGGCATGTCTCTCGTTCCGACCAATCACTGACGCGTCTCTTGCGACGTCGCGCCTCTTGGCCCCGCATCGGTCACGTGAGCTCCGCTTCTGCTTGCTTCTCCTGCAACTCTCGGGGCGTCGCCCCAGTCGATCCCGGTACGATTATTACCGCGACTGTTTAATTGATTTGCGCGGCACGCAAGCGCCGGTTTCGGCTGAAATTTGGGCAATGTGGCCCGAGACGTGCCTGGAACCCAGTTCAATCGCCAAAAAGATGTCTGAAATTGCCTTCATTGTCCCTTTAAGGGTCTGCATTACCTGCCTGGGTGCACTTCTCCAAAATATGTGCTAATTTGCACTGTCCCAAATATGCGCAATTTAGCCGCCACCAGTGTCTGAAAGTGCGTATACGCAGGCTGCCGCAGCCCAGTGCAGTCGAACGACATCGATGTACACTCTCAAAACCAGGGACGAGCGCCGTAAAGCGCCTGGTTAGAAACTGCCGCCGGAAAAGCGTATAGCAGTAAGAAAGGGGACCCCACTTACGTCAGCTCAGACAGCGTCTTGACCCCGTAGTCACTCACGTTGCCGCAGCTGATCACCCGTAGCTCCTCGAGGCTCTCCTTCCGGCACGCGAGCATCTGGAGGGCCTCGTCTCTCACGTAGTGACAGCGCTTCAGGTTCAGGGATCTGAGATTCGTCAGCCCCCCTGGAAGTAGGCAACGACTTGGTGGGCCGGCAAGGGGCACAAGGCCAAGACCACTTAGAAGACATTGCAAGGCCCAAGTTTTATGCCATCGTTAGTGGATCCTCGATTTGCCCCCCAAGCGACAGACACGCCGAAACCCGACATTCTGGCGCGTCGTCTGCTGTCCACGCGAAATGCTGGAATACGTCTTCGACTGACGTGTTTACCGTCCTATCCAGCCCATGCATCAAAAGTAGACCCAAGGAGGCAACAAATTATGTCGCGGGAGCTGTTGTGACATGCTGTTGGAGGTCGTGATCCCGGCGGTCGGTTGTAGCATAACCGGTGAAAAAAACGAGCTAACGCAGGATTCGCAGTCGTCATGGCCTCCCGCCTCGTTTTTACTGCAGTTTTTTTTTGTCGCTTGTCTAGCTGCAGCAGAACAAATGTCTGCTTTGTCCCCGTTTGCCACTATGCCATCGCTGGAATTGCCGCAGGCGAAAAACCGCCACTTGACGTCACTGGGCGGAAATCTGAGCATGATCACACCAGTCGGAGAGTTCCAAGCACCCCAGCAAGTGCTGGCAATGGGCGCGTTCAGTAGCGGCCCCGGAGTCAAGGAGTCACTGACTCCTCCCACTGGACGGCCAAAAGTCACTTCCGGTGCATGTAACTCCGGGGCTTCGGAGTCAAGCTCCGAAGCACCGACTCCCGAGACGGTGCACGTAGAGTCAAAGGAGCTAAAATGACGTCATTTCCTGACTGGTGACGATTTCCGGCGCTAAAAGAGGAAAAAACAAGCAATATGGCGGGATAAGCTGCTTCGGTTCTATCGCGGGTGCGCGGTTTGTTCGCTTTTGTTAATGAAAAGTGCTCAAGGTAAGACGAATAACGCGTTTGAATATATTTTTCAGGTAAGGCTCTTTCGGAAAATGCATAGGACCGTATTTTGTTTGGTTTGAATATGCTAATAAACAATGCAAACGTTCATTTAATGCCGTGTCTCGATCACCGTTGCACGGAAACTCAGTAATATTGACGATAGTCCTGTCCGCGCTCAACAGAGCAAAACAGGGTATGAGCGCGACTTTGGAAGCCGGTTGGACACTCACGCAGAGCATGATACCGATTAATGTTTTGTTTGCGTAGCTAAATCGGGGTGCACGTTGGCTAAGGCTCGCTTCGGCCGACAAACCTTGATCGCCGAGCGCGGCAGAACTTCCCGTGTGTATACGAATACATTTTATAGGAAGTTCGTTACGAAGGGCAGAACAAACTTATGGCCGTATAAAAATATCGCAACCGGCGGGGTAGATTCGCTGAGCTCTGTATTTTGTGTGTGCTGACGACGATTTTTGTCGGCTTTTATAACAGTAGCTGCCTTTGCACCGCCAAACGAAGGGCTCGATCGCGTTGCATCGCTTCGAACAGCAGCGCTGATGTGTACAATCACCCGCTTTTTCTTCAACGACCTTGTAAAGACTTCTTCAAAACCGGCGTCAAATAAAAGCGATCGTGCTCGCCATCGTCTGCTTCCAGTTTATTCGGAGACCGTCTGGCGCAGGGGAGGAAGCGGAAGTTGCGTAGAAGCAGGTTTGGAGCCGCGGGTTTTTTTGCCGTTCAGTAGGCGCTCCGATGACTCCGACTCGAGGCACTCCGTTCGGAGGCAAAGGAGGCGCTACTGAACGCGCCCATTGCGCCGGTTGTGAGACGCTGCAAGAGGCAGTTGCGGCAAAGCAGACGCGAATGGCGCTGCACGAATCCACTAGTGATGTTGTTAGAGAATGAAAGACAACTAGGCTTTGTCTTCGACGTGGTGTTCCTGGCCTGCATGCATACTCAGGTAGGGAAAGCCTATGTGCATGATGGACGAGTCCGTGGCGTCAATCTCTTGGATCTTCAGTGCCCGGGACACGGGTAGGGTGTTGTAGTCCGAGTGGAACTGCTCCGCTCCGGCCCACCGGACGGAAGCGCCGCAGCGGATGAGCCATTCCGCCGCTGCTCGATCAGGACCCACCTCTCGGATGCGAGCCTCGTCATACCTGGCAGATACAAATGATGGCATTATTAATCCACCCTTTTTGTAGATTCCAGGTTTGAGGGGAATGAAGCTGCTTGGGCGTGGCAGGAGCGAGTGCAAACATTCCTTCGAGTGAGGACGCTGGATCCTGTTAGCTCCATTGAGCTACGGTGGCTTGTAGTTGGTCGCAGGTTAAGAGTTCAGGGGAAACTCCTCCCACCTCTTTCCACTTCATGGAGAGCAAAGACTCTGCTGAAGTGGAAAGGAGTGGAGGGAGCTTCCCCACAACCTGCCCATTGTGGCTTATCTTTCGCCTCTAAGTTAGTACTTGTTAGTACAAATAAACAAATAAAGTAGTTGTTAATACAACCACCTTTTGTGTTTTTTTCTTTTTATTTTTTAACTGCATTAAAAATTGCGTGCATTGAAACCGAAACCTTAACTCCGTTTCATTGCATAAGGTTACTTTTTTTGATGAACCGCGTGTACGACAGACATTTTGATGCAGGTTTACTTGTACATAATTGATGCACTTACTTGTTAAATACGGCGTTTAGCCATTGCCAGAAGTGACGCTTCGGAGTGAAGGTCAGCTTAGGGGCCAGAGGGGCCAGCGATATGCCCACGCTCGCACACAACGATCTGCAGCAGGCCACGGGCGCCCTGATCATCGTTTGGCGATCTGTCCAGAAGAGGTGTCACACTATGCCGAACACACAGTTGCAGTTCCACCTTTTTCAGCACCAGTTCTACCTCGTAAAATTTGTTAAAATACGGTTGATCGTCAAACACAGCCGCTATCAACTGTTATTGTAGATGTACAGTTATGTATTTCTGAATTAGACGATGTCTTACGCCACCTAGCCATTGTGGTTTGCACAAATTATTTCAGTGAACGCTCTAGTGCTATTGTTGGTTTTGGCCAACGAGGTAGAGGGGCTTAGAGTGATAAACCGGAAGTTCGGAAGTGGCACCCCCCCGGTTGCCGCCATATTTTACGCAAATGTGACCACTCGTCACGTGACCTTCCAAGAGCCGTGACGTCACGGGTAAGATGGCAGCGCCCAGAGCTGGCGGATGCGAGTTTGTTCGGTGCGCGGTAGCCGTGATGTGCAGCTGCTTTCCGACGACTTCGGGCTTCTTCGTGCTCGCTGACGCAGGTATAATGTGAAAATATGAAGGAATGAGACTTTATACCGTTTTTGCGCAAGATCGCTGTGGATCATCTGGATATTAACGCCTGTGAGACAGGATCAGCTCTGCATCGCCGTACCGGTGCTCGGATTCCGGGATGTGTCCGAGGATCGATAGAACTTTGAGTGCTTTTAACATGAAATTTTCGCATTCTCTTAGCTTTGTTTGAACGTTGAAATATCTGAGAATCTACGCTTTAGGGCCTAAGGGAAGTTGTTTCAGCCCTCCGTCCCTCCGTCACCGAACAACCATAGCAACTTTTAGCGAGGAAGCTCCTGCGATTTTAACCTTTTGTGCTAATCCACGATTCTACGTTCGATCGCTTTTCTTCCTTTTTTTGTGTGTGTGTGTGTGAGTGCGAAGTGCACCCTTATTTTCAGCTACGAGGTTGGCGTTTTATTGGGTATGGGGAAGAAAAAATCCTTGCAGGCACCTGCTTCAAAGCTATTCGACTTGCTATAAGAACAACTGTTTTGGTGCATGCATAGATTAACTGCGTATTTTTTATGTTTTGTAGGATTTATTGCAGCTATACTCTTTTCCATCAAGAGTGCATTGTATTAGTCGGTCAATTATTTAATTGTTCTAATTACCTGGATAAGATGATTCATATTTGTGTTCATCCCTTGCCTGGAGAGCAGTCTTGTTGAAAAATGTTGACTGCCATTCCTTTTGGTCTCTTCAATAAACTCTTTTTAAAAGTTTGGGCTGTCTATACTTCGCATCACCGTAACTTGGAAAAGGCCAACCGCCACAGCCCCCTCGAGCCAATCAGAGAGACGGAGCGAAGGTGTGTGACAAATCTGTGCAGACGAGCACTCTGGTGATATGCTGTCATGTGCCTCTCTCCAATGTGTGTATTGACTCACCGAGACTGTAGTCTTTGCCGTCTGCCAAATTCTGATGAAACAAATTACAGTAGCTACTACTGTAATTACTTCAGGCTTTCATACTTTGGGTATTTGTTCGACAAGAATGTTATGTCCGCCATCCCTGTGAATTTGGCTCAGCACCTATTGGACTCGAATGCTGCATTAGCGTTCGACGTGAACTGGGGCCCATTCGTGTGCTTTACGCAAAAAAAAAATGGTGACGGTTGTGTTGCTTGATAAGGTTCTGCAAAGGGTCTATTGTGTCATACATATAGGAAGTGTCATGCTATATAACAATGCATCAACACATACTATTAAACTATATGCTCAGAGGTGTGTTTGTTTTTCCAATTAAAAAGTTACAGCAGTGTGCTTTAATGCTATTATCATGTGTGTAGTTTTAAGTATCCTCTCTGCAATGCCTACGAAGGCCCCTGGAAGCAATAAATTAATAAATAACATTTTCACATCACTGGAGTTGCTTTTCGGATGCACCACATGTTCAGGAAAGGTTGAACGGGTGCAGCCCCTTGCAAGAAGTCTGCCAGTCTGGTATGACCCCTTAATTAATATTGAAGGGTCAGAGAAGCAAGTGTCCTCGTAAGGTCCAGAGCGTGCAGTGGACACAATTCTCGGTGTGTAGACTCTCAAGGCATGAAGGCAAGCGGAAATATGTTTATCTGGTTAGTGTATCAAATATGTTTATTTCCACTTGATTACATAATTATTGATTCTTAGTGAATGGTTCCATAACGAGTTCTTTCTGCGACAGTCTCGTGTCAGGCGTTCAGTCGTAGTACCTGTGGACCTTGTTGTCGGATGACGCTCCTGGCACGTCGGTGTTCAGTTTGGTCGAGTGGCAACTTTGACCGACTGATGCTGTCTTGTAATCATACGTCATGTGCAGCCACTGACGTCTGATGCACTGAAGCTGCAGGGCTGGCTTCTAATCCGAAAATTTTCCTGGTAGTTTTCGGCATCAATGTAGCAAGCTCGGGCATGTATTGCTTACGTGGCTGTGCCTTTTGCTGTACCATTGACTTGAAAGCTGGCAACAATTTTTGTTTGCTATCCAAGTCTGGTGATGCTTGCAGTTCACTTTTGAGAGCAACCAGCCATTCTATTCCTTCAAGTCACTCAGGGGCATTCTCCCTCAAAGTTGGAAATTGTGTGCTTGGTGGAGTGGACACAGAAAATTGGTGTCAGCAAATTTTTAGGTAATGTCCTTGGACGACAACCGACACCAAATCCACTGTCACTGCATCGCCGCTCACCTGCTTTGTCGTGCTTACCTCTTGTTGAGGTGATGGACATGAGGAGCTTTGGGGTAATCAGGGATTCAATTCAGCACCTTCGGCGTCAGGGACAAAGGTCGCCGAAGGTAATCCTTAATCTCCCGTGGTCGCTCCTCGAGACGTAATCGAAGGTCGTTTGGCACGAACCCTCGCCGACCAATTCATTGGTACGGGCTGCTTTGGTAGACATGGTCGGCTTCATGCAGTGGTAGCAAAGTGGTTTTCGGTCGTACATTCGCATCACCTACGTTTTCCTCGGTATACTTTGTTGAGCACAGACCTACACACGATGTCGGGAATGCTTCGGCGTTAGAGTGTCTCATTGAATTGGCATTGAATACTAAGGGGCAGCCGGTGGCGGTCGTCGTGCCATTGTGGTGTAAGTTGCCCTCGGTTTGTCAGATGCCGCTTCGCTCGCAGAAGTCTCGGTTGAAATACCTGTCAAACTTGTTCCGAAACAATCTCGGCAATCAAAATAAAAGCCAGGCAACTGATGGCAGGAAGTAGCTTCCTGATCTCCTTCCAGACAACGTCGTGAATGATGTCGTGGATGCCTGGGAGGCTGGCGTCGAAGTAGTAGCTGGACAACTCGAGTGTCGAGACGCCGCGAAGTTGTTCATAGTGGCAGGCTTGGGCATGCAGTGCACATTCCATGTTGGAAGCCTCAGTGATATGAACACTCCGACTGTTGTTGGGGGGGTTGTTGTCCCTCACGTGTTGTCCCTCACGTGAGGGGCATGGGATTCTTAGGTTCTTGTCTTCTGTAGCATCAAGGTCGGCGTGGGCGTGGGCGCTCGATCAAGCGCAAAACATCCTCCACGAGTGCAGTGGCGCTCTCATTGGGGCAGTGTCCTGGACAAAATCAAGAATGCGGCTCTCTCTCGTTGATGTTGGCTGACGAATGCGCGCTTCAGCTCGATCTTGCATACTTCCCATGAAGTTAAGGAGGATCCATGGTTCTCAGACCAGCGCCGGCAATTTCTTCCACGAGAAGTATAGGTTCTGCAGGAGCTGGTTGTCTGTCCACCCAATGTGGCGGGCGACACTGTCATATTGTTCAATCCAGTCCTTGACGTCTTCATACAGCTTGCGTGAAAAAGCGTCGGAGTGTGATTTGCGACGGGCATGCAAACAATGGTGGGAGGGGACACGGTTTGCTGCTACAGGTTTGTCATTGTTGGCTTAGTCAGCTTCGGATTTTCTGACAGGAGACCGAATTCCGGTGGTTTTTCCTGGTAGCAGCAACTGGCTCGGATTTCAGGTGCTTCGTGGTGTATTTCCGAGCTTACTCCTTGTGGTACTCGGTCGTCTTGCGGTTGTTCTGCCAGGCTCGGGTCAGGACTTTGCTTACGGCTCGACAGGGGTATAAGACGCAGGATAGTCCGCCAGCCGTGTCCCATTATCGGGTAACTCGGTTGAAGAGCCGCCGGGTTCACACAGAGTGAAGGGCTCTGGGTAAAGTGCCCAGCACCTCCACCTGAACATTCAATTACAGCTTAGCATGACCTGCAGTGTCCCAGAATAGTGAATATTGATAGAAGATAGGACTGGAACAAGGGTCCGTGACAGTATAACAAAACTCGCAGAAGAGAATCTATCCTGACCACTGAAGAAGCTGCATTGCTTTAGTGGCATTCTGTCCGAATAAATCCTCTCCTTCGGGGTTTGGCGACTGCCGTGGACGAACTGAACTGAAATGGATGTGGGACCACTTTTCTGGTAATGGGCCGCTGCAGACTGTTGCCACAAAGCGGCGTGAGCTGGGTACGTAACACGCTCGATGAAATGTCCGGGCAGCTTGCAATTCGCGTAACGAGTGTGGATGAAACGTTTGTGTTGACGAAACGTGCGACAGACCAGCGGGATCAATACCAACTGCAACACCTGTGCTCCGTGAAAGTGCACGTCTACGCCGGAACAATTTTGGAAGCAGCACAGCATCACCTAAAGCATGGCACAGGAACTACCAGCTTGAAGGCAGCTCTTCGGTGCGTCGCACACCTGTGCTCCGTGAAAGTGCACATCTACGCCAGAACAATTTGTAAGCAGCACAGCATCATTCAGCGGGGCACGGGAACTACCAGCTTCAAGGCAGCCTTCCGGTGCGCCGCACAACCGAAGTGAGCCCTCGGTCATTTGATCGAAGCTGCACCGCGATTGCACACCGCCAAGCACGACTCATGCAATTTACGTCGCTAAACTGTGTATCCAAATATATTGCACACGCTTCACTGCAAACCTCGAAGATTCCGATGGTCAACGAGAGCACAGAAACGTCGCCTTAAATTTTATCCTAGCGGTATCCGAATCAATCCGAGGTCCGAGCAACGTAGGTCAGATTGTCTCTTCCGTGGCAATATCCCGGTCGGTCACCAGCGAAATGCACACCGTTCCTCCGTATTTTCACGTTATACCTACGTCAAACACCACGCTGAACTCTGAACTCGCTTTCGACCGGCCTCATATGACGGCTTCCGCGTCTGAAATCAACTCGCCGAGACGAACGACAACCAACAAAGCATCCGACAAGCTCCGGCCCAGCTGGGGCCAGCCGCTGCATGGGCGCTGCCATCTTTCCTGTGAGGTCACGTATTTGGTTTGGTCATGTGACGTGTGGTCAAATTTGCGTACAATGGCAGCCGCCTTAGGGGGGTCACTTTCGAGTGCAGACCGGAACCCCGGTTTATCGCTCTAAGCCCCTCTACCTCGTTGGTTTTGGCATGGAAGATTCGGTACGGCGACTGCGGCGACTAGAGCACTATATAGCTCCTACGGAGCAGAGTAGCGCAATCCTTTGAACCTCGTGTTTTGCCGACAAGATGGCCGACAGAGCGGCTCGGCGCGAGTCACGTGGTACTCAGGGTTCCAAGAGGCGGCCCGCCCTATGGGAGAATACATGGAGATCGATACAACACGGCTGATTAAAAAATGAACGGCGAGTTCACACTTTTCAAAACTAGTCTGTCGTGAAGTTAGTAAAGCACTAAACACTTTATCAAAATTTTAATAATATCGGATGCGTGTGCAAATTTTGAGAAGGCAATTTCCAAGGCAATGGCGTTTGAAGCAGACGATTTTTGCTCGCAGCGGAGATGGGCTTTTCGGGTTGGCCGGAGCGGGTCACGTGAATGGTGTGACGTCGCCGTGTCGTCTGCTGCATGATGCCGCTCAGGCAATTTTTTAAAAAAAGTTACGTCCTTGTATGGGACAAAACTTATCGCATATTATTCTAAAATGTTTCATTATTATGTCAAAAATGATTTCCATTCCGCACATCCCCACAAAACTGAAGAAACAACGATTTTCTCACGTTCTCCATGCATTTCTGACCGCAGTTGGAACCTCCGGGCGTTCGCCGCTAGTCGCCGAGAGACGGCGTTCTTGATTGCGCTACTCTGCTCCGAAGGAGCTATATAGTGCTCTAGCGGCGACCACAGAGCAGCATGGGCCGTGGTTTGAAAGGGCACAGTAACTTGAGGAAGTTGCTGTGACGACTGTGTGGACTAAATATCACTCTAGTTTTAGTCAGTCTATCTCGTGAGCGTTCGTAATTCGGCAGTAATGCGTGGCCGTCGCGACCATACGAGGCAGACTCGCGAGAGCGTCTGCTACGGGCTGTGGATGACCGTGAGCTCGACTGTGGCCATCGCAGGAACGCTGTTCAGCGCTCAGCGGGCGTGCCTGGTTCCGATCTCTCTTGTTCTGGAGCTGGTGGCCGGCGTCTGGCTTCGATGGACCAGGAGAGCCGAGTCGCCGGCAGGACCGCTGACGGCGACGCACGCCAAGGTGACCAACACGGGATCTATGCTCTGGAGGCGTCTCATCCTGAGATGGATCGTCAAAAGCAATCGTTGGATGTTGTGATATTGAAATAGATCGTTATGATCTATTTCAATTACGTGAGGTTTTGACCCCCTCCACTATTTCCATTTTAGCCGAGTGAACGCTGGAAAGGAGGCGATCCGTCTCCTCTCTTGCTTTCTCTCCAACACTCTGCTAAATTGGGATGAGTGGGGGGCTTTGCGGGAGGACCCAGCAGCCATAGACAAGCCAACTTTTCGCCAGGGGTGTCGGAAACCGGCCGAGGTCCGAGGTCCGACCAGGTTCGACTTTTTCGACCTTTAAATGGTAAGTTCGACGAACCTTGTATTGAGGTTCGACTCGTGTGCGCATGCGCGACAGGCTGGCAGTTGGCTTCGGATTGGATCGTGATGGCCAAGGGATGAATTAAGGGCAGCCCTGATTGGTTATTTCAGTTCATACAGTACGAAACATTAAGTTATTAACTTCTTCAGTGATCAGAATTGGTTTCTTTTAATTGCAATTGTTTATAAAATAAAATAAGCCATTGCATAACAAAAATAAAAAAAAAAAATTCTCCAAACCTAGACATGCTTGTATCAAGGTCTGGCCACACTGTCCACAGTCGAATCGGTCGAATCTGGTGAAAAGTTCGAAGGTTTGTCGAACCGGCTCGACCCAGTCGAACCCCGAAAGTTTGGCCTAAAAATCTGGTTGTGTTGCGACACCCCTACTTATAGCCTTTTGCTTGGAGCGCACTTACTTCTATGAATGTTCTTAGGATGTCATAACATTTTGGGGTGACCTGTGGATGCATAGGGCATCACCGGAACGTTAGAACATAAAAAATCTTGAAGCACTCCACCCTCGGTCACTTAGGCGTCGCACAACCAGTGCGCTCTTGTCGTGATTAGACTCAGAACTGCTGTCGGAATCGCTCCTGTCGTCGACAAAAGGCTTCGAAAACTCACTATCCTCACCAGACGTCCCGTCATCATAGCTATCGAAGAGGATATGTATGATTTTATCTACAGAAAGGCCACACCATACACTGGACGCTGCCATCTTCTGCAAGCAGGCAGCGATCGAGCAGGAAAGACAACACACAAAAGAACAAGCTCAAACAAACGCAGCGAACAGAATGACCCTCGCCATCTGTTGGCAACGTATCTAACTATACTACCCGAAGTCTACATAGCGCACAATCTATGAATAGCTCTTCGAAACAGAAATTTATGCACCCCTGCAAATCACCGGCTTTGGCAATATGGCCCCTGACGGCTCGCCCGGCGATTCACCGGCTTTGGTAGCAAATGGGTTAAAGGTTGCATTTTTACCGGTTTTTAGCCCCTGCGATTATAAGCAGCTGCAATTGTGGAAACCAGCCTTTATATATAGCAACTTTGTTTTCCGAAAACAGCCGTTTACAGGGAGGTGCAACTTACGCAATGGTGGAACTTATAGACCGAAAACTACGGTACAGTCATGTCTCAATAATATATGGACGCCTCTGTTCCCCAGCAAACTTTTTCCATAGTGCAAGTCATCCATAATAAGAAATCAGCACATGACGGCCCTTACCAAAAATATGGGTGCGAGCATAGGTGCCTTTCGCATAACCCAATTGAGCAATTCGAGAAGTGGGGAAAGAGGAACTCGGATCAGGACCCTCTTTTCTATCTCCTGGATGTCGCTTTGTCCCCCAAAATTTGTACAAGAGCGGCATGCTTATTCTCTCTCCCGCCCATGTCTTCCCCAAGCGGGAGAGAGAAGTATTTGTATTTACCCAATTTTTCTCTAAAATAGCTGTCCGTAGTTCAAACTGCGGGTTCCCATATTAACGGGGCAAAATTGCAAGGTGAAAGGTCGGTCGCCCCCCCCACCCCCACAGGTCTGCCTGGCAATCACCTTCATGATCTGGTGATAGTCAGAGAAACGCATTGGCTTGAAAGGGGAAACAAGGTTTTTGGGATTGTTTTTAGGCTAGATGGCACAAGCTACCGCCCGTTACAAAGGGTACAGCCGTTATCATCCATCCATCTATCGGGGTCTCGAAACCCCGGCCCGCAGAAGTCTTTCGGCCAGCCCGTGGGTGGCTGCGGTCCTTCCAATGAAGCCCAGCCCGCAGCCTGCTTTCAGCAGATCCGCTGCTACCGGCACAGAAATAAGCGCGCGTAAAGAAATGGCAATGCAACGCACACTAACTGCGTGAACAGAGATACCAGAAAAAGAAGAAAAAAACTGCCTACCGTAAGGCGTGTTCTCTCATCGTATTATTTGTTGGACATTGTCATCATATCAACATCATCATTCCTAGTTTCTTGTTTCATATCTGTGTAACTATGTACATTAAATTATTTTGTGTTTCCATGTATATAGTGCTTAGTGTCCTGTGTCAAATCTATGCGGAACGCAAGTTCGTCTGCTTCTTTTGCAGGGGTTGTGGTGATGTCGGAACACCGAGCTCTGATTGGTTCTGAATGAAGGATAGTGGGTAGACCTCAAAGCAAGTAGCCTCGAGGTCTGCCCACTATCCTTCAATCAGAGCCAATCAGGGCTCGGCGTTCTGACGTCACCGCAACCCCTGCCCAAGGAGCAGACAAACTTACGCTCCGCATTGAATATTGTCAGCATGGGTTCTATTAGTCTCTTTAGTCTTCTGCTCTGTTGAAACATGCCAAAGTCCCTATGTGCTTTGATTTATGCCTGCTGAGTTTACTGGGTCCCATTTATTCTGTAACGTCATAATTAGCTAAATATTAGATTTCAAAATAAAGTGGATGTTTCACCATATATATCCCTTTTTTTCATTTTTACTCTAACTTTCAATTTTGTATTTACGTGCTTATCTAATATTATTAATTAAGTTTTTTTTTCATTTATATCTTACATATTTTCCGGCCCTCGAGACAGTCCTTGATCCGGCCCCTTAGCCCAAAAGTTTCGAGAACCCTGCTCTAGGTCAAAGGAAACGAACATGCAACCTGTCGCAGGGTCCCTCTCCGCTGGTGCGTGCCGTGGGCCTGCTGGCTGCAAGCGTGCTCTTCTTCCACGTCCTGGCAGTGCTGTTTGGGGCACCCCTGCTCGAGTGAGGCCCTTTGACTTTCTTTCGTTGTGAGAGCGACACGAGCCTATAGGTCAGTGGCAGGTGAGAAGCACTGCCGCATTTTCGGTGCAGCTGTCCAGGTCGTGCGGCTCTGCGACTTGGGCAGCACGTCTCCAAGTGGGAGATCCTCCCGGGCATGCCATCGCTACAGCACTGTTGCGGTTAGCATCCTATCCCTCCGAATCCAGGGGAAGCCTTTGAAAGTGACTGCTGAAATCATCTCGGTGACGTGTTGCGCTACCATTTACCACAGAACTGTCTGAGGTGGTGGAAGCAAGGACGTAAGCGGCCATAGGGAGGACCTCCTAAGCTACCAGGGCTGCTGCCGCCCTCCGTCGGTCGTTGCACCAGCTGGAGGGTGTGCGGTTAGCAGACGGATGCCGTAGGTGAAAAAAAGCAGTTATTGTTTTTATACTTTTTACTGGGGTAAGTTCGTTCTTTGAAAGTTTGATACGATGCTTCCACCACCTTGAAACACCTCTGTGGTAAATCGTGGTGCAATGTGTTATTAGGCCGATTTATGCGGTCACTTTAAAGATTTCGCTCGGATTTGGGGACATGCGCTGTACGTGAGAAGTGGTCCCGATGTCACAGAAGCCGGCAAGTCATCCCGGGGAGTGCTCGAAATTTAATGCAGACGCCGCCTGCGGAGATCAGTCGCAAGTGCGCATGCACCGCGCGGTGAGGAGGAAAGCGGGCGGAAACGCTCGCAGACGACCGACACCTTCGCCGCCTTGTCGCAAGTAGTATTGCAAACGCGGCCTGTAAACTACGCGACCCTGGTCGAGCAGTTGGAAACTCTGTAATGTAGACTCTCTGTGCCGTCCTGCTGAATGTCGCAGTCCTTGCAGCTGGTGCTAGAAGCCCCGGTAAAAGGTATGAGCGAACGGGAGGGTCGCTTTCAATGCTGCGTCCCAATTCCTGGCTGCCGAAGTTTCCGTGGACTGTCGAGTTGGAGAACCGCCAGTAGCAGATCTGGCGTTTGCCACGTCCACCACCGCCGTTGGTAGACCGCCAGGACCACGGCTGGCGATGTCATCGGGGTGCACATCGACCAACCTTTTTCTAGGACGTGGTAAACACGCTGGTCGGAGACACGTTTTACACATCGTACCACTACCGCGGTGTGTCTCAACGTCAAATCGCTGTACGGCTGGACTTGAGCGTTTTTGGCATTTGTCGTTTATTGCGTGGAAAATTACCTAGGGGGCACTTCTTGGGGTGCCTTGTTTGCATTGTGTATTGTACGTAACAATTTATTCATTCTTTGTTTTTTTTTATATAAATAGAGCATTGCTGGGGTCGTTAAGTCTCTTCTTTTGCATCGCCAATAACCCTTGTACCCAAGAAAAACGAAAAAAAGTTTGTTTTGATTTTCCACAGATCATTTGATATAGGTCGTCAGACAAAGCTTTTTTCATTCCCCATGCCTAGAGTTGCACAATGTCGTCAATGAAACGGAGGATGCGCAGTATTTTCCAGGGAGTTGTACGTGTTCCTTTAATAGCGCGAAGAGCGTGAGCATTCCTGACAACATTTGATCTATATAAACGCAACAAGCTTCTCGACTAGAAAAATTTACCGGCTGATTCTGAAATGTTATAAATATTGACTCAGTTCTTTTTTTTAGATACAACAGTAGCGAAGGCCTCGATTGACAGCCAGCAGAAGGTGAAAATGGCTGCATCCTGCACAAGTTTTTCTTAAGCAAGCATGCAAATGCCCGTTCTCCCCTCCGCCAGAATCTCTTCATTAGTGGACTGATAGTGGAGCTCGAGAAAAAAGCAACAATTCCCTCCTGCTAAATAAAAATCGCAGATGACTCATGCAAGTTGTGGTTGATCGTGTCCCGTGCAGATAACCCTTAACTTACTGCCATCCAGCCCCAACAATTTGGACGTTTTAACGATCTCGATGTTGGCTGGGGCACAAGTGCGGTGCTTGGAACACCTATCCAACCGGTGTATTTAATGCATCCTAAAAAGTGGTCCCTCGATTTCCGCTTGACGACATCGTAGAAACGTCGCGTCGTCTCCGGCCGCAATTCCGGCGGGCAGCGGCGGTGGACGTGGCAGGTGCACATTCTGCTACAGGCCGCTCTCCAAATTGACGATCCACGGAAACTTTGGCAGCCGGCAGTTGGGCCACGACAACGACAGCGACACCTGCACATGCTTTCGGGGTTTTTTTACAGTGGAGCTGTTAAGGGCTAGTTTCCTCAGGATCGTGTCCAGTACCAAACAAATGTCGACACCCATGGCCGACTCAACACTCTGGTTGCTGCCGTCGCTCATAGATGGCGGTAGCTGTCCAGAGTGTTGTTTGCCGGTTGTCTGCTTGCCGCCGTCGCTCGTAGATCGCGGTAGCATTTCTTCGGAGGAAGAAGAGCGGGAACGGAATGAGCGGCGATGTGCACAGCAGCGCGAATGATTTCGCAACCGCCGCAAGGCTGCTATCGCCTAAAGTTACACTGCATCGAGTGCTTCAGATTCCCCTCGCGCAAGAAGAGCAGATCGCTTGCCTGGGAAGCCACCGCCGAGAACAAAAGCTACAGCTCCACTGCTCTTCCTTCTTCACCAGAGTGGAAAGGCTGAAAGGTTTTTCTTCACTTTTACGCCCAGCTGCCAAGATTGCAACATCTGACAGCGTGACACCCTAGTTTTCGTGATGTTTGTTGCCAGTTCGGAACCACTTTCGATGCATGGGCGGAATAGGACGCCGGACGCACCTGTCGGAGATATGCTGCGGGCACTGCACTGCGAGCCAAGACGACGGACTGCAACCCGTAATCTTAATTTATCGGCCTCGTTTCTTTGGCAGGGAGGTGGAGGAGACGCTCTGCTTTGGGGTGCACATGACGGTCCTGACGGTGCTACCCCTGGTGCTGTGTGTTGGGCGCACCACCGTGGCGGCACTGCACAAGACGCTGCTCGACCACAGGTGCCTGTCCGTTTGAAAAAAATCCTCTTCCGTCTGCCGGACTGACTCCCGACGTCGCATGCTTTGGTGCTGGGTTTAAAAGGAAACGGGCAACCTCTATTGCTGTGCCTTGAATGCCATTCAACCTGCGAAGTAGGTGCTATGAGAATACTTGTTGTAATCTACCGAGAGATAGCCATCTTAAAATTGAAAGCAAGAGGGGGGCGAAAATATGGAGTAGGTTAACTTTCTGTGTGCGATAAAAAGAGTTCAAAAGTGCTAGTTTTAGATTTTGTGACCTGCGAAACTTGTGACCGCAGGTGGAGCCACGAACCAAGTTCGACTGTCAATCCCAGTTGGCAATGTTCGCTTATCTCCCTCCGTGGCTAAGTAACCCCATTTCTGCCGAGGTGACCATTGACCATGGCCACTGCAACTACTAGAAGTGGGCAAATCATGCCAAAAATATGGGTGGGTTATCTTCCGGGGATGGGGCATTTCCCGGGATATTGTGGTAGGTACTTTTTTTTTGGTCCCCACAAAGGCCAATATGATAGCAGTGCTTTTTTGCCGGGCAGAAAATCCTTTCCTAGTTTCCTCCTTTCTCTCCCAAAGAAAATGGGTTTGAGAGTTAATCTCTGCATAGAAGAGGAAAAGGAGTTTCATCCTTTCTGCTTGTGGGCTTTAAAAATACACTGAGCTAGAAACAGCAACTTTATTTTAAGCACCTGAATAGGGCATGTTAGAAAATAAGCTTTCTCCAAGGAAGAAATATTTTAGCACAATATCTATGTTGCGAGACTTACTTTGAGTTGGGAGCGATTCCAAAATATGCTTCTGTTTTGTGACATGGACCTAGGAATAGAAGGATGTTGGGAACCACCCGGATGAGTATCGTGACAAAAATATTGTGCCAAAAAGATTTTTGGGGGAAGTTCATTTTGTGCCCTTGTAAATAGTGTTTTAGCAAAACTCTTAGCAGACACTTAGCAGATTTTGTGCCCTTGTCAGTGCCCCTTAACAAGTATTACTAGAACCCGACAGGAAAAGTTTCAACTTCAGTTGTGCATCTGCTTAATGTTCCCATGTCCCTGACCACTGTCATCATCCGGGCACCTGGAATGAGACGGTCTTCCACCCACAGGGGCTGCGAGTCTCGTCTAGAGTCGCTGCAGCGCCTGGGCGCTCTCGGGGCCCTGGCGGGAGCCTGGCTGGGCTGCGTCACCCTCCCGCTGGATTGGGACCGTCCCTGGCAGCGGTGGCCCATACCGTGCCTGCTGGGGGCCAGTCTGGCCAGGACAGGGACGCTGATGGTCGCCTGCTTCCTGGGAAGCTCACGGGCACTGCCCTGAGACGGGGCTCGCCGAGGATGCTCCTAGTGCCAAGACAGTTCTCGCCAACTCTGCTCCAGTAGCTTCTCTGGCAACTCTGCGATTCTACAGTGTTGCCAACTGGTAGCCATTGCAACTCTGTAATGTCAAAGTGTTTCCAGCTGGTGGCCACCGCACTGTCCTCACCGACTCTACCGCAATGACTCTCCTTGCAAATCTGTAATGCCAGTCTGGTAGAACTGTTCCCACCGGCTCTAGCCTGGTAACTCTGCTGGCAACCCTGTAATGCCAGTGTTGCCAATTGGTGGCCACCACAACCGTTCCCATCGACCCTAGTGCAGTAACTTTGCCGGCAGCCCTGTAATGCCACATTGTTGCCAACTGGTGGCAAATGGAAACGCGCTCTTCATTTAGACAAGACCAAGTTGCCGACAAGGTACCCTTGCATCAGCGAGCAGCATTGGTCGAGCGCGAGCACCTAACAGAGACGCTGTCGGGTAATGGGTCTCGTGGAACTAAGGAGATGGTTGGAAATTGACTGTTCAATCTCAAAACTCCAGTGCGACCACCTTCAAGCATCTCGGCTTGGACATTCACAAGCTTTTGTGTTGTTCTTGTATGCTTTAGGTGGTTGAGCTAGGCTGCACTTAGCTAGGACCTAATAACGCCGATTCCAATCAACCCCTCCTAGATCCCAGGGCCCTAGTGCTGAATCTTCTACATTAGCTGCTTGGGCACAAGGCATTGATTGGACACGAGTGTCGGCAGCGTTCAGCGTGGACTTGCGTTTAGTTTAGAAGATCCAGCGCTATGTGTGCTTGGGCAACACCTTTAGGAGGTTTGCCCCAGTACGCATTGGCACCACTGCCTCTCTCTGTATACTACTCATTCCATCGTGCCAATCAACATATCGACCCCTCATGGAGCCACTAGATGAAAGTAGTAGCAAAGCTAGGTGCACAGTTCCATTACTGCCAATACCAAGTTTGGTGGCAGCCCTCGCCATGAAAGGCTCTACCTAGGCAATGCATGTTGACTCCGCTAACCAAAGGACTTGCAGTGTTCTGTCCTCTAGTCCAAAGGGGTTAGAAGAAAACAACTGGGCATGTGCGACCTTGGTTCGCTCCCGACCTGTCGGAGGTCATCGTCACAGAGATTAAAGCTGGTCTTCGGTCATCACATTCCATGTGTATTCTCTTACTTTGTCATGTGCCGCGTTGGCCCGACAAAATGTGCAAGAGTTTTTCACAGCATATAAATGCTGAAACATTACCGGAAAGGAACTTTGGCGATGAATGTAGAATCTAAAAGCCTTGGCCCAATACAACACCTTATTTAAAAGTTAGAACCAATTTTATATAGTAGTAAATTTTATGAATAACCGAATAAAAGGCCAGCGCCCTTTGTTGGCAGCAGGCATAAGCCAGTTAGTGAACATTGCAGTTCATAGACGGCACAAACTGCCATTTCTATGCGTCATGGTTTTCGTGCAGATACCCTCCAGCAACAATAAACGCTGGCGTCATGCACAGCGATCTGATCAGTTTGAGTAATTTAGGAACATGTTTTAGAGCAGACAAAGGCTCAATTTCTAGCAGTAAAACATTTTTAGAGCACAAGCACGTGCTTCATTTCATTAATTCCAATGAAATACTGCAGCAAGATTGGTATTGACCTATCTAGCTAAAAGACAGTGCTTCTTTACACCCCTACTTCTGTGCAACCACTTGTTAGCATCCATTGCAAAGCATAACCGAATTACCAGATTTAATTATGCACATCAATGGCATTTTATGATGATGCAAATTCAGCACATGAACGATAAATATGCCGAAAAAATCAACCTAATTAACTTGAGATCATTTGTTTTATTCCACTCCTAAAGTTAATTTGATTTCAATTCAAACGTCATTAACTGTGCCCCCGTACACGTAAAACCCTATTTAAAGTCATAATTAAAAGTAATATGTATTGCAGTGCAGCTACACATAATCAAGGTTATTCATCAACTCTTCTCCTATACCCAAGTCACCAAAGCGTCCTTCCTTGAATCTTGCATTCGAAAAAAGAAACATGACCAACGACACGCACCACTCGTTAGGAAATGCAGCCTTATTTTAAAAATTTTAGTGCACGGCAGCCACATTCACAAGTTCCATTTTCTTAAAATACCCAAGGTGCGTTTTCATCCTGCTGCGGCAGAGCAACACATGCGGAATTGTGACGAGTATTTTGCGAGTGTAGCTTCTCCGCAGTGCACGGCAACAAGCAGAATTAACGAAGCTACTATCCTGCCCAAACTGACTGCAAACAAGATATATTGCAGAAGTTCTAAGTACCACACCACGTTGTGGTACAGCGTCGTACGGTACATACATTGTTCTAAGCAGAACCCGAAAGTTTTGAAAATTTGTACAAGTTTACCGCAACGATCCGGCAGTGCACAGGCATTTACGAGCCTTTAAAGCCATATAAATAAGTAAATGGTAAAGTGTGATTAATCTTTTCACAAAGGTATCTTTAGATGGTGGCATTTGTCTACTCAAATTTTGTGAATGTAGGTTTGTTAAAAAAAATATGCAAGGAAATAAAAATAGAAGCAGACCGTCTGGTTGGCAGCGCTACTCACAGATTGACGAAAAACTTGAACCACCGTGTCATGTAGCCGGCAGTCGTTTGCTACCTTTCATTCAGGCATTCATAAAACCTCTTCTAGCTTTTGATTCAGGTAACACATTCAACTCAAAAAGTGTAACGTCCTAGCTTCCACTAAAATATCGGTGTTTTGTGATGCACTGTTCATTCGTCTGCCACAAAAAAAAAAAAAAAGATGCCCAGCATTTCCTTGGGGCAGATCTGACAGAAACTTGTAAATATATCAGCTTGAACTTTTGAATTATACTTGAAAATAACTACAAAGGAACTGAAAAACGTTTAAGAGTTGAACATTAACCGACAGAAACATTTGGATGCTTGTGATCCCTAGTGTATCAACAGTAGATCACAATAAAAAAAAGAAGTATTTATTGTAGACTACTTTTCTGAACCTGCGTAAAGCTGAACACAGTCCGGTAATTCTCGAAGCAGCTCCTTCACTGGAGCGAGTCCATCACCAACACTGTTCACAGGCATGTGGTTTGTGGGTCTTGTAGCATGGGCTGGAATGTCCCTCCCTTTTTCTGCAGAATTAACTCAAAAAAAGCCTTAAAAACCGTCCTCTTTTCTCAGCAAATAATGCACAATGAAAACATGACCCGGGTACGGTGCCTGAAACGCATCTTCAACCGGCGTGTTCGGCGTCCTGTACTGCCCACACATCGAAATTGTTCCCGAAGTGGCAACAAATTCTGTAACGGGAAGCTGCCCCCTCACGCTGACGGATGTCGCAACCCCCCCCCCCTAGCGGTTAGTCGGAGTTCCAACAAAAAAGAGGAGCAAACGCAAGCGTCGTCACTACGACCCAATTCCTGGTTGCCGAAGCTTCCGTGGGCCGTCAAGGTGGAGGGCAACCTACATCAGAACAGGTGTACGCTGCTCGTACCTCTGCCACCACCAGGATCACAGCGGAAACAAGATGACCTGAGAGCACCATTGGAGATACATTCTATGCACCGTAACTTGGGCGACCCGTATTGGAATTAGGGACGACATGATGACATCGAGTCTCTCTCTGGGACAACAGCCACTTCATCCCTGGGATGACATTGGGTCCATCTACGGGACGACATCGGGCCTATTTGTGGGACAACAGCAGGTCTGTCCCGAGGACGACACTGAGTCCATCCGATGGACAATGGCAGGTCTAACCCTGGTACACCATCGAGTCTATCCCTAGGACGACGGGGCATATCCCTGGGAGGGCGGTGGGTCTGTCTCTGGGACATCACATCTGTCCCTGAGACAACACTGGGACATTGGATCTTTTTTTGGAACAAAACTGAGTCTGCCCCTGGGACATCAGGTTCGTTCCCAGGACAACACAGGCTTCATATCTGGAACATTGGGTCGGTCCCTGGGACAACGTCAAGTCTATCCTTGGGACACCATAGGACCCATCCCTGGGATGGCATGGGTAGACCTATCCTTGGGAGGGTGGCGGGTCGTTAGGCCCCTGTGATGGAGGCCTGGAGGGCTGTGTCTTGGGCTTGGGCACTTTTGCCAGGATGGGCGGTAGCTCCTTCTTCTCGTCCAGGTTGCGCCAGGTGTCGTACAGGCCCAGTACCTGGCGTGTGATGTCCAGGATCTTCTCCATGTCCACGCACAGGTCGGCAAACCAATGCTTGCAGTCCCGCTGCAGGATTACGCATGCCACGTGTAGGCAGGCCAGGGCGATCTGGTGTGGGGGGTGCAGCAGGCACACATCTGTGCGCAGGCTGTCGTTCACCACCTGCGCAGGTGGATGAACCGATCAACACGGCCCGACGCTCGGAGCACGAACAAGCAATTGCCGGTTTTTACTGCGTTTCTTTTTAAAATGAACCACTGCAACAGAAACTACTAAAGTTGGTGATAGGTTAAGAGTCCAGGGGAAGCTCCCCCCAGCTCTTTCCAGTTTAGAAGAGCAAATGCTGGACAGGAAGTTGCCTCCTCTCCAATATTCACTCTGCTGAAGTAGGAAGGGGAGCTTCTTCTGGACTCTTAACCTGCCACCAACCTTATGTGGCAGAAAGCTGCTATTTAGGGCAGTAACTAAAGTTACTAGATCAACTCAGTTGTGGGACTCCTGTGGAGAAGCGAATCCCCTCTACCCTTGGAGGCTGCCACCCTTAAAGCCCCTTGACGTTTTGTATTTCAAGAAGCTTCAAGTGCGCCAGTGCATGAGGCCCATGCCTCGTGCAACCCTTGGAGACTTATGGAGGAAGAGCACTTGCTTGTGGCACGAGTTTCGCATGGTAGCATAACAATGGTTGCCACTACGTGTAAGAAACGGAAAGCGGTAATCCTAACAAGGGGCCTTAGCCACCAGTTTTCTGAAGTGCCATCTAGAGGTTGTGCTTCGAAATAGTTACTCTTGGGACCTCTGCAGCAATGCATCATCCTGATGCTATATTTCAAAACCTGTGCATTCTATGGAGTTAACATAACCGTCTCCAAAACCATGGCACTTATTATGATGGGAGGCGAACCTTTGGGGGAGGGGGTACTGCATGTAGAAGCAGCGCCTATGGACAGTTTCGTAACTGAGTTGATCTAGTAACGCTGGCGATAACCTAAGGGGTAAAGTTTGGTTTTTATCAATATTGTATCTTAAGGTGTGTTGCAAGATAAAAAAACAGTTCCCCCCCCCCCCCCCCCCCCCCTTTCTTCTCGGAGCTCTCTGCTCACAGTGTACTCATACTCATTACTCTATTTTCTTATTGGATGTACTAAAAGTATAAAACACGGGGATGGACAAGGCAACAAATACTTCACAATGTGTTTTCTGTCCCCGTGTTTACACTTTCAGTAACGTCTATAGGTGTTTGTAAACATGGGTTCCAGACTGGTGCCCCATGCGTGCAAGCACATGCGCATGCGCATGGAGGTAGCTTTGGCAGGCTTGCACTTGCACGTGCTTGCTCACACGAGCAAGAACATGGCGGCATCCAGGTGCCTTGTTTGCAATCGTCCATAGGGTGTATTCACATGACGTTAATCCGACATTTTGTTTAATCTGAGCATGATGAGAAGCGTCTGTGCATCACGTATTTGAGGGTGTCATGTGAATCCTTAGGATGCTCGCCTTCGGCACGCACAAGACGGCTCATAACAAAATGGTAAAGGAAATTACGTCAGTGAATGCGTCCTATATACAGCGTTCAAGTTTGTCTGCTGTTTGCGCTCCTCGTGCATGCGTTTACACACCAAATTCGCCCACATGCTTTTGTCCCCCCCCCCCCCCCCCCCCCCTCTTCCCCCTCTCTCCGGTTTTGAAACACTTGCTCGCCGTATGCACCCACGATCGCTCAAGCGCGCTCTGCAGACGTAGTACCTTCCAGGCCATGGATAGCAGCTGGTCTTCGTGCCCGATGTCGTGCACGTACTGGACCAGCGGCCGGTACGGGTGGTACAGCACCAGGCAGCAGTCCATCATCTCGAGCAGGTAGAACTCGCACTCGAGCACGTGGTTGATGCGGTACGGGAACTCCTGCGGGTACACGTGGGCGAACTTGTTCTTCACCACCGTCTGGCAGGTGGACACCAGCCGACTGTTGGAGATCACGCCGAACTCTTCCACTTTGGACGCCAGAAAGATGCAGGTAGGCGCCATGAGCAACGGGTCCACGCAGCGGAGCGAGTTGCGCACGTAGAAGCGCTTGAAGTACACCGTGGCCGTGGCGATGACCTGCTGCTTGACCTTCAGCTGCTCCCCCAGTGCTTGCATGAGGTTCGCGAAGAAGATCATGAGCTTCTGGTACTCTTCTTCGGTCAGGGTCTGGAGGTCTCCGTGCCGCTCACGCAGAAGGTCTTGCCGGTCCAGCAGCCACTGTTGGTACTGCGAGCTCTGCCAGAAGTTGCCCGCCATCTTCCACCGGGCCCTCGGTTAATCTGTGGACCGACCTAGGTTCGCCCTTAATTGGGTGATTGATACGCCTGATCGGTGGTCACTCGCTCGAAAGAGCAATCCGTCACCGAGAGCATGTCAACGACGCCGGTAATAAAACACCACACACAACGAACCGGATAGCATTGGATTGCACTGGATTGAGATGACATGCTCAACCTTTTAAACTTTTGAACCGTTAAACTACGACCGAATCAGTTATATGGTGACGCACAGGATTCTAAAAATGCACATCAGTAATTTGACGTGTCGGATAAAATAATAAAATAAAATAAACCTGATTGTTTTAATTACGTAAAGAAAAAGAACCAAGAAGACGGGAAAGAGAGGAAGGGAGAGGAGGTAGGGAGACAACTCGAAACAAGTATGGCGGCGTCCTGTGCGCCTGGTTTGGTGATCGGTCAGCGGCGGCGACCAGCATGAGACGATGGCCCAGGCGGCCGATCTTTCTGGGGGCAGCTGCTGCAAGCCCATTCTGTGGGCCTTCATGCTGGCTCTCACCTACGTGGGCAGCCTCTACATCTGGAGGACCAAGGAACACAGGTACCGGATCTCTCTTCCCGGCTTCCCGTGCACCGCCCGCGGGAGAAAATGAATGAAAATTCCCATAAAAAGGCCTTTCGGTGACAAAGGACGCTGTGCGGCGGACCCGCATGCGTACCGTCGACGAATGTGCGGGGTACGCCACAAGCCCCCGCCGATCGCACTTGGGCGGCGGCGTTCCCAGCTGCGTTCAGAGGTCAAAAACCCGGATGACCTGGGTGTCGTGCGGAAAAGACCGCCTGCGATGTCCTGCGCCAGTTTCGCTATTTTCGACAATATATCCCGCAAAAATGAATCTTCTTACTGTGTGGCCAAGGCAGAATCGGGAGCGAATGAGGACACCACCTAGCAGCACATGCACGAATATACCTAAGACGCGTCCAAGCAAACTTGTTCTCCCTTCAAAATACCCAACAGAGCTGGGCCGAACACCGGCGTCATGAATACTACCATTGAGGGAGCCTAAGCAGGGTTACACGGTAGTGATAGCTTCAAAGAACCAGTTCAAAAGTCACGAATATGGCTCCATGTTGGTTAAAAGGAATGGTTACAACTAGAGTTATTTATCATCCATACTGCTGCGTGAATTCTCACAAATGAATGGTAGTCAACAATTTGCTCTGGTAGTGCTTGGTTTGCGTACTGTTTTTAGGAAAATTGAGAAAAGATCCATTCTGCAATGACATTCTTTGGATGTCCTGCGTTTTCCATGCTTCCATCGAGAAGCTCCAAAGGGGAAGGTAACTTATCACTCGAAGTTCTAGTTCACTTTTGTGGATGCACCCCGGTTCGAGTGTTGCAACTTGCCGCTCTTGCTTTCTCCAAGGTACAACTCGTTTTACAGTCTACAAAAGATCTAACGGATATCCCTGAAATCCAGGCCGTAATAGACCCTTTCGAAAGTTGGCGCCATCTAGTAGCGGCTGCACCAATTATCCGACTCCGTCGTCGTTTGGACCCATGCTCCGAGCACATGTTGGATACGGAAGCTGCGTCAGCGTTTTGCACAAATTCGGCTTGTATCGAGAACGAGTGCAACACCAGCATTCGGTGAGGTCTCACTTCCAGTCACATTGCTCGTGCCCAAGAAATGACAACCGTCAGTGTTGCTCGACCGAGTTTTGAAAAGAAAATTCCGTTGCCTTACGCTTCGTCTTGGCCGTGGCAGTCGGAGGTCTTGCGGTTACTCCGAACGTCCAATGCCGTGCCAACCTTTCCTTTGATGCAGGGACCACCCATCCACGATCAAGAAGAGATTCGTGAGCGTGTTTGCAATCATCTGCATCTCCCCGCTCTTCGTGGTATTCGGGGCAGACTTGGCCTACTTTAAAAAGGTCGGTACGCCTTTTTTTTTTCTCTTTATTTGTTTTGTGGACGTCACACACGGAGGGGCAGAGAAAAAGACAAGGTGCCTGACAGACGCCCCCCCCCCCCCCCCCTTTTTTTTTCGGTTTTACAGTGTGAAAATAAAGATATCACAAAGATAATTGCACTGCAGGTACACAGTAAAAAAGTCTGGTCCAGACATTTGCTTGATCGACCATGTTCAAGTGCAATGCAACTGCTTACAATGAGAGAATAACGCTGGTGCACTGACACCATCGATCAGACAGCCCTGGAACTGCATTTATCTAGATTAAAGGATTTTGCAGTATTTGCGATGTCGAATCTACGCACTCTCTGTAAGAAAGGGTTGCTTATAAAGTTATCAGAATTATTTTGAGTCTGCGGTAAAGGAATGACGCATAAGAAGTTATAAAAAACATTTAAGGTGATAGGAAGGGTTTCTCGGCTTCTTGATAGGTGGCAACAGTGTGTCAGTTTATTCTCCTGCTACATTGTACTATTAGCAGATAGTTGGGATAGGTTACAGGACTGATCAACCCTTTATTGACAAGATATATAAAAATTGCTTAAAACATTTATTTCTGAAGATATTAATGTTTAACAATATGAACCAAAAGAAAAGAGCTGAAAGACGAAAAAATCGTAAGGTAAAGTTGTAAGTTATAGCTTTGTTGTCTGTGGGCAACACCAGGCAAAAGTTCCAAGGTGGTTTCGTTGCATAACCTTTATGGATCACTATGAAATCTCAATAATATCTGCACCTACAGTATCCTCAAGTAAAACAGTCACCTATCGTAAAATATTAGTGGCAAGAGAAAATACACTTTTCAATATTTTTTGCCGTTCCGCCAGTCTCGGTTGTCGCGTATTTGCTCGCCAAACTTATTTTTTATTTTTCATCAACTATTTGCATATCCATTCACTAGATGGTGCTGTAGTTTTGGCCATCAAATCTATTGCCAGACTACTAGATTAAAGAAAAAAAATTAATACCACCAAACTTTTAAACAAAAAACAATTATGTGGTTTGTTGTCTGTAGGCAACGTTCGTCTTCGAAGGGTTGAAGGGGTCATGACACGCCAAAAATAAAATATGAGATAACAGTACTGCTAGGACCCATTGTATGTTCCTATAATCCTGCTAAATTTGTTTTGAAAATGGCGCGATAGTTACATGAATAAATCAATTTATATGCGGGTCCCTCGGAGGGGCGGATCCGGGCGGAGCTGGAGGCTGGCTATGTTGCCAGCCTCTTGCGTGGTGTCCCCTTGACGCACTCACAGACTTGGCTCTCTTTGCGTTTGAGCTTCAGCTTCCTCATTTACCTTCCACGTATCGAGAATGCGGTCCGTGACAATTACGGCATCGCTCGCCTTGTCAAAGTGTTCGGCATTGATCGCAGCAGCGATGAGAGTGATTGCTATCAAAAGGCGTCGGAAGCTGTTCATTTTGACTGCAGCCCGCTGGCGACCAGCTCCAGCGATGTCGAGTTACGGACAAACTCGCCGCGGTCACCGTCGTCCGGGAATATCTCGCAAGCGCATGCAGGGTGGAAGGTCACTGGGCCGGGGGCGAGAGCAAGAACAGCATTCGGGTTTCCGGGTTGCATGAGCGGTTTTGATCATACCGCGGTAGGGGAGGGCTTGGGCGACCATGGGGGCGCCTAGAATGAGAGAGCGTTCATGATCACGTGGTTTATGGACACCATGGTGTGACTAATTTGGGCAGTGTTGCCTGGTCACGAGATGAAAATGATAGAAATTTGTAAATTGAATATTGCAATTACCAGAGCTCTAAATATTGTGTAACTTGGTGTATATACTAAGTAGCCTATGAGCATTCCATTTCAAGAAGAATCTCTGTTTAATTTTTGTGTCATAACCCCTTTAAAGGGATACTACAACGAAATTTCGGCGCTCATTTTTTGGTCTATATGTGTTCAAAAAAGCAGTGTCACATGGAACATACCAATATCTTGTTAAAAAAGTCTCGAAAAGGAATTTTAAAACGAATTAAACGATTAGCAAAGAGCACCTGGTGGATGTTGCTAACGCCTCGTTTGTAATGCTCGTCTAGGAACCTTGACAGCTAGTGACGGAGGTTGTCTCGTCTCCAGCCACGACGAGAGAAGAGGGGAAGGAGGAACCCTCTTCTCGAGAATCCCTTTTGTGTGTTGCAGAAGTCGCTATTGTCCCCCTACAAGATTACAGAAGATTAACCCGTCACTCAAAATTCGTACAAAAGCAGCCACTTCGTTGGCTGGATCGACTAGGCCATCCTCTCGACGTCAGCCTCGCCGCAGCTTTGCTCGTCTTGAGACGACCTACGTCACGATTGCGTTGGATGTCACGTGCTCTAAGCTGGGCCTTCTCCGAGCGCTTGCCAGAGTGGGCCGTTTATAACGAAAAATACAGCCACCAGGATCAAAATACAAACGTGCGATTGTCATTTACGGATATTGGGGATCATATTCAACCTATTTTTGAACACGACGGGAATATTTCAAATTTCGTTGAAGTATCCCTTTAAGAGCTGTGGAGAGGAATGAGACTGTCTGGGCCTGAACTTCAATGGCGACAAGTCGGGAAGAATGATTTATAGATGATAAGCCCGCTAAAATTTAAAACGTTTTAATAGAACACGTAGAGAAGTATAAATATCTAGCAGTATGGCTGAATGAGAGAAAACAATACTTAAAAGAACCGGAAGAAATTATGCTAAGGAAAGGAAAAAGGAGTGCATCAATTATGAAGCATAGAGCACTAAGGAATTACAATAGATATGAAGTTGTTAAGGGACAATGGAAAGGAGTTATGTTGCCGGGGTTGTCTTTTGGCAAGGCGGTATTATGCAAGAAATCTGAGGTTGAGTCGAGCTGAGAGCCCTGGCAGAGGAGCGTGGGAATGCATTAAATGAAGGAGTGCAGGGAGACATGGGCTGGGCATCTTTTGAGGCTAGAGAGGCGATCAGTAAGTTGAAATTTGAACAAAAAGCCGGACTCAATTAAAGTTAAATACCAACAGTCAAGTGGTGGTGCAGAACAGACTACTTCTGTGAAAAAAAGATGTAAAAGAAGCCAAAAGAAAGATGTGGGAGGAAAGAATGCAGGGAAAATCAGCTTTAACTATGTATAGGAAACAAAAACAGAAAATAAGCAACATTTGTATGATCATTCTCTGGGGATCTCATTGTAATTTGAGGCTAGAACAAGAGTATTGAGGACTATGGCAGTTCGGACAAAATATGAGGGAATTGATACATGGTGTGCCGTATGCCAAGGGGAAGACGAGACAATAGAACATATGGTGTTGAGGTGCACAGGGCAAACCCCAGTGGCGGAGCACTGAGATTTGCAGATGAGAATGGAAGAATGGATGATAAGTGCAATTTAATGACAAAGAGGAGTTTGGAAGACTGGCGGAAATTATCCAGGGAAGATTGAATAACGTACACCTAACTAACGCAGCTGGGGACAGGCATGACTGAGAAAAATTGGGACTTCCTTCCACGTGGCTCCAGCCCAAAGTCTCAACCCTGTTTCCCAGTGGGCCTGGCACTGGGGTAATGCTGACTAGGTTTGACTGGAGGAAAATTGACTGCCTCTCCAGGAGAAAGGGGCAGGGGGTGATGTTTTCAGTTGTTGTGCCCGATCCCCCGAAGCTCATCCTGGTGATATTGCACACTGCCTGGTGATAGTTAGAAAAATTGCGAAGGAGAAGCAAATTGGCTTAGAAGGGCGAAGAAAGGAATCATACTTTTGGTTTTTAATTTCTAGGCTAGGTGGCGCAAGCTACTGCCCGTTATAAAGGGAACAGCCGTTAGCATCCATCCCATTATAAGTGGTTACAGCGTGTGCAATGCACTCGAACACAGTCAAACACAAATGTGTGAACTGGCCTTTACAGGTCAGACTTTATCTCGTTTAAAAACAAACAAAAAATAAGTGTAATACAACGCTAGCAACAACATGGAATAGAATTTTTATTCAGTAAAGAAGCATCAGAAAAGAGGTAGAGAAGCGACATATTTTTGAACGTCTTAAGTTAACAGAATTATTAAGGCACACACAAAAAGGACACTGTTTAGTACTATGTAAATGACGATAAAAATAAAGGAGACACACGAAGGTAAGTGACATGGAAAGGGGTCACAGTGGCCGGTATGAACAGAGTGCAGAAGCCTTGGCTGCCGTTCATTGCAGGGCATGACCATTCCGGCCCTGCTGGGATTGCGCCTGGAGGGTCTCGCGCAAGCCGTGCTCTTGCCCTTGGTCCTGACGATGGTGAGTCCATGCCTGTGCTCAATTGACGTACACTCCGCTCACCCCTAGGTTGACAGTGTGGTGTAAGCTATTCATTCATTGTACCAGTCTTGTATCTTTTGACACACAATCACACTCCCGTCCATACCCTTTGCACATAGAGGAGGGTCAGGTGACAAAAGGGAGGTGGATCATTGGTCCCAAAGCCATGTATAGGGAGAGTCTGGACAATGGAAGAAGCCGGGAAAAGCCGGTGTGGAGCGGCGAAAGCGGTGGCGCCGCATATTCCCCCCATGACGAACTTGCAAAGTAAGAATGCGCTGGGATGACCTTGAAGGATTGGCATAGCGTGGCGCAGGTATTTCGTTTGATTCTGGATGAGGCTGAAAGTACATGAATGTATAATTGTAAGAGATTGGTGGAAAAGGGGAGTTTCAAGGTGCTGAGTGCGTTTACTGAGCCAGAAAAGGTGGCATGAACGAGAATAATTTCCTCAAACATGAGGCGACACTGCGAATCTGGGGTGCGCGTTCGGGGTTTGGATTAAAACTCCCATGCAGCCGAATCCACAGTTTTTACTGCAAATTCTGTCGTGGCCGTGGTCACGAGTGCAGTCAGAAGAAAGTTTGAGTGCGTTCTGAATGTTGCCGTGATGACGTCACGTGCGTTGCCCTTTCAGTTACGAAGAGCCACAAATTTGAACTCTAGCGGGCTGAAGTGAAATGCCGTAAAATACCGGGCAAGCGCCCACTCAAACTTTGGACATAATCACGAAAAAATGGGGGATGAGCGCTTGTCCGGTCATCAATTTTAAATATAAATGTACTGTGTGTTTTGTCTCAGATTTTACAAATTTGGTAATGGGCGCTTAATGTGGAATGGGTGGATGGGCGGTATTCTCCGGTACTTGAATAAATCCTTACCTAGAAATTGTGATTGAAGGGTATTTGTTAAGCTCATACCTCCGCTAGGGGAATATTTGAGGCTAGTGGTTGGTCACAAGAGCTGTCGATCATCGTGCCCAAGGTCATTGAAACACTTTCAGCCAGTGACGTGCCCTTATTTTTGCCCTGTTCTTACCTTTTAATGACCGAACTCTCCACATATGTGGCTCTGATTGGTCCAGCACACACACAGCTCCCACCACAACGTTAGCTTAAAGGGATGCTGAACCGACATTTTGATTCCACAAAACACGCAGCAAAAGCATGCAACGGAATGCTACAAACACCAAAACATCACTCATACAGCGATATCTCAAACGGATGACCATATTTTTCAAGAAAAGGAGGCGCATTTGGCAGAGATGTTCACGTCACGTTTCTCCGAGAAGGAGAGAGAATGGCCCCGCGTCTTCTCCGCCTCGCCGCCTTGAGGAAGCGAAGCGAAGAGAGGAGGAAACTAGGTATCTTGACGGTCACGCGCCTCGTTGGCCTGGTTCAATCTTGACCTCTTTTTCCACAAATAGGGCCATCCGTTCGAGATGTCGTCCTAGGAGTAGTGTTGTAGGGATTGTAGCGTCCTGCCTACATCTCCTGCATTGTTTTTTCTGAAATACAAATTTCGGTTCACCATCCCTTTAAGGGAGAATAGAGTATAAAGTATTTGCACAAATTTTCTCAGAGTACAGGTAGAAATGTAGTAGAAATGACGCAAGCCTGCCGCAGTTCGAGACGGACAGAGTATGACTTTTTGTAAGTTTCAAGCCAAAGTCCCACGAACGTCTGACAGAAGTTTAACTATAATTGCTCACGTACAGGAATAGGTAACGAGCTCGCACCCCCTGATAGAAAAGGATGCAGAATTTTTAAAAAACTGGCTACATTATTTAAAAAATTATATGTTGGCTTTCATGTTGCGTAAGCACAGTTAATTGTTTTCAAGATATAAAACTGGCTACTGTCTAATTAACTTTTTCACGTAATTTGAAGTATCTCTCAAAGAAGTGATACATGCTGTGCTACCTAGAGGTAACTAGGAACGGATAAAACTACAAGGTGGAAAGGGGGCTGCAGGGCTACTCCTACGTGTGTACCCTTGTAGCCCCTCTCTCCACTCGGCAGTTTTATCAATTCCTAGTTGCCTCTCTAGGTTGCGCAGCGTGTATCGTAGGCCACGCCGTTCGCATTTCATTCTTACCCGGTGGTAACATACCCTGCTATTGATAATCATGTTGGTTTTTACATGCAATCTATGAAAACTTTTTAGTGTTATCGGATATTTGGAAGTAGTCCATGAAAACTGTTCGCTGATAGACATTTAGGCCACACGGCCCGTCCAGAGTTCCGACGGTCGGCGTCGCCCGTGCATGCGGTCTTGGCCATTTTCTTTTGTCGTCGTGCAGGTCCTCTTTACCGGGCCGCTAGTCCTACACTACTTCGACGGCATCTGGAGTCTGTACATAGGCAAGTCCTCGCCCTCCGCGGTCTGCAAACCGTCGGCGTGTCCGAGCTGCCACGACCCTTGTCTTGCAGAGCCACGCTACTGGTACTCCAATCTTAAGAACCTCATCTGGCTAAGGAACCACATTGTGGTAAGCTGAGCTCAGTCTGTTTTGTGCTCTAAGAGCAGGTGTCTGTGTGCACGCACGACCACGTGAAAGTTTCGCCTAGCTACACTCGCAGCCACGCCGGGTGTGGCGAGTCTTGCATCTCATTATCGCACTGTAGCCAGTAAGATTGCCGCATTGGCTGATGAGAGCACCGAGAACTGTAGGATTTCCCTCGCCGCTGCCCGCCTCGGAGAACAACACGACGCGCCGGTTTGCCAACGCGTAGTTGTTGATTCGCCGTTATCGCCGAGTGGCGTGGCCTAAAAGCCCCTGCACCGGCTTTTTATCGGACAAAATAAGCTGTTGCCTTTCAAGCTGTCAGTTCTTGTAGCTTGCCGCAGTCTCCAGCCCATTAGTTGTACATCGATAGGACTGGCGGTTGTTTGCGATGCCTTCAACTCAGACGAGTCTGACGAAAAAAAATGTTGTAATTACAAGCCACGTTTGTACAATAAACTCACTTTAATTTGACCTCGGTCAATTTGATTCCTCATTAAATTTGATTGTGTTCAAAGGGCCTGGCGGGCACCAATACATTTTTACGGAGGAAGAAATTCAATAGTTTGAACGCACCGTTTAATTTGACTTAATCGGAAACATGGGGACATGCGCCGCATTAGGTGAAGCTGGCGCACGACGAGCATCGCATGACTGAAGATTGCTCGTTTACTTTCATCAGGCGCCGCTAGTGTCGAGCTTTCTTTTTTCCTCTTTTGCGAGGGTTTTTCTCTCTTTTTTTAGCTTGGGGTGCAATTTCTCGGGGTTGTTGCGCAATAGTCCATTTTCGTCAACGGTGGTAAGGAGTGTTTAACTGGCTGAGCTCGGTTTTGCTCTGTTTTGCATGGAAATGTCATCAATCTTTGCAAGCACACTTGTGGACATTGTACAGGAAGTGCAAAGGAAATGCAAGAGAGTGTAGGAGCAGAGTCTGTGCGTTTTCGACTGAGCCAGCCACGGGCTGCAGTTCTGCCACATGCTCGAGCTAGAGCGTCTCGCAGCGCCAACTGTGTATGGTATTGCATGGAAGTTACGCCTCGCTCTCCATCGGTACCAAGACAGCCGTTCTTCAAGATGGCGCTTAAGAAAGGAGGTCACCAAAAACGCAGATGCATAGCCTCTGCGAGTGCCGATGTGCGTGTCCCTGAAACGGAGCTGTATTTTTTCCGAACACTGGTTTGCTCCCTAGGACCCTGGATGGTGTCTTGTTTAAAGACTCGTGGACATTGGCGTCGAAATCTGCGGAGCACCACAGACTACAACATTGTGGTCAATGTGATTGGCCGTGGGATGGACAAATGAGACGGAAGGGAGGAGGAGGCTGTTGAAAGCATTTTAACCGAGTGGATGAGTGCGGTTGAAAGTGCATCTAAGTGTGGCAACGCCCTCTGGAGCAGGCTGTTCGACGTGTGTTTCAGGCGTAAGTGGCAAGAAAGCGTCACTAACTGCTTCCGATTAAAGTGAGTCTGGCTCGAGCCCTTTTCCCGCCGTTTATTTTAATTGAATTTTTGGATAATTCACACTAATTTTTTCCGTATTCACTTGCACAATGAACGCACTCGCGTAATGAACGCACCCCCCAAGTCGGCTCTCACAATTTCGATTTTTTTTTTCACTCGCGTAATAAACGCACCCCACCTCGGATGTCAAAATTTTGACCCCCTCCCCCCACGCGCGCGAAATGAACGCACTTTTCTATCCCGGTGCTGCAAGGTCGCGAACGCATGGGCAGCGTGGGCGAACAAAACGCCTTGCAAAAGGCGTAAAAAAAATTCGAAAAGGTCCAACGGAAGCAAGAAAAAAGAACATGGAGAGGACTTTTTTTTTTGCACAGCGCAGTCTGGACTTCGGTTTTGCGCGCCGCCCCGCGCAAGGAGGTAAGAAAGAGAAGTGCTCTAAGCGAACAAAACAGCTTGCGAAAGGCGGCAAAAAAAAAAAAAAAAAAGCAACAACATGGAACTGAAAAAAAACAAAGACAAAGAGTTTTTTTCTTTTTTTTTTTTGCACAGCGCAGTTTGGTTACGGGGGGCCGCGCGCAAGGAGGTAAGAAAGAGGAGCCGAGAAGCCCTCTAAGCAAACAAAACAGCTTGCAAACAGCATCAAAAAAAAAAAAAAAAAAAAAAACTCCACGGAATTGAGAAAAAGAAGAGCTTTTTTTTCTTATTTTCTTTTTGCACAGCGCAGTTTGGTTACGGGGGTTGGGAGGGGGGGGGGGGGTCTTGCGTGGCGCGCCGCGCGCAAGGAGATAGGAAAGATAAACGGAGAGCCCTCGCCTAAGCAAACAAAACAGCTTGGGAAAGGCAGCAAAAAAATAAAATAAAAACCCAAAACACTAAAAAAAAAAAGTTTTTTTTTTTTTTTTTTTTTTTTTTTTACAGCTTAGTTTGGTTACGGGGTCGGGCGCCGCGCGCAAAGAGATAAGAAGTTACTTCGATTTTTCAGGATAAAAGGTCCCTTCATTATGCTCATTATGCAAGTAAATACTGAAGCAAAAATTTTACTTCGCGTAATGAACGCCCCCCTAACTTAGCATCGATTTTTTGGGAAAAAAAGTGCGTTCATTCTGCGAGTAAATACGGTATATGTCCTGTCGGAGTCCAATTAACGGAAGTCGAAAGGTAATGGGAATTTCTGGTGGTATAGATTAGCAGCACCGCCTGTGGGGCAGCACGTAATAGCTTTTGTATTGGAGTTCAGTTTGCCATTGAGGGCTGGCTTGTACAGAACTGTATTTCTGCATTGTTGGGCTTGTCGTCATAATGAAGCCTGTGGCGGCTACTCGGCAAGTGTTTAATGGGCGGTTCAATCGATACAATGCCCCGTCTTGCCTCGCTATTGTTGTGCAGGAATTACAGTTTCGAGTAGAAGCTTCTGTTGCCGATGCAGGACTCCTGGCTCAATGAAGGTCTGTTTGTCGGAGAAAGACAAAGTTCAGGCATTAATTGCAGTTAAGGTGGTGCTACCCTTTGTAGTACCCAAAGTGAATGGCACAAAATCATGAGAAAGATGCAAATAAATAGTGAGAAACAAAATGCTGCTGTAGTACAGGTCAAAGCCAAGAGCTCAAACCGAGAGGCACTCATTAATGCGCTCCAAACCAAGAGCAAAATTTTCCGACGTCACCATTCCAAGGCAGATGCATAGACATTTGGGCACCCTACTTTATGTGGTAATATAGACTTTAATATGGACTGGAACAAGCAAGGTTGATAGCAATGCCTCATTGGGACCACATATTTGAATCAATAGTTGAGTTGCAGACTCTGTCGTGCTCTACTTGGCATCGGCTCTTTTGCCTGTAACGGCAATATTGTAACAAGCAAGAACCAAAGCAGTTCATCTTGTTCCCACTCATATTTTGGGCCACTTTACATCAGATGTACGCAGGCTTTCTCTTGAGTCGGGAGGAACCCAGCACTTTTATTTGATGATATCCGGTTTCCGATCTCTCTTCTTTCACTATTGATTTCATCTGGCGAGTATTTAACCACACATTGTTAGGAAGAAAGAAAAAATGAATCTCGCACTGGAGACGCTTGCACTCTTCGCAGGCCTCTGTAATGGCTTGCTGGAATGTGTTGCCACCACTGCAGAGATCTGAAAGAAGAGCAAGTGCGGCTGCAAGCTGGTGAAAGCTAGACGTGACTGAACCGGAGAAGGATGAGCAAGACGCATGAAAGAGGGACAACTCGCACCGCCTCCATCTTTCTTTCTATGGGTCTCCTCTTTTGGCTTCCTTGTCTCATGTTCACCCATGTCACAGCAGAGATCCTGCCCTCCGAGCAGCAGTCCAGCATTCCGGGAGGAATTCCGACGACAGTCTTTTTCGCGCGCAGGCTCCCTTGTCGGAGGAGTTCACGTTCCGTGCCTGCATGCTGCCTCTGCTGGTGCCTTGCCTGGGCCAGCGGGCGGCCATCTTGATCTGCCCCCTCTTCTTCGGCGTGGGTAAGTTCGGTGGAGTGACTTCCTCCCCTGCACAACATTTTGGTGGGCGACCTTAGAGCCGCCAGATACGCTACACTTTAGAGTAACAACAGCTCGGCCATCTTGTCCCTTAAAATTATCGTTGCCAGTCGTCTCTAGCTTTGTCTGTAATTGCGGAAAATGCCTTTCCGTCCTCCAAAATCATTAAAACCGGGGTGGGGGGTAAAGATGGGAGTAGAATGAGGCAAATCGTAGGTGCCGACATCGCTTGTCCCAAAGAAAGAATGAGAAGGAGAGGGACAGACGAATGGACGAAGAGAGCGGTCTGACTTATTCATTTTGCCGCAATGAGTTAAAGTTGTTCGGAGTGTTTGTCGGCTTGATTTATTTTTATACAACATGCCCAACCCCGGCGTTTTCAGGCAAAATAGAGCTCGAAAAACACTGAGCACAAACTTTGCCAGGGATGTTTTCTCGCTGCTTTGCATACATCAAAGCATCGCCAGCAACACGGTTCCTTCGGGACCGCCGACGTGTACGTCTATGCCCCACTGTTGCAAAGCGGCTGAAGTGCATGGGCAGACTATTATATTACTAACTATATAGTTAGAACGGACGATACTGCCTCACTTCCTGACGCTATATTTGAAGGTCACATTTTCTAATGTAACCATCGCCGATTTCGCCCGTTCTGCACTGCATGACAAAATGGTGGCGCTCACGAGGCAGTCGGGGAATGGATTGCTTGCACCCAGGCATATTTTGTGGCTCTGCGCGACCTTTTTGTTCGTTGCAGCCCATTTCCACCACCTGACTGAGAAGCTTGCCAGGACGTCCAGCGTCAAGTTAGCTGTGATGCGATCGGGTGTGTGGCATACTTTGATCTTGTTTTCAGAGCTCCCATAAAACTAATTTTAAAGGCTTTCTTTTCTTCTTTGACACAGTGTTCCAGTTTGGGTACACAACCATCTTTGGTGCCTACTCTGTCTACCTGTTTCTCAGGACAGGTAATTGTTTTTTTTTAGATATAAAATGTGGTTTGCTCGGAACATGCAGTACACATACTCGATGGTAAGTCAAGTAGTCGTTGTGCAAACTTTCAATTATTCAAGCGAATATTGTTATATATTCGGTTAAAAATTTTAATCAAATAGGACAATTTGGCAATTGCGGGCACACACATAGAAAGTTTCATCGCTTTGCACCGGCTTCTTCGAGAAGTAGCAACGTGGAGGAACACTTCAGTTCGCGCGGTGGGCTCGGGAGTTTGCTGAGGTGGGCGCTTGATATGTCCTTCGTTTATACAGTGTAGACCGCATATAACGTATGTCGCGGGAGTCGCGAAAATCCGCACTATAAGCGGTATTGCATTATAACCAAAACATCAATTTTTCAGGCCAAAATACATGCCATGAGACAACTTACCTTTGTAAAAGAATTTATTTTATGTTAGATGAAAAATAAAGCTTAGTTTGAGGAAAGTCTTTATTTCACCAGACTAGTACAGTTCTGTCTCAAGTGTGTCACATATTTTGAAAGAAATTAGCGGCATTTTGCCTGGCGCAGCCTTTTAACGGCGTCGCGGGTTGCAAATGGACGTTGTGAGCGTTCAGGATTGCTAACCCTAATCACTTTTCTCCGGAGATGAAAACGCGTGAAAATTCGCATCCTTCGTACGGTACGCGCCAGTAATACCTTGAACTTGAGCACACGCATGAAATGCGCCAAATAAGAAATCCGGGCGATGTTCGAGGACACAAATGCTTAGAAATCACCACTGTAGTCGAAGTAAACAAACACGACGACACGGGCGTTTCTGCCGTCTTGAGAGCGCCGCCACGACATCGCCGCACGAGTAGGTGGATCTTCCCTTCTAGTACGTGCTGGGTTATCATAGCGACACACAACGAAAATTCACAGTCAAGGATAGTGCTTTTACGCAGAACGATGAGATGAACGCCGTCTACGACGACGATCACAACCGACGCCATGTTTGCGGATAGAAGCAGCCGGCCCGCGACCAGCATGCAACGCGCGCGAACACTTCTCCTCGATCTGCGATTGGTCTGTCGGTGCGGTTGTTTGTTTCTTTGTTTCAAACGCAGTGGAGGGACGCACGCACGTGAATGACACGTGCGTGCGTCCCTCTGTCGCTACGGCAACTGAAGCCTCTCTCTTCGCTTCTCCCCACTTCTTCGAGCAACATCCTCGCCCCGCGCCGTCAGCGCCGTTATCTAGTGTTGCACAGGGAAGCGTGCCCGCTGCTCCGGTTGTTGGCGCGGTCGGCGGGCTGTGCCAAAAACCGCACTATAGCCGGTATTTCCCTTTGCGCGCCTGCATTTTAAGCGGTATGTAAATACATGGAGTTCTATAGGAGGCGAACCGGTGGTTTGAATAAACCGCGTTATACCCGGTCCTGCACTATAAGCGGTTACGTTGTAAGTGGTCTATACTGTATTTAGAACGTTTCAGAAGTAAGGGTTTAGCGCTTGTTGCAACATAGATGCCATGCTCTGTGTTTTATAATATTTAATTCTATTTATTTTATATGCAGAGTATGCAATGGAGGTACGAACACGAGGAAAGAATTGCAATAATGCAGCTTGACAGGACCCTTGCCCCCTACATTCGGCAACTTGACAGGCGGGAAGTAACAAAAACCTTTCAATGGGAATCAGTATGTTAATAAGGAGTTTAAGTAGATTGTTCCGATAACTTTGATACTCCGCTGATGCCTCTGCACATGCATTGTGTCGTTATCGGTGGTGTAGAAACAATGTACTAAAACTCTATAAACGAGAAATGATACACAATTTGAGGGAAAGCAATTGCTACAACAGTTTTCTGTCTGCAAGCTCAATGTGAACACCTTGTTTATCCGATAAAGTTCAGTAGTGTAGGTAGCACGTATGGACTGAAGCATCTGTCGCCTGCTGTAGTTTTGTTCTAGGACGTGGCACTCTCCAGGTCCTGGCACTGCGCACTTCATATGCAGTAGTGTTTCTAGTTAGGTCAGCAGTTCGTTGTAGCGAATGATTTGGTTGCGACAAATGTGTAATGATTTGTTTGTTCACGATAAGGTTTTGCATAGATTGCATGGTCACCTGGACCTCCAGTTTCTGGGCGCTGACACCCGGCGTTATTTTTCGTTGCAGGACACTTTGTGGCTCCGTTCGTGGCTCACGCCTTCTGCAACCACATGGGGTTCCCCGACATGTCGGAGGTGTTCGGCTACAAGCAGCCCCGTCTGTCCCTGTTACTCCTGGCGTTCCTCGGTGGCCTGGTGGCGTGGGCCTCCTTGCTGGAGCCACTCACCCAACCGGACATCTACCATAATAGCCTGTACGCCTCGTGACAGCACCATTCACGACGTTGAAGGGCAGTCAGCAGTGAGATCAAATATGGCGCCTCTCCTTGTCAGCGGCTCTCCCTAGCTGCTGAAGTCTCGCTCCAGAATTAGGCCTCGGTTGAAGCGACGATTGCGGCCCACCTGACGGTTTCTTGAGAGAGAGCTTCTTCATAATGTTGCCCAGTTGTGAATGCATCACGTCTGTGTGCCTGGGGCAACCTTGGGGGTTCCTTCGAAATTGCTGTGGCCTATGGGAACTTGTTCTATGTGATTGTTGTCTTGCGGGCTGTGGTTGCTCGAGTAATAGAATCTTGATGTTGCAGCTTGTTTGTTTATAGTTCTGTCTGGGTTTCGAGGCCTCATTGAAAAACACCGTACGCATCCCTACAGCACATATCCTGTAATACCATTTGAAAGAACCATATGATATATATGCATTTTCCTCAGTGAAGAACACACGGGCCATGGTGACCTAACATACCCTGTCAGATGGCATATAAATGACTTTATTTTTTTCTGCCTGTTTTTCATCATCTTCAAATTATCAATATTTTATTGAAAAGAAATGGGACACACAGCCCCTACAAATTTTTTTTTGTGTGTTTTACGTGTATAAAGTAAGGGCAATCTTATAAAATCACATAAAACTGCGAGGTCTGGTGGCAAAACTGTTTCATTTAAAGACTTTTCTTCATATGGGCACTTCGTAGGGTATTATGGGAGGCAGGTCGTACGGGTGCATATGGTTTTCTCGGTAGGTGGGCCCGGCTAGAGAGTAGCTCAGCGTGAAGTTGGTAATCCCAATAATGCCACCAAGGAAAGCTGCAAGAGGGGTAAAGTATAGAAAACTGGAATAAACCTGCAGTTTTGACAAGTGGAGCTCACTAAGTGCTTGGAGAGGCAGTAGGACAGGATTAAGGGTAAAGGGAGGAATGGGAGAGTCTTAGCAGAGCTCTAGCACAGGCTACCATGGGCACGGTAGTGCTCAGGGCGCACGCTTGAGGGCATGCCGTGAAATTGCAGTGTGATCCCCCGGTAGCAATGCCGCTTGGGTGGGATAGTGCTATGCCGAAACCCCACAGTCATCTCGGTAATGGAGACCCCCTTAGTATGGATACCCCACTATGTGGAAAACATATTCGGGGACAAAATGGGTAAATACGTGCACTGTTGTCTTGCTATTATGAGCAACTTGCATTATGAATGCTGTGGGGGGGGGGGGGGGGGGGGAGGGAAGGGGGGTAGTAATGGAGGTGTAAATATTAACGAGACATCCCTGTATTGACTCGAACGACCCCAGCACATGGGCCCATGGCCATCTCCCGCTGGTCGAGTGGTTACTTGGGCTGGAGCTCTGGATTTGGAGAAATGAATGAACATTAAGGCTAGTTCAGACATTTGTGATCGACTGTGACATTTGTCATTTGTGACACTTGTGATCAACTGTGAGGCTAGAGCTCTGGGTTCGAAGAAATGAAGGAACGTTGAGGCTAGTTCAGACATCTGTGATCGACTGCGACATTTGTCATTTGTGGCACTTGTGATCAACCGTGTTATGACTCTTTGCGTTCCAATACGACACCCTGCATGAACCTGCATCGTCGTAGCAACCATCTGGTCGTAAGCAGTCACGACAGGTCATAACTCGGTCGGTCAAGCTCTAGCACAAATCTCTGAACCAGCCTATGGGGTGCGGGAAGAAACACCACTATGGCTGCGTCGTTGATACTTGTCATCTAATTCACCTTAAGGCATCCGCAAGAAAGCGTGACAGCACATCTGTGATTCAGATAGACCATACCGGATCCTTGCACGGAAGAATGGAGTTGAACCACGCAGGGGAATTTAAACGATATACACTAGTAGGACAGTTGCAGAATGTTTATCGGATGTCCCTCTGGTGTATGTGGCCAACTGTATAGCTCTTCTAAAACCGCAAGCTTCGCGTTGTGAACACACAAACCTTGTAAGAGGTGTTAATTTTGTCAGTTAATTTCGTGTGGTTCTTCTGTATTGCCGCAGAAAGACTAGCTTTAAAGGACATATGCAAAGGTAAAATTCTTTCTTAAACAGCCTGCATGGAAAAAGGTAGTCATAAAATGAATTTACAACGTAAGAAAAAATATTTTAGAGTATGTTTATGGTACGAAACAAATCTGTAGCGGGAGTCCTCAGAAAAGTGGCTGCTAGCAGTCACGTGACTGTGCACTTGCGCTTTTTTGAGAGCTTCCTATGGGCTCTAAAGTTTACTTAATAATCTTCAGTTGTTTTTTTTGTGCACTTATAACAAAGACTAATAACTAACTTTTAGAGCTCATAAGAAGCTCCCGAAAGAGCGGAAGCACCGCTGACTAGTGGCTGGTCACATGACTGCTAGTCGCCACTTCTCAGCAAGCTCCCACGGGCACCAACTACAAATTCCTTTTTTTCTTTTCGTTGTAAATTTATTTTATGGCATTCTTTTTCCATCCAGACTTTAAAAAAAATTTTGCGTCGGGAGTTTTCTGACATTTTCAATATTTATTTGGTAGTGACTTCCTACGAGAGGAATTGGCGCACTCTTCATAGATGATTTTTTTTAGTTTGCAGTTCAAAGTCGTGGACGAGAAATTTGGGCTTAAACTGCACTCGTGCTCTTGTGGCACGAGACATAAACACCTTACCCATGCTTGGCGCTTCAACTGCTGCACAATGTGTCCCCAAAAAAGGTTTATGGTCTTTTTTTTTTCCACCGCAACAATAAACTATGGATCACCCGAAGCTCAGTCTCCGCCCAAACGTAGCGATAGCAGCCCGAACAAGATGCCAAGGTTTCATAGCTGGCCATTATCCAATTAAAAAATTGTAAATCCATTTTCGGAAATTTTTGATAAGAGATGAATGAAGTAAGCTGCCCATTTTTCCAGTGGAAGATTAAGAAAATCACTCGTAACTTTTGAATAAGGTAACAACAAGCCCATAACTATTGGGCATAGTCTCGTCCGGACCAGTGCCACCTTTGGGAGGAGAATGGGCGTCGGGTGGGGGTATCGGTGGCCGACCGTGCACCATAACTCGGAGCGCGTATAGCGAAAGATCGCGCTGCAGAACTCGGGGATCCTGGCTTCAATCCTCAGCCCTTTACGTTTCAATCTGCATGAGAATCGCACTGGCGTGCGGTCGTGCATCACTACTGCGTGGTGCGCATCAACGACCCCAGGCTAGGAGCAGCGGCATTGGAGAGTTTTAGTGGATCATTCTGATGGCTCCGATAACAAAACCCGATACTCCCCCACCGCCTTTGTGCGTGTATCGTATCGTTATCGGAGGTATCGGAACGATCTGCTGAAACTTTCTACTGCAACGACTAAATTTCTCAACTTACAGCGCATGCCAGTGTGGCCGTACGTACCTCAAAGGCAGACCAACCTTACGCCGTCTAACCATAAATGTCAAATGTGGTTTAGGTTTGCGGACACTGGGCAATGCATAATTTCTTTTTGCGGTGAAAAAAATGTTTTTTTTTTCTTTTTGGGAACATTTCTGTGATCTTGAACGAGTGGACTCAAAACGTGGTCTGTTGGCGTTATTTGAGTTCCGAGCATTCATCTAAACCAGAAGCCACGTTGCCTTTTAACACCTTTGCTCGTGAGTGCGTGCAATTATTTATTTGTGCGGAGCAGAGTCATGGTTGTGCGATGCGGTAACTTTTTTTTTTTTTTTTTTTTGTGTGTCGGACCCCGCCGCTTTGTTGGGGAAGATGTGCCATGGACGAACTCTGAGAAACTAAGGAATAGAGCCGTGCCATTGTGCACCCAGGTCAAACTCCCTGTTTTCCCCTGCTTAGAAGTTTGTCTTCTCTTGGCATACTAGTTCTTTTTCAATGTCCAAGAACCCATACTCGATATTTTCACACCTGTATATGCCCAAAATACCCCTTTCTTTTTTTTTTTCTTTTTTATTTCACCCAAAACTTTACGTGTTCAGAGCGCATGAATAAATATTTATTTGCCGAGTCATTTGTTGTCTTCAGTGTTGGAGTGCAATACTTACTCCGCAGGTCAGATTTTGAGTTAGGAACGAAACCTAAACTAACTCCTAGTTTTGTTTTAAAAAGTTTCGCTCCTCATTGAAAATGTCTCGCCGGAGTAGTCCTGACTTAACTAGAAGAGAAAAAATAGGCGGCAGCCTTTATCTCCAAAGTCTTATAATGCAGGAAATGCAGTATTTAGGTGCGAATTTTTCAGTTGTGTTGGAGACATTACTCTTGTTATGGAAGTGAAAAACATATTTTTATAAATTTGGGGGATACTGAACTAGCGTTTCGAATCATGTTGTTTAACAGCTGAGACTGTGGTGCAGGAAAGGAAAAATGTTTATTAGAAGGAACAGACACATAAGGGAATGTCTCAAACTCGTGTGTTAAACGACATGATTAGCTACCACCAGCTCACCTGTGCACTTAGTCTTTTTATGAATTGGTGTGTCATGTGACCAGAGAGGGGGGAGGGGTAGAAGGGGGGGCACCATAGGAGGGGGGAGGAGGGGAAGGAAGGGAAAGAGGGCAATGTAGGAGAGATGGGCAGAGGGAATTGATGTGTCACGTGACATATATTTCTCCGCTACCTTTGGCGAGGAAGCTGAGTTGGTGTGGTCACTTGACCAAGGAGGGGAAAGGAGGGAGGGCAACATAGGAGAATGGGGTCGGGGTGAAGAGAGAGGTGGAGGGGAAGGTAGCAGAGAGGGAGGGAACTGGAGAGAGTTGGGGAAAATAGGGGAGATAAACGGGGCACGAGGGAAGGTAGGCACATTGGGGGACACCATATGAGAGGATGGGATAGACACCTTTCAACGTCTCGCAACAGTGAAAAAAAAAAAAAAAAGCTAAATCTGGCTGTGTACACTGGGCAGTGGACGCCATCTTGAAGGGTGCTCTTGGCTTGTTTATGTCGCCCCAGTTCGGCTTTAGCGGTGTTGCGGAAAGGTCGTGGGTGAAATACAACTGTATTTCTTTATCACGCCCCGAGAAATTTGTTTCTTTTTTTTGGGGGGGGGGCCGAGAATAAAAACAAGTGACTGAGTGGTACCATGAATTTATTAAATGGCAACTCCGGTCAATTATTTTGAATTTGGGACTCCGACTGCTTTCAGCTAAAGCAGTGTCCCCGAATTACGAGGTACATTTTTTTTCTCTCAATATTGTGTGTCCGAAACTATCTGCTAGAGGGATGGCAACACTGATCATCAGTCGTACGGCCGTGACGTGATGTCAACGGGGTGCTGCGGTACGTGGTACAACCGATTAGCATGGTTACGGAACTGCTCATAGACGCTGTTTGCACAAGCAGCACCCCCCTCACTCACCACGGCTCGCCTCCCATCGTTCGACGAGCCGGATGGCTGCTATGGTAACTGCAGTGTGTTCTATGGAATCTGTGGATTACATATGTTTCGAAGCACAGCGTCTAGATGGTGCTCGACCATACTCTATGGCAGAGCCGTATATTGGGAGAGTTCGGCCAGGTTATGATCTCACTGCTTCCAAGTGAGCCAATCGCCCTGCGGGACAGAGTGAGAGGCGTGAGCGCATGCGCGTGAACTTCCGGCTGCTCCCAGCTGAGCGGGGAGGGCCGCCATTTTTATTAATTTGCCCGGTATAATGCATGGGATCGGCATCCGAATTTCGGTTATTTCCTTCTATATCGCTGGCTGTGGCAAGAAAATGATATAGTGTTATTCCTCAGTGGGTTAAGAAGCTAACAAAGGAAGTTTTCTCGACGTTTGACCACACACTTTGATTCGGGCAAAAAATAAGTCTGCCCGTAGCAGACGACGTGTAGCCTCAACAATGCTCTGTGCCGAAAGCGTGTTGCGTCAAAATGGCGGTCGTTTCCTCTTTTCTGCCTCCATTTTCTCTCGCTCCTTCGGCGCTCTCCTCCCTCTCCTCCATTTTTCTCTCCTCCAGAGCCATCGCCACATCCACTGGCCAGACTCTCCCAATGTACAGCTCTGCTCTATGGAATATGCAGTTTTGAAACAAAATCTAGATGTCGCTTCAAACGACGAGAGGCATATTGAAGTGAGGGAGGGGGGTACCCCCTTTGCGGGAGTTCCGCATATCAGGTAATCTAGTAGCGTTGGGTACAACCAATCAACCGCAGCTCCACTACTATGTGACGTCACAAGGGTGCTGCGCCAGTATTCCTGGACTAAAAGCTAACCCACTCGCTGCCCACTAAAGAGCAGATCATTGCATCTTTAAAATCGGTTGTAGTGGAGTACGCTTCACTTTGACGTAATATTTCAGTTGTGATCAAATTTCGTGCCACTAAAGCGATACCAGTCATTTACTACAGGGTCAGCTGAACAGTTACAAATTAGACAAAACCGAGAGAGGAAAAGACATACACACCGCTGACTATCAACTTGCTTCCTTTAATACTTCGTCTTCCTTTTTTTTTTCTTTACAACTAGTAATCAAAACCATCCCCCATGTCCGCGCGCTGCACCCATTAGGACGTTAAGCGGGTCGTGCCACACCCCAAGTATTGTCTTTCTTTTGTGCTTTGGCCATTTTCTTCAATGGCCAAGGCTTCAATTACCCCGCGTGTCGCCCTATAATGGTGGTGATGTTAATATCAGGAGTGCACTTGCAGACCGGCAGTGTGCAGAGAGATGTCAAGCCGATGTTCTTTTAACAGAAGCCGCGTGCTCCCTAGCTCGATTACTCACACACCTCCTAGTTTGCCCTATGTAGCACTTGCCACAGGAAAGTGGTATGTGGTACACAGCGTCTATTTGGCACGGGGTATACTTCGTCCTGTGAGCAATTGTGCATCGTTTCTTTTCTTGATTTGTTCTTTGATTAGTTCTGCGGCACATGGAGTACACCTTGCTTGGTGCCGAGCACACAACCCGAATATCATGCATCCCAGCAATCTTTTTTAGGTTATGTGTGAGTCCATGAATGTGGGGTATAACCGCAATCTTTCTTTGATTTGTAGCTTTCGATGAAGCCTCATTCACTGCATGCTGGTGTTTCGATTTCAGCAAATGGTTTCAGAAATGGCCATCAGGAGAGACTCTGGATAACCAGACTCACGTAGACGCCTAATCAGGTTTTCAAAACTTGGTTCATGTTGATGGTGACATGAGTTCTTTAGGGTGGAAATAAGAGCAGTTGTGGCAAAACTCCTCTTTATGATTTTCGAATGCCCCGAGTTCTATAGAAAACACCCGTGGCACGAGCGCGCCTCATATCTCCAGCACGTGTGGCTTCTTTGAACTGAAGCACCAGGTCAAGGAACCTGATGAACTTTGCAACGGGTAATTCATATGTGAAATCCAATTCGGGGCAACATTCTCGGAAGCACCGCATAGCTTTTGCTTTACGCCCATCCTCTTCTTCATTCACTTCAGTTTTACACTGAATCAAAAAAGATCCACATATCGGAAGATGGCCTTGATCCTGCTATACTTCAGTACGCTTTCAATGATCCTGCCATAAGCTGCGAAATATGCATCGCAGAGGTGAGAAGCTACCCAGGATTGAATACATACTCCACGAACACGCTCAACGGAGACCATCAGGAAAAGCCGGCTTCTTCCTTTGAAGCCCCATCTGGCAAGGGAGGCCAATCGGGTTCCCCATAGACAGCCACTTCAGATGATCGGGGATGTGAATTTTTCTGCCAAGGCCAAGCAAGTTCTTGAGCAAAGGCCGGAGTTCGCTCCACAACCACGGCTGGAACCCATCGACAAAGTGGTCCTATACTTCGTTTCACCTTATGTGCGAGCGAAGCCAAAGCTAGAAGCGCGAGACCAGCGCTTTTTGCGTTTCTCCCCAGCTCGCGCGCTCGAGCAAAGCCTGAACGCACGGAGCTTTCGTGCTCGCGCTTCCAGCTTTGCCTTCGCTCGCACATAAGGTGAAACGAAGTATAGTCAGGACTGTCGCTTCCAGAACTCGCGACGAAAAAACTTCGCATATCATCAGTGAAGCAATCGACTGCCTAGAAAACTAGAGGCATCATAGAACCCCAAGCTCCCCTGGCATAAGCTTTGGAGCCACGATACAGGGTCTGTTGCAGGACCTGCAGCTGCTGCTAAGGCTGCCTGCACACTGCCACCTCGCTGCTCAGGTGCTCCACCCCATTTGCCACGTCTTCTGCAGCAGGGAAACTGTTCTCCAAGTTTTTAATCTCAATGAACCCTTATTAGCTTTGAATGACAGCTGAGCAACCCTTTCCAGTCTCGACATTGATCCACTATAACAGCGCAGAAGCCAGATGCTTACAGACCTTGTATGCAACAAGGCACACACTAGGGAAGTGGTTCTCAAGCACTGATGTTTCGGTGACCCCCTCTGAACCGGTCAATGTGTTGGGGGACCTGAATCCACCGGGAGTGGGGGTTGTGAAATTGAGAAAAGTAAATGCACGCAAACAAACTTTGGAGCTCTGAAATGGAGGAGATTATATCAACCCAGCTCGCTTGGCACGCATGGTTTGGTCTATTTAGCTCTTTGGGACAACCAGCATCAATAAAAAAACTAGTGTATTTATTGCTTGGCTTGACTGATACGGTTGAGGGCATAAGGGCCCAAAGGGGTTTGAAGACTCACATTTGAGAACCACTGCGCTAAGGAGTGTGTGGCTCATAGTTAAATACATCCCGAGTGACTCGGGCCTGCTGAAATAGCACTTAAAAACGACATGGTTATGGAAAGAATAAGTAAGGATAATTGTGAGCTTGGGGATCACCCATGAGGGTACTCTGGGGAATGTTCTTAGGAACCCAGATTGAGAACCCACGATCCAGAGCAGGGGGTCTCCAGACAGTTTGGCTAAGGCGCCGGATTAGGGAACCGTCACAGACTCGAGGGCTGGAAAAAAAAAGTAATTACAAAAGACAGGTCAAAAACACAGTGGAAGCCAATCCCACCTCTTTCCCTTAGCAGAGCGAATGCTGTAGAGGAGGCAACCTCAGTGCTTTGGTAGAGTGAAAAGAGCTTGGGGAGC